ATGATGTTCTTCAAGTGACTGTTGGATGCCCATTTTGGCGCCTCCTGTTTGGATTGTACTTGAGGCCTCATCAGTATGTGTGTCCAATCCATTTCCATTTCTCTCTGCATATTTGAAGGACAGTAGGTTGTTGACTGGTTCGTTGTCTGTCAAAGTTCCTTGTTGTTTGGTGATCATTTCTGGTTAGTCATCTAATCTTCAATGTCATGTAAGGGCAGCTGTTGATGAAGGCCCATATTAGCCTACTGAAAACGCTCACCAAGTCTCTGGAAGGTATAAAAGCGCTCAGTCACTTGACGTTAACGTTGAAAATTCAGATCTTGTACCTCACGCCTAAGGTCGCCACAATGATTTCAGAGTAATGAATAACCATCATGCTTTTCCATTCTTAAATTCTATATCTTCATTGTACTTAAAAACTGAAGCACGATATTAAATATTTATTATTCTACAAGAGATGCATCAACCATTCGTGTCACATGAAAAGGCTAGCTGTTTTTGATCATAGGTGCCTGCGTTCTTCCTCCCGTGCGAAGTGGTATAATAGGGTGAGCAATATTGAGGTTAGGCATCGGTCGAGTGCTCGGTAAGGAGGGAGGGTAAATCAATAGACGAGGCTGTGAAGTTACATCGATTGAGATGTTTAGGACATGTGCAACACATGCCTAGCCATTGCCTTCCTCGACAATGGACAATGTTAGCTGACATAGGATCAGGTTGGAAACGAGTCAGTGGTGATCAAACCAAAAGATGGCTTCATCAATCAATGAAATCCACAGCAGTTAGTTTAAGCCAGCCACGTAGGAAGGTATAGACTTCCTGACTAGTTGGGGTCCTCTGGATGGTAAGAACCAATGGCTGGAGACGATTGGTGATATGGCTACAAATCGGTCTCAATGACTGGCTCAGATGCATCCACTCCTTGTCACTTATAACACCCAATAAAACTCTGTTGTTCTTCGATATTACTATCCTTTCTGCCTCATATCTCTGTTTACTGTCTCTATTTTGCATTTCTTTTTACTTTCTTGTCTTGCTTTGTGTGCTGAGTGAAGTGTGGTGACTCGAACTGCTGCACACCGGTGCAAAGTTCTATGTTGAAACCAGTCAGTCAGTCAATTAGTCAATTTGTATCACATCTGTGCAGAAATAAATGGAATCATTCTCAGAGTTATAAAGTTATTCGTTAATTCTAAGAAATAAAACCCGCCTTTGTTTTGAAACGTATAATACTTTTCTCATAAAAGCTGTATATTTCGTTAGGGTACTGGCCATATTAAGCCTTCACAGTCTATTTCAACTTGTCATTCATGGAAAATATGATCCTTGTGCTCTTTAGTTTCAAGTGAAAATGTGATTTCTTGAATCCATCTCTTCAATAGTAGCTTATTTTATGAAACAGGCACTTTTGGACAACTTTTCTGTATCCTCTCTTCATCTGCAAATGTTATTACAAAGTAAAAAGATTATTTATTTGTGGTTAATTATAAGTGAAGAAGATAAAAACAACAATTACAGGAAGTAAATTTTCTCCATTGACGAAGACATTTCCATAAGCTGTATGACCGTATCTATATTTACTCTAAAACATATAACAGTCTATTATTGAGTACTAGGGGATATAGCATAATTGATACAGCTACTTAGAAGTAGTTTCTACAAATGAGAACTTATTATTATAAAATGATCACCGGTACAATCAAAGTAAACGTTTGAAATATGTGTATGGCGGAGGCGCTAGTGATTATTCAATATATGCCCGAACTATGTTTACAGAAGCGTCGGCGGCATAGCGGTTAGGACGCTCGCCGACCATGCACATGGTCCGGGGTTCGATCCCCGGCCGGCCCACTCCTTTACTTCACTAAGCCAGAAATAAAGCTTGTGAAGAGGTAAGGCTGAGCATGAGGCTAGCAAACCCATCCTGTAAAAAATAAACACTGCTACAGAAACTTCAAACTTTAGCTTGAAGCCCTATGTTCCACTGGGAACGTGAAGGAATACAAAAAAAATGTTTACAGAAAAGGTTTGTCCACTTTCTTGTTCTACCGTTTTCTTAAAACTTTTCCTTCTCGTTTGCTTCTATCGTTAGTAGTTAATTCATTATTATTACTCTTACCGGCTTGTTTTGTACATGTTACTAGGGTTTTTTCGCCCTCGCCTTCTTCATACTTGTTGAATGGATGCTCAGCCACCTTGCACTTCACATCCCATAAAAATTTTCACCTTATCAAAAACTGAACCTTAACTTCGATAGTTGTTGTTAGTTGTTAAGAGGTTTCTTCCTGTTTTTCGAAACCACTTCTGAGTAACTGTATCAGTTATTTCAGCCCTCTTTTGATTTTTACTATAATACTATTATTCCTTTGGGTTCCGAGTGGGACACAGGGCTTCAACAGCACGTCTCCATTTTGTTATATTTTCTGCGGTCCTCTTTAGCAGGCCTCACGATTGGCCATAATCTCTGATCTCCTCCTCGCACCTACGCTCAACTCGTCGTTTCCCATCCACGTTCCACTTAAGCAGTGGCCTGCGACGCAATGTCATTCGACGGTCTCCTCAGCGTGTGCCCAATCCATCTCCATTAGCTTCTATATATTTGTTGATTAACAGGTTTTCGGCTCGTTTTTCTCTCATAGTTTCTTGTTGGTAATTCTTTTTGGTCATTTGATCTTCAATATGCAACCAGTAAAGGTAGCTGTTGATAAAAGTCTGCAGTAGCCTGTTCGAAATGCTTTTCGCGACGTGGGTGCCAAGTTTCTGAGCCATATAGAAGACCTGACTGACTTAACATTGGTGCTGAAAATCCGAATCTTGTTCTTTGTACTGAGTGGAGAAGATTTCCAAAATGATTTCAGGGTGATGAAGGTGACTCTTGCCTTTCTGATCCTGGTTTCTGCGTCCTCATTCATGTTATCAACCTAAGTTGAAACGATTCTTCTTCGGTAAGTGATTGAAGTGACTTCTGTCAAATCTCTCCCGTTGATAGTGATCGCTGTTGATTGTTATTGGTGGATGGTTATCTGCATCACCTCCATCTTTTCTACGTTCATGTGGAGAGTCGTGTATTCGCTGGCTGCTTCTTCAGTCGGTTTGTTGGTTTTTGCGGTCGGTCGGTTTTCGAAATAGAACTTTGCCCATATGTGCGGCAGTTCAAGTCGCCACACTCCCTCCTTGTAGCACACAAAGGAAGAGAGGAAAGTAGGAGAAATGCATATTAGAGACAGTAAACAGAGATGTGAGACAAAGGAATAGTAATAACGAAGAACAAAACAGTTTCATTGGTAATCATAAGTCACAAGGAGTGGATGCATCTGCGCCAGTCACTGAGAACGATTTTGAGCCATGTGACCAATTGTTTCCAACCATTGGTTTTTACCGTCCCGAGGACCCCAACCAACCAGGAAGTCTACACCTTCCTACGTGGCTTAGACTAACTGTTGTAGATTTCATTGACTGGTGCCATGTTTTGGTTTGACCGCCGCTAGCTCTTTTCCATCCTGGCCTTATATCAGCTAACATTGCCCGTCGAGGAAGGTTTTTGCCTGTAAGCTCTATCTTAGTTCTTGATAATAGACTCCTATACCTTTTAGAGTAAATATAAACACGATTTTACAATCTTTGAATGATGAATTTATTGATCGACAGAGTTTTTTTCATTGAAATTTTCGCCTTTTGTTTTCTTCATGTCTTAGTGGATATTTTTGGCCTTTTAACTGCTACCAATTTACTATAACTATTATTATTATTCCCTTGGGCTTCGACAGCACATCTCCACTACGTTCTGTTCCCTACAGTCCTTACTTTAGCTGGCTCCAAGGTTTTCCATAAGCTTTCATCTCCTCCGCCTCGCACAATCTCCTCCATGTCACCCTTTGACTAACGCTCAACTCGTTGTTTCCTATCAGAATTCCACCCGATTCATGCGCTGGTGCGCGATATCACTCAACGCTCTCTACAGCGGGTGTCCGACCCATCTCCATTTTCTTAGTTTACTAGCCAGTCCTAAGCCTGGGAAAAGAGAGAAGGCTAGGAGTGGGGTTATAGCGATCCCACCCCAGAAAATCACTCCAATCACTAGAGAAACTTCAAAACACAATAAAAATATAAATTCACCACAGTACCGTAAATTAACTGAGGTTTAGGTTTATTAAAATATTCCATTTTCAAGAGTTGGTTTGTGCGGATTTGATTTACTTTTCAGGTTTGACCACGGATTGATTTCAGTTAGAGAACCAGTACTGAAGTTCTTGTACTGTTTGGGACTCATCACCAGTATGCACCAACCTCCAGATTTCGAACCGAAGACCTTCCGGTTATAAGTCAAGCACGTATAATATCCAGCCACTTGGACCCAACTCAGTGGTCCACGAGCTCTAACTTCTACAAATTCGTTGTGCATTCAGCGTGACCACCAGAATAGAATTCATGGGCCATTGAGTTGGGTGCCAGTAGCTGAATGAATGGTCACCGAAGGGCCCTGGGTTCGATACCCAGTGGGTGCGTCCTGCCAGTGACTTCCAAACTATGACGAAGCAGCTGACTATCCAGTACTCCCTGGTTTTCCAATGGTTCTCTAATTCATATCAATCCGCGGTTAAAACTAAAAAAAACGCATCCCGAAAACATGGACATCAACAGTCGTCATTCCATATAGAGAAGAGACGTCAGACGATATCAGAAGAGTACTCAGTCAGCTCGATATTAGAGTTTTCTTCAAAACATCAGACACACTTCAAAGCAACCTTGTCCATATAAAAGACCAAATCCCTAAAGATTCGCTATCTAATTGTGTCTATAAGATAAAATGCTTGGAATGTGATGCGATATACATCGGACAAACTTCTCGAGAAATCAAAATCAGAAGAAATGAACACCGTAGAGCATCTCTTCGACCACCGAAGAATCCTGTTGAACTACAAAGACTTGAAAAATCATCAGCCATAGGTCTACATGCTATAGAATCAGGCCACAAAATTGATTTTGACAATATTGAAATAATCCAGAAAAACTTCAGAAATCACAAAGAACGTTTAATATCAGAAGCACTTCATATCAAGTGGAATCAAAATTGCCTGAATAGGAATGATGGACTAAAACAGAATCTGACCTGGTTACAACACCTCCCTCCCCCCCCATCAAGTGACAAAACCAACACGAATGTGATAAGCACTTTCATTATGTAAACACACGCTGCTTTTATAATCTCATACACTTATCAAATCCAACAATCTACACATGATGATTTTGTTATCTTTACCAATTCACCAACTTAACAACTAAAAATGCCCCAGACAGACGAACGATGATCAAGTTAGTAAACTTTCCTTCTTTTTTTCGATATCATGACAGACATACTATTACCTTTGTTATTTGGTATAGTTATCTTCATCGCTATTTTTACTTTCAATATGTCCCTTTAACTTAACCTATGTCTATTTTCTCACCCCCTAACTGTTTGTTATATATATGCTGAGATTTTGTAAATTCCGGTTTAATAATACTTTGATAAAGCTATTAGCATTAAATAGCGAAACGTCAGTAAAAACAATATCGTTTTGTTTTTCATTCATTGGGAAATACAAAAACCTTTATTATAATGAATAAAATATATTTAATTTAAAATAGAAAAAGATTATGTCTAAATAAAATGGTTATATGTTCACAAGTGTAAATCATGCGCCAGGCCGTCTAGTGGAAACCGAATGGGAGAAAACGAGTTAGAGATGGGTCCGAGAGTGATATGGTGAAGATCATGTGTGGAGGAGGAGGAGATATAAGCTTTTGGGCGGTCGTGAGGCCAGCTAAGGAGAAGACTGCAGGGAACAGAAAGAAATCAGGATGTACCGATGAAATCCTCTTCCACACAGAATCCAAGCGAATAATAATAGTAATGATAAATATAATAAATACCTATAATATACATTGTTTTATTGATTTTCTCCTTTACAGAGGACCATTCAGTGTTATACGACGTTGTACGCATAAAGAGACTGGTGTTGAATATGCAGTGAAAATAGTTGATGTTGTGAAGTTTACAAGTAGTCCAGGACTTTCTACAGCAGGTAACTAATCATTTTTTTTATGACTTGTTTTCATCTTAATAAATTTATGTTGTCGTTTTCGATGCATTTTAAAATTATAATAACAAAACTGTAAATGGGAAAATTTAATTGTTCAGGATGTTTAAGGAATAGGGCAAAGAAAAAACCTCAACTAAATAGTACCAAGGAGAAAAATCTATGTTAGGAAGTAAGACGCATAAGAGAAGCTCTGATATTCGATAGAAGTTGGAATACATGGGCCATTGTTGGATGGGATCTCAATGGCTGAATGGTCTACGAGCTTGCCTTGCTACTGATGAAGAGTCCCAAACTGGGACGAAACAGCTTTGTAGTACTCCCAGTTGGTTTTCCAATGGTTGTCCAACCGATAGTAGCTCATGATAAAATTCTCCAACCAATTCGTGCTCGAGAACATCTCCCACTATGGCTAAGTAAAGGTGTATTTAAAACCATTAACAGTTCGATATTAAACCATCTGGTGCAAACTGGCCGCAAAGCCAGCCACTGTTGAAGAATCCTTCTCTATCATCATCTACCGGGTGCCTAATAAACTGACAAAATCATCGAAGCACAGCATGCTCCAAACAGCAAAGGCTATTGCAATTCGCCTGAAACAACCAGTGCTCTGTGTTCAAAAGAAACAAGTCCAGCTAGCCACTACAACTGCCCTGACCGGCCTTCAGTAGAGACTATAAATTCATGAATTTGTAAAATTATCTTTCCTAATTTTTCTGATATTCAGCTTATTGTTATGTTGATGCTATTGAGCTGTAATCTATCAATATTATGGATCCGATGTTATTTAAACAACATTCATGTTGTTCATAACACTTATTCATTCATTCACTATAATGTATATATGACTTTAGAGCCTGATAATGAAGTTATGGAAAAGAGTACTCTTTGTTCAGTATCCATTCTTTTGAAAAGTTTAATGAGCATTTTTAATCAGTTAAAATTACAGCCAAGGCAGAAATAGGGATTGTTCATACATACTTCTCTTGTTGTTGCTGCTGCTGCTGCTGGATTCAACATAGAACTTGGCACCGAAGTGCAGCAGTTCGAGTCGCCACGTTCCAAAGAGCACACAAAGGTAGACAGGAAAATGAGAGAAGAGAATCAATAGAATTTAGATAAGTATAAGAGCGAAACAGAATGAGTAATGGCACAAAGGAATATGAAGGTTAAAGAGACTGAATACATCTGCGTAAGCCATTGACAACGGTTTTGAGCCATGTCACCTATTGTCTCCAGCCATTGATTCTTACAGTCCCGAGGGCCCCAACCAACCCGGAAGTCTGCATCTCCCTACCTGACTCAGTTTAACTGTCAGGGATTTCATGGATTGATGCCATGTTTTTGTTTGGCCACCTCTTACTCTTTTCCAACCTGCACCTATATCAGCTATTATGCCCGTTGGGGAAGGCAATGGCTAGGCATGCGCAGCACGTGACGTAACCATCTCAATCTATGTAACTTCATAGCCTCTTCGATTGATTTTCACTCTTTGCCCAACACTCTTCGCCTAACGTCAACATTACTTACCTTATTATACCACCTAACGCGAGAAAGAGATCGTAAACATCTGTGGTCAAAAACAGACAATCTCTTCATGTCTTCCGCTCTCAATGGCCACGTCTCACCGCCATAGAGAAGGACGGAGCGAACTGCTGAGCAGTATACACGTCCCTTGGTTGACAGCCGGATGTCACGCCTACGCCAGAGACGGTATAAGTTAGCGAAAGCAGCCCGAGCTTTCTGGATCCGCGCTGTGATTTCGTCACCAATCAATCCGTTGGTGCTGATACAACTTCCCAAATAGGTGAAGTGGTCAACATGTTCTATCACTTCACTCCCTATCACTAAGCTAGGAGTTGACGTAGTCCAGTCCTGTAGCAGCATCTTACATTTCACAGGGGCGAATCGCATGCCAAACATACGAAGATTGCTGCTCAAGGTGTTCAGAAGACTCTGCATTTTGTCAGCGTCCTCCCCTAACAGGACTATGTCGTCTGCGTATTCTAAGTCTATATGACTATTCCCTGGTAACAAGTCGATTCCTAAGTCGTTAAGTTCAGTTAAGGATACTTCCATTAGCATATCCATGATGAAGTTAAACAGAAAAGGGGAAAGTGGACATCCTTGACGGACACCACTGGTTGTTATCAATTCAGATGACAATTCCCCATAAGCACTTACACAGCTACGTGAGTTTGAGTAGAGTGCCTTGATTAGTGCAATGTACTTTCTTGGCACTCCTTTCATAGTCAAACATTGCCATAGAACCTCTCGATCCACGGAGTCGAAGGCCGCCTTCAAGTCAAGAAATATGGCAATTGTTGGACGCCTAAAAGTGTGTCTATGTTCTAGGATCTGTCGGAGAGTGAAGATATGATCTATGCACCCTCTACCTGGCCTAAAGCCCACTTGATTTTCCCTCGTTTGTTCCTCCCGAGTTCGGCTTAGTCTGTGCATGATTACTGAGCTTAGGATTTTGGAGACTATTTTCGTTAGGCTGCTTCCTCTATGATTATCACATGAGGACTTGTCTCCCTTCTTGAATATTGGTATGATAAGTGACTTACCCCAGTCTGATGGAACCGTCTCTGATTCCCAGACGTTACCTAGTACCTTAGTTAAACTATATACTAGTATGTCACCCCCATATTTAAACACCTCCGGAATAATTCCGTCGGGTCCTACCGCTTTGCCTCGTTTCAAATTACAGATAGCTTTGGTGACCTCACTTACAGACGGCGGGCCAGTGTCTATGTCCCATCCGGGTGTGTGCTGGATGGCGGGGAGGCTCAGTGTGGCTGTAGGCAAGTTAAACTGTTCCTCGAAGTGTTCTTTCCAGCGTTCGAGGCGTCTATCCTGAGAGCTAATTAAGGAGCCATTTTTCTCACAAATAGTCTCACTTATGATTTGCCTTCTTGTACACAAATATATATTCCTTTCCGTCCCCAGTGGAGTATAGGGGTTTCAAGCTTCAGCTTTGATGTTACGGTACTAGTGTTTTTCTATTTTTAGGGGGTCGAGTCACTAGTCTCACGTCCAACCTTCCTTCTTCATCGGGTTTTATTACCGACTGAGAGAGGTTTATGAGTGCGTCAGCCGGGATTTGAACCTCGAACCATTTACGTTGTTGGTGTACATTCTGCCACTGAATCACTGATGCTTTGCACACAAAGGTCTCGTTTAAATTCATGAATGATCAAGGCCTCCACTGTCTTTAGAAGTTTATAAGGAAGAAAACTTGGCAGTTTATCATGAATTCGATAGATGGTCTTAAAATCATGGTTAGGGTTGGTAGAGTAGCAGGAGTTGATCAAGTGTTCTAGAATAGAGCTTAATTAATGAATTAACATTAAGACCAATCATCATCAATGGAAGACATTTGATAGAGGTTGCCTCCTTCACTTATCTAGGAAGCATTGTTTCAACCACAGACAAGCGGAACGGATGGAGATGTTAAAGTTGGCCAGCCAGAATTGGAAAGGCAAGATACGCCTCCATCAACCCGAAACCAGTTCGGAAATCTTCTGCACTCCACTTCAGCATGGAGAAGAAGATTCGGATTGTGTTCAACACAAATGCGAAGTCAGTAAGTCCCTTCTTCTATATGGGTCGGAAACGTACGCTGCCTGTCATGCAAAGCATTTCCGATATGTCGCAGAATTTCATCAACAGCTGCCTGATTCGCTGGCTCCATACTTGTTACAACTGAACTGAATAAATCCGTTGCTAGTTTGTTATTTCTGCGCCTGTTGTCAATTACTATAACGGTAATGAACTCGACTGATACGCTAATACGTCTATTTGTCCGTCGTACCTTCCGATTCACTGAGCCACGCAAATATCAAAAGACAAAGACTGGCCTTTGGCTGTAAAATTGCTGTATTGTACATCTATTAGGAAACAAAACACCATATTTATATATTTAATTTATCATAATACAATTAACTCAAAACTGTGGGAATGGACTGTTCTTATTGGCTGCAAATGTCTATTCTAATTGGTTGGTGATCCAATAAAGACCAAGGTGAGACAGTAGACAATAAATTGATCACACACTAAACCACAATATGCGTGAGAAGTGATGGACTCACTTAGTAACTCCATCACTAGATAAATCACAAGATTCGTGAGAAAGGATGATATACTATTTTGTGCTGGGTCCTATCAATACTGAAGATAAAATGTCCAGCCGGCCAGAATGAATTAAAGGCTGGCAACAAACCGATCGCTCAACAATTATGTAGGAGAAAATGGAGATAGATTGGGCACATGCTAAGAAGGCCGTCAAATGACATTGTGCGCAACACAGACCATCGCTCGAGTGGAATCCCGATTAGAAGTGACAAGTGGGTCGTCGGTGTGAAGGTGACATGGAGGAGATCGTGTGAGTTGGAGGAGGAGATGAGAGATTAGGGTCAATCGCGTACCCAGTTGAAGAGGACAAAGGAGAATAGAAGAAAGTGGAGATACAATTGGTTTACCACTTGCTACTTAACTATGATTACAATCACAAATAATGTGCAATCTTCACTTATACTACTATCAAGCCTTTCTATTCCATACCGCTTTATGCCTCCACATTCATAATTTCTGCATCTATCATTATCCCAGGCTAGGACTAAATAATTGTTCTTTAACTTTCATCGCTTCTTCTACAAACAAAAAATGTGTCAATTTCTGCCAAGTAAACTATTTTGAAAGTAGTAATGTGATAAGATTGTCGCGTTAGCCTGCTTTTTCCTATCTCTTTCCACTCACTATACTGTCCTAACATGAGTGTGTGTGTGTATATATGTGTCTATTCATTCGCCTGCCTTTGTGTGTCCACCGTTGTCTTGGCCATCCGATTATTATTATTATTATTTTTTACTGGGATCCTCACTTATTTATTATGACCTAACAGGCATTATTTATGCCTTTTATGCCTTTCTTTGACAAAATATTTTCCGATGAATTCAGGTTACTACTAATGCTATTGCTATTAGTAGTACTAGTACTAATACACTAATACTGCCTACCTGTCTGTCCTACACTCGCATTCGTATGTCCATTTTTGTCATACTGATGCCCTTTATGAATAAATAAAAACACCTATTGCAGACATATAGACAAACACACGCACAGCTATGCCCACACACACACACACACTCACGTACATGTAGATATACAGACAGATCAGCCCAAATCTAAAAAAAATTGTTTGAAATGCGAAGGAAAAGCTTTCCGTTGATGACATTCGTTTTTAAATTATATTTTTATTCGGCTGTTTCTTCGTTGTTGCATATGTTGTTGTTGTTGTTGTATTTTTGGTTGTTGTTATTGTGAGTAGAGCTGAAGAGAGGAGGGCAACAGAAAAAAAATATTGAAGAAATAAAAAACAAACGAAAAGTAGCTGTGACAGATGACCGAAACAAAAAAGATACAACATATACTGGATGGCGAGACAAACACACAGGGGGAAGAGTATTCGAATTTCTTTATTACACACAAATACCTACCCATGTAGAGATTATTATTTAATTCAGTGCGGACTTTCTCGTTGACCGATTGGACCAAAGTGGTCGGCTTCTGTTGACAAATTGATGAGTCCCAAATAGGACGAAATGTGCATTGTCCTGGATTCCACTTCTAGTCACCATTTACCATCCTCAGACATCATCGACGCGTCCACACAAGCAGCCGACATATCAACCTGAGGCCGAACACTTCTGTCCCCAATCAGTCAACGGGGAAGTCCAAATTGAACTGATTTATAACTGATACCCATTGCACAACAGGTAACTGTGGTTGGCCCAAGTGGTCTAGTGGATAACACTTTGGCGTTTGGAACTGTTGGGTTAAAGCTTCAGTAGGAACACTGTCATTTAACAGGAAATGTAGGCACATACGGATGACAAGTCCCGAATGGGACTAAATGCCAATCCTGGATCCCAGTGCTAATAATAATAATAATAATAATAATAATTTGCTTTGTTCCAAAACAGTACTTGTGATACAGAATGGAATTCTCAGCATTTTTTACTACAGTATTGCATCCAGTTAGTACATTATCAATAAATAAAGGAAATCTCAGTTCATTATGACAACAACATATTGGCTTGTCGGTAGCAAAGCCAAAGTTGAACAGTGTTTGAAGGTGTTAGAAAAGTAGGTGCTATCATATTTACTGGCGTAAGCGAGAGAAAGAAACAAAGCAGCACATAACGGAAAAATAAGAGAGAGAGAAAAGGAAAAAAAGAAAGAAAATGTTCAACCTATAAATGATATGAGTTGGAAAGACGAGATCCAGTTGTTCTACTGACTATTTAATAAGTTATAAGTTCCACGCCTAATGCTTTCTTTATCGCACAGAACACGAGCTAAGTAGGGTATAGTTGAATTTTTGTACTTGCTGGTGCGAGCATATAGTTTTCTATATAAGCTTCTGGCTTTGCCTAATGAGATGCAAGCGGAGAGTTGTGAGTGAAGAGGGTGATGTGAGTTAGATAAAATAGATTTAGCCCATTTTTCACATAAGTCCATGTGCCTATCAACCAGAATATTAACAAGCTGGTTCAGTGGCACGTTGCTTACCCTGCTGACATCCTTTAACATCCTGCGTAATAAAGTATAGTCTTTCTTCAGTAGCCGGGGAAAAACTAAGGGGGAACAATAGAGAATAATAGGCAGAATGCGAGAGTTAACGAATTGTAGGAGTAAGGGTTGGGTTATACCAGAATGTCTTAACTTCTTGATGTAGAAGGTAAGACGGAATATTTTCTTAGAAATCGTCAAGATATGAGACGACCAGGAGAGATCAGCAGATAGATTGACGCCTAGGTATTTAATTTCCGACTTGGTTTCTATTTCAGTGCCATCTATGTTGCACACCTCATGAGTGCTAACCAGTTTGTTTAGGTCGGATTTATGCCTAAACGTGAAATTGACTGTTTGGCATTTGGAGAGATTTAAGGTAAGACCGTTTTCCTTGGACCACTGGCTGATTTCTGATAGAAAGCAATTAAGTTAAGTGCAGTCACTTTGACATGTGACAGGCAAAGATACAGTAAGGTCGTCAGCATATTTGACAAAGTTAATGTCATTTGAAGATGGTAAGTCATGTAAAAAGAAAGAAAAGAGAAGTGGGGAGAGTACAGCACCTTGGGCGACACCAGCTTCAGTAGGCACATGAGAGAAGGATTTAACTTCGTATACGGTGTACTGCATTCTGTTTGAGAAATAGGAATGCAACCAGTTAGTGACCCAGGACTCAGTTTTTGTCATAGAGAACTTATTTAGCAAGAGACATCTAGGTACAGAGTCGAAAGCAGAAGCGAAGTCGAGAAACGTGCAGCGGACGTATTTGGCACCTTTATCTAATGATAAGACGATACTGTGGTATAAGACGGCTGCAGCGTCTAAATTGTTCCTACCCTGTTTATAGGCATATTGTTTGGGGTCTTCAAAGCTTTTAATGGAGGGTTCAAGTTTAAGAAGTACTAGTTTTTCCATAAGCTTTAGAAACGGGGAAGTGATGGTAATGGGTCTGAACTTTACGTTCTTGCTGTTTCCAGGTTTAGGAACAGGGACTATTTTAATGGAGAAAGAAGCATTTAGGACGTTGGTTAGTGGAGAACATAAAGCATCTGTACATTGTTTTAGAATATCATCACTATCTACCGAATTACCCATGTAGACATCGAAATAAGAACAAATTGTTCAGGGGAGACAATATTCTCAGTGAATTCATTCACTTAGCTGTTCTATCTCAATTACATATAATTATTCCAATATTAGTTAGCTTTATGTTATATAACATACCACAGTGATGATGTTTGGAGCACAGTTTATTAATCATAATGATATCGGAAGGTATTCACACGGCTTCAAATAGTTTTACTCCCTCTTGCTTTTATATGGCAATTTTGAATATATCCGGGCTAGGCGTTACGTCATTTCGATTGCACGTGTATTGATGTTGGTTCAATGAATTAAGATTCATTGATTAAGTTTCCTCTTAAATTGTGGAAAATACCCATCAGGATATTTCATTAGAGGGGAAATTTAACATGAAGTCCAGCAAACAGGTATCTTTTCAGCGATTTCATTCTCGAAAGCACAGGTCTACAATCGCATTTATATACATATAAGTCTACACAGATACAATTATTCTTATTTAATTCAGCATAATAACGAAGGAGATTGAAGGTGTCCTAACTTCACAGCCTCGTGGATTGATTTCCCCTCCCTTCTTACCTAGCACTTGACCGAAACCTAACCTCAATATTACTCACTCTATTATATTACCTAACATGTGAGATACAACGCAGACATCAGTGATCAAAGACAGCTAGCCAGCCTTTTCATATCTTCCAATTTCAGTGCTCATGTCTTCTCTTCTTTATTCCTTTACGTTCCCAGTGGAAAATAGGGCTTCAAGCTACAGGCTTGAAGTTTTGGTAGCAGTGGTGTTTATTTTTACGGGATGAGATTGCTAGCCTCAAGCCCAATCTTTCCTCTTTACCAGTCTTATTTACTGGTTTAGCGAGGTAAAGGAGTGCGTCGGTGGCTGAGGGCCGAACCTCAAACCATGTATGGCGTGGTTGGCGAGCATTCTACCTCTGTGCCGCCGACGCATAGTGCCCATGTCTTGCAACCATAAAAGAGGATGGAGCCAACTACTTCTAGGTAAACACGTCCTTTGATCGATTGTCGGATATTCCATCTACGCTAGAGATGATGTATATTGGCGAATATCACACGAGAATTTTGTATCTGTGCTGAGACTTTGTCAGCAGACAGTCTTTTACGGCTGCCAACTAACTGGTATTCACAGTAGAATAACATCGTCTGGAATTATATCTGCTATTGATACTAATAATAACTGTAGTTATAATTTTCTTTTTGAAACAAACGATTTGTTGATATTAGATAGTTGGAAGCAGTCGGCAGGAAGCTCTGCTTGACTGAGGTTTCGTGATAGTTGGCCTTCACCAGTCAGTCAGCAAGGCGTATCTGCAACCTTGAAGGAACTCATTTCCCTCCTTCTGAGATTCGAACCTGCTTCACCCAGTGCTGAAGTCAGAGACGTTACCACTGAGCAGCTATTCGGGCTCGCGATTGACCTCCTGTAGTGGGTATTTTCGTTCGACACTGGCAACTAGTGATGGTGAGCTACCTATTGGCATGGTGGCCACATTGCAAACCTAACTGCTTGATAGAATTCAGTCTGCACCAAAGAAAGGACTAGACACGTCGCACTAGTTACTAGTGTCCAATGAAAGTACAAACGATTTTATATTGATTTTTCCAATCTCTTTTCCTTTTCAATACAGATTTAAAACGTGAAGCGAGTATTTGTCATCTGTTGAAACATCCACATATTGTTGAATTGGTAGAAACATACAGTAGTGATGGAATGCTGTATATGATATTTGAATAGTAAGTGTGTATAATTTCTTCTAAAGTGTGATTTTATTATTGTTATCTATTTATTTTCTGTATCTGTACTGCTTGTAATGCTGCGCAAGAAGTAGGTATACATTTTCTTCAGCTCTTCACTGTCTCTTTTTGTCACAGTTGTTATCGTAATTCCATTGGATTCCGAGTTGGGAACGTTTCCATTTTACCAGGTCGTCTCCAACACCAATGTTCAGTCAGTCAATTCTTTTCAAACTAGTCAGAAACTTGGCTGCCGGGTCACGAAAAGCATTTCCAACAGGCTACTGCAAACTATAATCAACAGATGCCTTCTCCCGATACCGAAGATCGGATGGCCAGAAAGAAACTCTGGAAACGAACAAATCAAGAACCTGTTGCCTAGCAAATATTCCGAAGAAGAAGGACATGGACCGGACACATACTGAGGAAACCGTTGGTTGACGTTACACGTACCAGAAAGGCTTCATATTTGAACCTGTATGGGAAGAGTTTGGTTGGACATGGGTCTAGAGGTGACATAGAAAAGATTAGATGAAATGAAAGCTTTCAAACAGTCGTACAATGAAATAACAGATGCCATCATGAGGATGTAGACGTATCTCTGAGACCCTGTGTTGGACCCGAAACGGAAGGAATGGATGAAGTGTGATGTAGATTGATAAGAAGTAATGGAATTTGAAATCAACATTTGAAATCAATGGCTGCAGTTTTAGGAGTGTTTATTCCTCCTCAAATTTGGATTTAGTTTACGTTGTGAACATGAAATAACCTCATTGGACAACTTGCTTAACCTTAGGCCAGTCGCCAGCCAATCAAAACAATTTATTCTCCTCTGACCAAGCCGAACTTTAATGTGGCTAAGAATGTATAAATATGTCTTTTTGATGGTTTTCTCAGAGTATGGCAAGCCAATCCACCTCCATTTCTTCCTGCATATTTCTTGCACAGTTGGTTGCTGCTGGGTTGGATTTGTTCGTTCATTGCCAGAGACACCTCACTATTGCTCATTTTTTCTGGCCGGCCATCTGATCTTGAGTAAAGTATTGAGCGAAGACAGCTGCAGTTTGTTCGAAGTGGCCTTCGTGATGCGCTAGCCAAGTCCCTGATCCGTAAAGTAAATAGCACTGACTTCACATTGGAGCTGAAAATCCGGATCTTATTTTTCATGCTGAGTGCTGAGTATTGATCTCCACATAGACTTGAGAGTAATGGAAGCTTGCCTTGCTTTCTCGATCCTTGTTTTGATGATGTTGTTAGGTAGGTGAAGGAGATCGCTTCTTTCAGATTTCTCCCATTTATGCTGGCTGATTGTTGTCTGTTGCTGTTGATGTTGCTGGTGTTGACCAGGAATCTTCATCACCTCTGTTTTCTCTATGTTCACCTGAAGTGAAGTCCTATCTTCGATGCTTCTTGTGCCAACTTGTTGCTTTTCACTTGCATATCTTCCATTTTGTGTGAAATCAGACATATACCGTCGGTGAAGTCCAGATCCACCAATTTTTTTTGCGTGGGTCCATTTTATACATGTTTGTCGCATTATCAAGTCTACCGCCCGCAATCAGGAAAATCATTGGAAATATTAGGCAGACAGCCTTATCTTACTCCCATCTTCACTTCGAAGCACTCCGTGAGTTTCCCATTGTGGATTACTTGGTATGTAGCATTGTCGTACAACTGTTGGATGAGGTACATAATTGTTGGCAGCACCCGTTGGTAGTAGCGAAGTAGTTGCCAAATCACCTCTGGATCGACGCTATCGAAGGCCTTTTCAAAGTCTATGAAGTTGAGATAGAGAGGCGACTGCCATTCCAAGCTCTGTTCAATGATGATCCTCAGTGTTGCGATTTGATCGATGCATGACTTGTTTCTCCTGAATCCAGGCTGTTCTGGCCTAAGTTTTTCATCCAGGGCTTGTTTGATTCTCTCCAGGATGATTTGGCTTAGTATTTTGCTTGTGATGTACAGGAGCATAATTCCGCGCCAGTTCTTGCTTTGACTTAAGTCTCCTTTCTTTGGCAGTATGAATAGGTAGCCTTTCTTCCAATCTGCCCTTACCGTCTTCTCACACTTTCTCCATTAGTGGTGTTATCAAGTCCGCTGATGTCCTAGGGTCCATTTTCAATGCTTCTACTGGGATTCCGTTTGGTCCTGCTGCTTTTGCAGTTTTGTAGCATCTTTATTGCCTATCTGAGAGATAGCCTTGAGTTGGTATTTGGTGAGTTTTGATTGAAGAAGGTGAAATGGAAATCTGGATGGTAGCAGAATTAGAACCAGTAGCCTTCAGAGTACAAACCTGGCTGTCTACTAGCTGTGAACAATACACACACACATACATACATACATGCGCTCCCTGGCTGGTTTTCATCTCTCCAGAAGACTAATCATATGTGATACTTTAGGCATTCTATTTAATTTCATATAATTATCAAGTTCGAATTTATTGATTTGCAATTTATTTTATTGTTTTAAAAACTCTTTATAGTATGAAAGGTGCTGATCTTGCATTTGAAATTGTCAAGCGTGCAACAGCTGGTTTTGTGTATAGTGAAGCAGTAGCAAGGTAAGTGAAAAGCGTGTTTTGTAAAACAAGAGATGGGATTTATTTGATGCTTTTTGGAAGTATTTCCAGGTGGTTCACTCACCAGCCAGTCTGAAGTGGTTCAAACACTCACTCGATAGAGTCAAGCTCATCAGTGGAGTACCTAGTTACTTTAATTGGATACTAGATAGCAGCTAAAGTAGTGCCTGTAGTCCTCGGCGCTGGTGCAGACTGAATTTATTTATTTTTTTTATTTTTATTTACAGCTTGATTCCACACCGTATTTTCAGTACAAGTGTGGAATTTTCAGCATGGATATCGGTTGCCCAAATTCAGGCCGACCATAGATATCGGGTGTGCGCCGGCAGGGGATCGAACCCCGGACCATGTGCATGGTCGGCGAGAGTCCTAACCACTGTGCCACCGACGCACAGTCAAGTCTGCAATGTGACCATCATTCTAGGTGCTGTGCCATCGATCACGGTGCATTGTGAATTGTTGTTATTAGATGGTCAGAGGCGATTGGCAGGAATCTCTGCTTGACCTAAGTTTCGTGCTTGTTTATTAGTTGTCATCAAGGCTTATTCGCATTCTTGAAGGAACTAATGTCTCCCTTTGAGATTCGAACCCGCGTCATGCAGTGCTGCAATCATTCAGAGACGCTACCAGTGAGCGATTCGGACTCGTAATTGACCTGCTTTACCCGGTTGAACTTAGGTCAGATCATTTCTACCTGATTCTAGAAGATACTATTGGTTGCAGTGGGGATTTCCGACTACTGAAATCAATCAGTAGTATGTGCCATCTAGGAATGAAATTCACGTGTATAGAAACGATAAGAGATAGGTTAAAGACTTATTTGATAAGGTATTGTGTAACAGGAGAAGACAAGAAACTTGGTAACGGAATGTTTACTTGCAATGTGATATATACCATGTAGGGAAATCATGTTTACCGTATATTAAAATCGTCATTTGCACGGATCTTCCGTGCTGTGCCGTTTCTGCCCTTCGCGTACTGTGTTTCTTTGTCTTCTTTTCGTGTCTCTCATTTTTTTGGTGCCACACTGGTTCATTTGTTCTCTTTGACGTCAAATCTATCTCTCCGCTATTTGATATTTTTACATACTACTGATAAATCCTGTCAGTAGCACACGCCACAACTTCATACATAGCTGATGTTTTATTTATCCACCAATGGTAAAATTGTCAGCTTTCAAAGTCACTCAGCCTTTCTGTTATTGATTAGTTTAAAAGATAAATCACAAGAGTATAGAACTTAGTTAACGTGTCATGGCTACTCCATCAATCTGTTTGCATATTTCATTTATTATTTGGCATCCCCTGATGTTTCATCCTTATTCATTGATGCACCAGTTGTGGACACATTCGATTATATCTGTCAACAAGTTCTTATCACTAATATGAAGTAACTACTGCTCAATTGTACAACGAATGTCCAGTTCGAGTTCATTGGGTGAAACATACACAGACGGATTGATGGAATGGCCATGTTATCTCCACTAGGCCCTATACATGACTTGATTTCATTAGATGTTCACAAGTAGATGGTTTCGTTATTCTACGTTTAATTTTCGATAGTGCATCGGTAGCATAGTGGTTAGGACGCTCGCCAACCATGCACATGGTCCGGGGTTCGATCCCCTGCCAACGCACTCCTTTACCTCACTAAGCCAGAAATAATGCTGGTGAAGAGGAAAGGTTGTGCATGAGGCTAGCAACCCCATCCTGTAAAATAAACACTGCTACAGAAACTTCAAGCCACTAGCTTGAATCCCTATGTTCCACTGGGGAACGTGAAGGAAAAAATTTTTTTAGATAATCAAATCTGGTAATGTTCTACGATCTTGTTCCCTCACAACCTATTTTTGCATATAATGAAAGTGTAATTGAGTATTCTTCAATACATGATATATATATTCTCAAATCCAGTACCGATCTGAAAATAAGGCTAAAGTACATTCGATATGAAGCCTTTGAATTAGGCTTTGTGCTTACTGAGATTGTTCATCACAGCGCATCTCAGCTGTGATAGATATCTTCTGATATCTTCTCAGAGATTCGAACCTGCTGTCACCTGAGCACTGAAGTTGAAAACGTTACTAATGAGCTTTTCTATTATCTTTAAATATTCCCTTTGTTAATATTAGAACAAGACATATAAGCGAACATTATTGTTGTTTTCAATTAGATCTTCTTCAGGCTTTACTCTTATTTATAAAGATTTGTATGTAAATTATTTGTAAGTAAGGACGGTGATTTTGTAATAATAATAATGTGGTAAATGATTTGAACGTCATTAATAAAGATGATTCTAATGATAACAAAATATTGATAATAAGGTTTATGCAGGTGGCGATAAGAATAATGAAGGCAGTAATATGTGTGTGTATATGTAGAGAATTCAATACACAAACAAATTAGATCAAATCTTAAAAGTTGCGTAATACTAAGGGTGAAGTGGATACATAATCAGAGCTTAAATAAATATCATAAAAGTTCGGAGGAAATGCAAAATAAGAACGGGTGGGAGGGTTTTGATTAGACTTTACATAGGCCAAGGAAGAGACACAGGTAGAAGAAACTTCATTATAAATTATTTAAATTAATCCCAGCGTGTTAAGAAAATCAAAACAAGATTTTTCTGAACGTTTCGCTGAGTAAGCCACAGCTTCTTCAGCAGATTTATTCGGATTTTTGTTAATCATCAAAATATATAGTCAAAAATTTTACATACATTAAAGTCAGTTTATTTGAAGGTCATTTGTCTATGGACATTTTTACCAATAGAAAATATGTAAGTAGTCATCACATATATTTCTAATGACTCTTGTATAGTTAATTTGTATAGATTAGTTTTGTATGACTGTGTGTGTATGCATGTTATTTGTCATATGGAAAATACGTGAATTCATATATGATAAACATGATCCTATATGTTTTAAAAGGTCATGGAGGCTCATAGAGTGCTGATTGATTTTTTCATTTGTCTTGCTTCATACGAGTTTACGATATAGGTGATAAGTCTATCCCATCTTTCCTATTCACTGCATTCCATGTGGTTAAGATGTGCAAGGCTTCAGAAGTCAATCTTTCTTTATGTGAGTGAAATCCTCTTTCAAGAATTTCGACATTGTCGAAATCAATCTTATGTCCGCTGTCTATAGCATGCATTGCTATAGCCGATCTTTAGTTCTACTTCATTTCTAGGTGGACGTTTCGTGCATAGTCTATGTTCATTCACTCTGACCTTCATCCGTCTACTGCTCTCCCTTATATAGCATGCATCACATTCGGAACACTTTATCTTGTAGACACAATTACTTTGTGACATTCTGGGAACTATTTCTTTGACATGTACCAACGCCTTCTCTAGAGAATTAGAAGGTTTGACATAGACTTTAATATTATATGAGGCAAATAATCTTTGAAGTTGTTCAGCTGTGTCCTTTCGGTATGGGATGGCTATCGTGGATAGCCAGGATTTTTCAATTTTTGGTTTTCCCTTATGCTCCTTTCTATTGATAATATTATCAAGTAGCTTTTCAGGATAACCATTTCCAATCAAAACCTGTTTTATGTTGGAAGAAACTTCTTTTGTATTCAAAGACTAGGATTTTTCTCTCGAAATAATTTCCATAGCTTCGGTTATGTGTAAAAGGCAGATTCGAACTCCGTTGGAAAGGCTCTGACTGACTGTTTTCAACATAGAACTTTGCACCGATGTGCAGCAGTTCCAGTCGCCACACTCCATATAGCACACAAAGCAAGAGAAGAAAGCAGAAGAAACGCAAAATAGAAGCAGTAAACAGGGATATGAGACAAAAGGAATAGTAATAACGGTGAACAATACAGTTTTATTGGAAATTATAGGTCACAAGGAGTTGATGCATCTGCGCCAGTCATTGAGAATGATTTTGAGCCATATTACCGATTGTCTCTAGCCATTGGTGTTTACCGTCACGAGGACCCCAACTAGTCAGGAAGTCTACGTCTTCCTACGTGGCTTAAACTAAGTATTGTGGATTTCGTTGACTGATGAAGCCATGTTGATTCGGTTTGACCATCACTGACTCTTTTCCAACCTGACCCTATGTCAGCTAACATTGGCCTTTGTGGAGGAAGGCGATGGCTAGCCATACGTAACACATGTCCTAGCCATCTCAGTCGATGTAACTTCACAGCCTCGTCTAATAATTTCCACTCCTTACCTAGCACTCGACCTATGCCTAACCTCAATATTGGTTCGCACCGACGTAGGGAGATGTAGACTGCCATGATAAGGGTCCTTTAGACACTGACAACTGATATTTGGCGATTGGCAGCGACGTAGCTCAAAATCGTTTGCATAGATACATAGATGTACTTACGCCCACTTTATCTTCAAGATTTATTATGAAATTCTCATTATTCTCCATGTATTTAGCTTTTCTTTCACACACATTTCCGTTTTGTAATAGTTCGTTTGAATTTTTGTATCATTTGTGAAGTGCAAAAATTTTGAACTGCTGTAATTTTGAGAAAAGTTCTACGCTGAATATTAATTCCTCGGTGAAGTTCAACAACAGCGTCCCAGGAGTGCGAACACTCCATTGACCTTGAACGCATGCTAGTCGTTGGCTAACAGCCCTAACAGGGTTAGGGTTATAAGGTTAGGGTCAGTGTTGAGTTTAGGGTTGGGGTCAGGATTTAGGTTAGGGTTACGATTATGGATAGATTTAGAGTTGATTTCATTTATTTTAATTTATTATCCACCTTTTTCTGGTAAGTAATCGTCGACCCCCTTACTGGAAACCATAGTAATTCAACCGAGGGCTTTGGGGAAGACTGCACAACAGGATAAGAGAGATAAACGATTCACAAAAACAGCTCATCTTCAGTCACGTCGGTGAAAACATGTACAGAAACTAGTCCAGTATAGAAACCGATACTCCTCATTATAACTGGGACGTATTTTTAAGTCATGTCAGAGAAAGATACCCTGTTTAATGTGTTTTCATGCATTTTCTTGTAAATATACGTCATTTTTTGTGCAAAAGTCACTTATTTGTATGACTGGTCGACTGAAGGTCACTCGCATGCCTTGGGACACTATTGTTAAACTTTGCCCATTCCTCTTCATTTGCTCTTCTTGACATTTTTGTCTTTTATATCGAGCATAAAATGTAATTGTTGAGCAATAACCGCAGGTTTTCAGTTGAACAGATACTTATTCTGAGCGAGAAGTCTAGTAGAATTGCGGGACCTAAGGTTTCCAGATACCCTATTATTTAAACTAGTGATTGACCTGCTGTACTGCCCTCTTGATAACCACACTGGATAGCTGCATAGATGAATGCATACTTCTAAAACAATATCTGTTCCCTTTTTTTGGTTTCTTACAAATCCGTGATTTCTAATTGAGCATTACTCACTAGTCATTTGGAAAATCAATTTTTTATTAGTGTATCATGGGACTGAACACCTCTTTTGGGTTAGATTTCACTATGAATCGACTTGAGTTAGAAAATCGTTAAAAAAACTCGGGAAATATTAAGGATAACTATTTCGTCCTAGTTCGAGACTCTTCAGCAATATGCACCCATGATTCCACTGGAGATAGAGACCAGGAGCTTCATGGAGCCTTTAGCTACTGGGACGAATTCCGACGGTCCGTGAAGTCTAACTTCTTCAATTTTTCCATATACAGCACGAATTTCATATAATCAAATTGATGCATATTCACTTGATTGACCGTTTATGCTATTTACGCATTATCTTTAATTCTGTTTCATTCAGTCATGTGATAAATTGATTTATATTATGCTATTTGGTTGTTATTAGCTATCAGTGGGAATGTAGAATTCATGTTTCGTCCCATTGGAGACTTGTCAGTTGGATGTGTATCAGAATCCTCATTAAGTGATGGTGTTGCCAAATACTATCATATTATTATTATTATTATTTCCTTTAATTCCTAGAGGAACATAGGGCTTCAGCCATGCGTCTCCATTGCGTTCGGTTCTCTGCTGTAGTTTTCACCTGGCTCCAGGTCTGCCCACACCTTTTCATCTCCTCTTCACATGATCTCCTCCAGGTCACCCTTGGACGACCAACTCGTCGCTTCCCTTTCGGGTTGCACTCGAGCAATGGCTTGTCTAGTGATGTCACTTGCTGGTTTCCTCAGAGTGTGTCCAATCCATCTCCATTTCTTCCTGCCTATTTGTTTCACGATCGGTTCCTGGTTGGTTCGCTCCCAGAGATCTTTGTTGCTGATCCTCTCCGGCCATTTGATCTTGAGTATTGAGCGAAGGCATTTGTTAATGAAGGTCTGTAGCTTGTTTGAGCTGCTCTTTGTGACACGCCAAGTCTCTGATCCGTATAGTAGTATCATATTACCTTACATGTATCGTCAAAATACCTTTATTAGGAGCTGACATACCCTACAGAGACCCGGTAAAAATCAATCAAAAGAAAATACGAAATAAACTCATATGATTTTAATTATGCAGTTATCCATGGACTGGAGAATTTTACTCCCGACCGATAGCTGCTACCTCTTGACGTGATGGTTCAGTTTGCCTATCGCAATCATCAAACGAGCTATACTGTCTGGAACTAATGTTCCTTCAGGTCCTACCTACCATGCCTCGTAGGTCGTTTGGATATCGACGAGACTAAAAGTAGATCTCTTACACCATGTTAGGAACTGTGGCCGAGGTTGTACCGCTGGCGAATGGGGTTATCTTCCTTAGGTTGTGGTGACAGCTGTCTGCAAGACAAAGTTGTAAACAACAGTTAACGTCAATGTTTACTTCCCGAATCCGGGTCATGAGAAGAAACAAGAACGAAGCCTAACCTACAGGAACTCACAAACCAATCACAGCAGATTTAACGTGGGCAGATACGATTCGCAAATATATGACCGGACTGTTTAAGAAACGGCCACAAAGAGATGACAGAATAACCTTCAGCAAGAAAAACAAATCAGAAGACCTTGCTTCTCTGCTAACAATAACGCTAATAATAATGTACATGAAAATTTATAAATATCTGTTGATTTTCTGAATAAACGATCTGTTGCCTGGCCCTTGTCTTCTGTTGTTGCAAGATGACATGGAAGCCAGCTATGCTACCTCTCTACTGTTTGTAGAAGGGATTAGAAATGTTTGAATCCAGAACTTGTACATCCCGGCTTACCTTGTGGTGATTCGTAGCCGTTAAACGGAATGGTATAAGCCGATTCAAACAGGTATCCCCTAGGATCTGCAGTCACACAGCGGTAATGCTGGTTCGGTTTCAGGTATTCAAAGAAGACAGTAACTTCCGTAGTATGGGGAGCCTAGAAATAATAACCGCTTCCCCCTAGTCACGCCCACACATAAACTTCTGTAGATATACAAATCTTCCCAGACAACTTTTACGAATAATTCGTTATTTTATTCGCTTATACCAAATATTTGCTCTTAATTTTCTTTCCTGTACTTTTCTCTTCTTCTTTTCACCCAATTCCGTTGGTGTTATTTAGTCATTATTTAAGACAAATTCTTGAAGCGATACGTTATTGTCATGAGAATAATATTATACATCGTGATTTAAAACCACACTGTATTGTATTGGCGAGTAAAGAGAATTCAGCACCAGTTAAACTTGGCGGTTTTGGATTAGCTACTCACCTAAATTTAGATACAAATCAAGTTAGTGGAGGTAAGTGATAGGTCTGGTTTGTTTTTTATATCATTAATTATGTGTAGATAGCTTATAGTGTAACAGTAAGAGCGTGGTAGTATTAAGTAGAGAAATTTTTAATTGGTCAATTGATGTACAGATATGACAAAGAAGGGCGAATTAGGCCTCTGGAAGAGCTGGAAACTACTTCAAACCCACAGTGTACCTCAAGTCTTTATCAACCTCATTCAACAACTAGCTGTATGACAGTGCCACGTGTCACGTGATCCACAACGGAAAACTCAACAAGGCGTTCGAAGTGCATACAGAAGTAAGACAAGGTTGGCTGCCTATTATCACCGATGATATTCTTAATTTTGGTAGACTGGATCATGCATCAGACTGTGGGGAGCGAGAAGACAGGTATACGCTGGACCACCAATCAGAAGAGACCATCTAAAAGTTCTGGATCTAGTAGATGATATATGTCTAGTGCCACATAAACTCGAACACTTTTAGGCGGAAACCAAAAAACTGACTGACGATTCAGGCAGCGAAGACAGGACAGATTTCCGGTGAAGATAGAGAAGAAGGAGGCGATGAAGATAACCAACGAACTGTAAGAACAACCAGCACCGATCAACGTCAACGTGTGAGATTTGATGGAGGTTACCTCCTTCACTTATCTAGTAAGCATTGTCTCAACCACATACAGGCGGAACGGATGAAAATGTCAAAGCCAACCAGCTAGAATCGGAAAGGCAAGATACGCCTTCATCAACCTGAAACCAGTTCGGAAATCTTATACACTAACTCAGCATAAGGAACAAAATTCGGATTTTCAACACCAATATCAGGTCGGTCCTTCCATATGGGTCAGAAACTTGGCGTGTAACGAAAAGGATATCCAACAGGTTGCAGAATTTTATCAACAGCTGCCTTCTTCACTGGCTCCATGCCGAAGATCAAATGGCCAGCCGGCTAGAAAGAATTAGTAACAAGAAACTATGGGAACAAAACAACAAGCGAGAGCCGATCGCTCAACAAATATGTAGGAGAAAACGGAGTTGGATCGGGCATACATTGAGGAGGCCGTCACTCGAGTGGAATCCCAATAGGAAGCGATGAGTACATCATGAGTGCGAGGAAGACGTGGAGGTGATCGTGTGGTGGGGACGAGATGATGAATTATGACCAATCGTGGAGCTATCCAGCTGAAGAAGGTGACAGAAAATATATGAAAGTGGAGATGTGTTGTTGAAGCCAACCCTATGTTCCACTTGGAACCCAAGGGAATAATAATGATAATAATGAGAGCTGGTGATGAATAATGCTCTTGTCCACGCCAAGCTATTACAGATGTACTGGATGCAGAACTCCATCACCCATCGAAAAAGGCTGGATTCAGAAAAAGCAAATCATATGCGGATTGAATAGCAACTCTACACATCACCACAAACGAACAAAGCATAGAATGGCAGTCAAATCTCTACCTCAAATTTGTCAACTTCGAAAAAGCCTTCAACAGCGTTGACCATGGAGTAATTTGAAAACTACTTCAATACTATGGGGTGTGGTGTGCCAAATCTTCATCAACTTCATTCAACAGCTGGTTATATGGCGATGCCACCAGTCAGGTGATCCGCAACGGAACACTCAGAGAGGCGTTTAAAGTGATTATAGGAGCACGGGAAGGCTTCCCACCATCACCAGTGACATTCCTAATTTTGGTCGACTGGATTATGTGGAAGACTGTGGAGAACTAGAAAACGGGAATACGTAAGGTCTACAAGACTCTCGAATATATGGACTTCGAGGATTATTTATGTCTAGTGTTACACAAACTCAAAGACTTACGGGCGAAAAGTAACAAACTGGCTGAGGAAGCCGCGAAGAATGGGCAGATTTCAGATGATGTTGTCAAAGGCAGTCAGAATCAGAAAGAGAGTTATTCATCCCTTGGAAGTCAGTCTGAAGATCTTCTGCACTCAACATACACAACAAAATTTCGCATTTTCAACGCTAATGTTAGTTCACCTCTTTGTGGGTCAGAAACTTGTCTCTAAGGTGATGAAAAGCACATCCAACACCCACCTGTAGACTTTTGTCAACAGCTGCCTTCATTCCGTATTGATTATCAAATAGTCTGGAGGAACTAGTAACAAGAAACTATGGGAATAAACTAGCCAAGAACCTATTGCTCAACAAATATGTATGAGGAGATGCAGATGGACTAGGCACACACTGAGAGGACCGTCGATTAATACTGCACCCCAGGCCATCACTCGAGTGGAACTCAAATAGGAAACGACAAGATGGGTGTAAATCCGAGGGTGACATGGAGAAGATCGTGAGAGAAATAGATGAGAGGTTATTATCAATCATGGGCCCAACTAAAGAGGGCAAAAGAGAATAGGGCGAAGCGGAGATTTGTTGAAGCCTTGTGCTCCACCTGCAATCCAAGGGAACAATAATACAAAAATAATAAAAATACACAGATTAAATAAACAAGATGAAAAATAAATAAATGTTCATCCTTCATTTTTATTCTATGACCTAGGTAGAAATAGGGACTAAACATTCCTCTACTGCATACAAAGACTTAGCTTTATTTTAATAATAATAATAAGGCTTCAATCTCTCCTCATATGATCTTATGCATATATATAATAATAATAATGATTTACTTTATTCCAAAAACAGTACTTGTGATACAGAATGGAATTTTCAGCATTAATCACAATATCTCGCATCTAATTTCCTCAAATTATAAATAAAATTAACCACACAGAAAATATTTCCACATTTACAATAGGGGTAATGTAAAAAATATGCAGCATTTAAAATGGAAATAATAGTAATGATAGCAGCTAAGGTAATGATAATAATAATAATAAAACAAGTGAAAATTGCCGTCGGCTTGTTTCACACAGTATTGTCGATGCTGTATAGAAATCCTATCATGTTTAAAAATATTGAATATAATGTTCTCTTTACATGATATGGTGAGGGGAAAAACAAAGATTACAGCAGTCATAGAGAAAAGTTGGTGTTTGCAGTTATGAAAGTAAAAACAAAGAAGCAACAGAACCATAAATATAATAGAAATAATAAAAGTAAAACTTGAAGGTAAAAAAAAATAAAAATAAATATAAAAACAGAATTGAAGAGCGGAGCTCTTTTACGAGCTTCGTATATTCCAGAATCATTTATAAATCCTAAATCAAGTCAAGTATCTTGTCGAGTTGGGAAGTTAGCAACATTTTCATGGCCCAGCAATGTAATAAAACTGTAGTCACTGGCGTTGAAGTCACCAGTCACTACAGACAAGGAGTTACCAAATGAAGCAGCAGCAAAAATAGTGAATCCATCAGCGAAGATTGATAGTTCTGAGGGACTGCAACAAGATGTGACATAGATATTTGTGACAAAAATGAAGTTATACTTAGATAAGTGTTTAGGTCGGCATTTAACAGTTATACAATCAATATTGTCATTTGAGAATTTGAAGCAGACGTTGTTGGCAGTAGACCACTGAGAATTAATAAAAGTGGCAACACCTCCACCTCTCTTCTTCTTCGAGCTGCATCGGTCTTGTCTGTACATTGTGAAACCACTTAAAGAGACCAAATTACCGTCATATGAATCGTGGAGCCAAGTTTCTTGAAGAGTAATTACACCAGTATTACAATATACATTTGAGTATAATAGAGAATGCAAGTAATTAATCTTGTTCGTTAGAGATCTGCAATTTGTGCTCATAATCCCAGGAACAGTCATCAAATGCACTGGAGTACGCTTTGAAGCTCGTTGCCATACACCATGAAGCTTTTTGTTAAGTTTGTTAGAAACTAGTAAATCAGCCGGTTGGAAACGTTTTAAATAACCGCGAGAGTAAACAATACGATTAGGACACATAATTCAGTGGTTAAAATAAAATAAATCCGAGGAAATAGATGCAATATGTAGGATGGAAATTTTGGTAGCCCAAGATTTAAGCAGGACACCAGTATGATGAAAAGATAAGATTAGTTATGAAAATAGTAAAAATAATATAAATAATATAAAATTCAAAGCCTCTGTAGTACTGTTATACAAAGAAGGAATATCAAAGGCCTTACGTAGAATTCTCAATGAAGCTGAAATTAGGGTGGGATTTAAACCAACCAACCAACTGTCTCAGAGATAAACTTTATCGGCTTAAGGACCCATTAGACCCAATCAAGAGAAATAATATAAATACCATGCTATGACTTTCAGGTCAATAACACAAGTCAAAGTAGTAGATCGGTGTCATTTAGATTATTGAAACGCAAAACTTTGTCTAGACCTAGAATGATGATTGACCGTGCTAAGTTAAGCAATGCAGAATAAAGCTTAGCCATTGTATTGCATTCACTTGCGTGTAATCACACAGTGATGGTTTGGGACAGAGTGAGAGTATTGAAAATTAGTATAGTCAGGTGAAGAGATTCAAAACCACTGCACACGTGCAATTAGAATGACGCAACGCCCATACTGGAGATATGGAAAGTGACAACAAATCCCAAAGGGAAAATATGGAAAAGGGGCATATAAAGCAACTTATGAAGGTATGTGAATAAATTGATAGGTGCTTATGAGCAACAATAAATTGTGCTTGAAATGTCTTCCAGTTGTTAATCCTGCATCATCACTGTGTTGATATCGAATAAAACGTATCTAATGTCGGATTACTTTTCATTTCTCCCTTGTAAAAACATTTTGAAATGTATTCTCCTATCCGTGTGGAAAGCATTATTCTGGATACTGCTAATGCACTGGGGTTTAGAAAAGCAGACTAACTGATAGATGCATATAGTCGCAGCCGAATGAGGCAGCTTATATTTTACACCAACGAAGATTAACTTCCCGCTGATGAGGGTCTTTTGGAGTTTAGCTGTAAAGAACGTCTTACTGATTGATTCAGAAAGACAGTTTTTGAGGAAATCTGAAGTTTTAAAAAAATTTTTTATTTTATCCCTTTACCTTCTGAATGGTACATAGAGGGGGCTTCAAGCTAGGGCTTTGAAGTTTCAGTAGCAGTGGTGCTTATTTTTACGGGGTGGGGTTGCTAGCCTCATGTTCAATCTACTCTCTTTACTAGTATTATTACTAGCTTAGTGAGGTTTAGAAGTGCGTCGGTGGCCGGGAATCAAACCGTGAAACACATGTAGTAGTGTGGTTGGCTAGCGTTCTACCGCCAAACCACTGACTCATACACCATCTGAAGTATGGATCACTTTTGAATTCCAGATTCTTGAAAATGTTTCTCTGTGGAACTGATTTAGTGACCAGTTTAGCGTGTTTATTTTTTGTGTTGTTAGGAATAAATTAGCTTTGATAGTTTTCTATGTTATTTAATTTGCTTTTAATTTCATCTTTTACTGTAGATTCACCGATTACTGTTGATCAGGAAATATTTGTTTCTTTACGTCCAGATCAGTGTGGTAAGTAAAAGGATCAGTTTATTCATGCTTTCCATTTTGCGTCTGAAATTTTATTTCTTTTGAAAAATATTCACAAATCAAATTCTTCCAAAAATCAACTCTTGAAAATTAATCTGATGCTCGCTAGTGACTTGATACAGAACAGTGTTTCCTGGATTTTTTGTGAGTAGTTGTGACAAGCAGTGAGGTGCATCCAGTCGCGAGTGAGAGTGGATTTCCCGCCTATGACTTTGTCTGGTGGTCGCGCTTAATTAGCGAATCGGAGGAAGTTTGAATTCATGGAGTGACCATTGAATTGGGTCCTAGTGGCTGAATGGTATACGAGCTTGCCTTGCAGCTGGAAGGTCCTGGGTTCGAGCCCAGGCGATTGCCGTGTACTGGTGAAGAGTACCAAACTCGGTCGGTCGGTCGGTTTTCGACATAGAACTTTGCACATATATGCGGCAGTTCAAGTCGCCACACTCCATGTAGCACACAAAGAAAGAGAAGAAAGTAGGAGAAATGCATGATATAGACAGTAAACAGAGGTGTGAGACAAAGGAATAGTAACAACGGAGAACAAAACAGTTTAATTGGAAATCATAAGTCACAAGGAGTGGATGCATCTGCGCTGTCATTGAGAACGATTTTGAGCCATGTCACCAATTGTTTCCAACCATTGGATTTTACCGTCCCGAGGACCCCAACCAGGAAGTCTGCATCTTCCTACGTGGCTGGCTTAAGCTAACTGTTGTGGATTTCATTGTCTGGTGCCATGTTTTCGTTTGACCGCCGCTAGCTCTTTTCCAGCCTGGCCCTATATCAGCTAACATTGCCTGTTGTCGAGGAAGGCGATGACTAGGCATACGTAATACATGTCCTAACCATCTTAGTCGATGTAATTTCACAGATTCGTCGATTGATTTCCCCGCCTTACCTAGCACTCGACGCCTAACCTCAATATTGCTCACCTTATCATACTACTTCACGCGGGAGATAGAATGCAGACACCTATGATCAAAGAGAGCTAATCTTTTCATGTCTTCTGCTCTCAATGGCCAGATCTCACAGCCATAAAGGAGGACGGAGCGGACTGTTGAGCAGTACACACGCCCTTTGGTCGATAGTCCCAAACTAGGACGAAACAGCTGTCCAGTACTCCTTGTTGGTTTTCAGTGGTTCTCTAACTGATATCAGTGCGTTGTCTAACTCGAAAATTTCAGAATAATAAATGAAACTGTCATAATTCATACGCTAAAACTTGCCGGTGTAAACGATTTGTAGTTATGGGACATACACACACACACACACAAATACAAACCGTTTCATACTAATCTACTACAGTTAGTATATCGACTACTTATTAATGAAATTACCCAAAAATTATTATTGATCTCTTATTGATTTGCTTTTTGTAAAATTTATTTTGTAAATGTCATTCTAATTTTTTTGATATACTACCGCAACTAGTAAGTGACTCAAGCAACACTTACATTTCCATATTGTCGGCAATGCTCTGCATTATTTTTGTGAAGGTCAGTGATACTATCTGACTGCTTGAATCTCAGCAGGTGGGGGGAGGAGGATTCAAAACTCTGACTGACTTTGTGGTTGGTAGTCAAGTGTTTAGACTAGTGAGTCAAAACTGCGCACAACTTTTGATATCACTAAATGTGCTCATTTGTTGTTAAATCGAATTTTGGTGTTCGGCTGTGAAGGGAATGTCGAGGGAATACATCGCACTGATCAAGATATTCTACTCAAACTCATGGAGTTAGGTAGGTGAGAGCCTACGGAAGGTTGTAATCTGAAGTTATGACAACCATTGGTATCTGTCAGGAATGCCCACTGTCCGTCTCCATTTCTGTTTAATTTCATCTTACGTGTACTAATGGACTTAACGCTAACTGACTTCAGCGACTTAGGGATTGACTTGTTACCAGGGAACAATAGTCTCGTTGACTGAGAATATGTGGATGATATACTCCTGCCTCCTAAGTGAAGACGCTGATAAAACGCAGAGTCTTCTGAACACCTTGAGGAGCAGCAATCTTCGAATGTTTTGGCATGCGATTCGCTCCTTCTGTCAAACGTAAGATGATGCTATAGGACTGGACTACATTGACTCCTAGCTTAAAGATAGGGAGTGAAGTGGTAGAGCATGTTGACTACTTCACTTATTTGGGAAGTTGCATCAGCCAACGCCAATTGGCTGATCACTGACGAAATCTCAACACGGATAAAGAAGGCTCGTCGGGCGTTTGCCAACTGACCCCATCTCTGACGACGTGACATCCTATTGGCTGTTGATCAAAGAAAGTGTGTACTGCTCAGCGGTTCGCTCTGTCCTCCTTTATGGCTGTGAGTGAGACATGGACATTGAGAGTGGAAGACATGAAAAAGCTGGTTAGCTGTCTTTGACCATAGATGTCTGCGTTCTATCTCCTGTGTGAAGTGGTATAATAGGCTGAGTAATATTGAGGTTAGGTGTCTAGTGCTAGATAAATAGGGTAAATCAATAGACGCGGTTATGAAGTTACACCGATTGAGATGGTTAGGACATGTGTTACACATGCCTAGCTATTGCCTTCCTAGACGAAACATTTTAGTTAACATATGATGAATCAGCGTGGGAAAGAGCTAGTGGTGGTCACACCAAAACATGGAATCGGTCAACGAAATCCATGACAGTTAGTTTAAGTCAGCCAGCCAGCCATGTCGGGAGATGTAGACTTCCTGGTTGAGGTCCTCGAAATGGGAAAAGCCGACGAAGTCTGGAAACAGTTGGTAGTGATATGGCTCAAGATCGTTCTCAAAGGTTAGCGCAGATGCATTCACTCTTTGTGATTTATAATATCCGATAAAACTCTGCTGTTTTTTCATATCACTATTCTTTTTGCCTCAAATTTCTATTTATTATCTCTCTCTCTTTTGAATCTTTCTTAACTCTCTTCTCCTGCTTTGTTTGTTACATGGAGTATGACAACTCGAACTGCTACACCTTTGTGTAAAGTCCTATGTTGAAACCATTCAGTCATACATTCATACCTGATATCTATGGCCGGCCTGCTAAATCTGGGCTACCAATATCACATACAGTTGAAGTAAAGATGTATATTTAGTTGTTGAAAAGAGCATATTAGACACTTTACATTAATCATTGAAGCCGTGTACAATCCCTGCATTATGTGAGGGGCTATCAGGAAAAACATGTTGACTGTGGACGTCTCATTCGTATAAAGTTGTTAGTGAAGGTAGAGACCTGCCAAATGGCTAGAGAGGACACATTCGACTGACACCAATTGGTAACAAATATTTTCCCTAAGTGAACTCTGAAGTCTCCTTGTGAGATAATGAACTAACAACAAGTAAATATCAAATAAATATCTTTCTCACTTGGTACTATATATTCTTAAAGGGTATTCTTTTAAAATTATTGTGTTGAATTTCCCATTCACAATTGATTATATTGGTGTATTGAGGTTAGGTGTAGAGTGTTGGGTAAACAGGGCACCTTAGTCGTTGAGGCTGATAAGCTGCATCGATGGAGATGACTAGGACACGTGTTGCGCATGCCAAACTATCGCCTTCATCAAAAAGCAATGTTTACTGACTTAGGTTTGGGTTGGGAGACTTAGAGATGATCAAACCAGAGCCTGGCATCAATCCGTGAAGTTGTTAACTGCTGGTTTAAGCCAAACGTGTATGGAGATGTAGACTGCCTAGTTGGTGTTCAAAAGATGCTAAGAGCCAATGGAGGGAGACTGTTGGTGGTTCGACTCAAAATCATTCTAAGTAGCGTAGGTGTATTCACTCTTTTTAACTTTCTAGATTAATTAAATCCTCTTGTTTTTTCCATTTTGGTATTCTTTTTGCATTACTTGTCTGCTCATTACAGTTTTTTGGAATTTCTCTGTCTTCATTTCTCAACGGTTGTGCGCGTTATTTGAATTTCGGTAACTTGAACTGCTGCATTTCTGTGCAAAGTTCCATGTTTAAACTCACTGAGTTAACAAGTCGGCTCCTAAAATGAACACTTTGACGACATTGTGTGACAATCGTAACTTTACTCGATTGATGTCAGCTAGAAGTGATATCCAGGAAAACATCACTCATTTAGTACACAAGGGCATTCAGTTGAAGAGTCCCAAACAGGACGAAAGTCACACTTATTGGATTACAGTATTAGCCCAAATGACTCAAATAACACTACGATTCTTTTGAATTTGTGTTGTACTAATTTCTTTGTTTGTGATTTTGATTATTGAAATATGTATATACAGTTAATTATACATATTCCTTTATTCTTACAGGTCGTATAGGTACTCCACATTATATGGCGCCGGAAATGATTCGTCATGAACCTTATGGTAAAGCTGTTGATGCATGGAGTTGTGGTGTTCTCCTATTTGTCTTGCTAAGCGGTTCTTTACCATTCTATGGGACAAGAGATGTTCTTTTTACACAAATAGTTTCTGGACGTTACCATGTAGGCGTTTTATTTATTAATTTTTTGAAAAATTAATATGAAGATAAGTGTATGTCCAATTATTTTAGGAACATGCATCGGAATGAAGTTCCACCAGTGCTAGTGAGAAGTTGTAGCTAGCGGGATCCACTAAGTCGAACATGAGAACAGATAATTAACAGAGACATTGGTTAGTGGGGGCGCTTTATATCGCAAATCTGCAGAAGTTAGAATTTTCGGGATATGGGTTTCTGTGTCAATAGCTGAATGGTTAACGGAATCGTCCCATAACCTAAATGTCCTGGTCTGTATCTTCGCTTTTATTGTGGATGCATGCTGCTGAACAGTCCGAAAGTAGGATGATGAGACAGCTTTCTAATCTTCTCCGGTTATCAATGTCTCTCTAACTGATGTTACCCCGTAATCCGTCAGTCAGTCCCATAGGGTTTAATATTCTGTTATTAAAAACAGTGGCATTTGAATAAAATGTCTTCTATTTGAGCTATGGTCAGGTTGTGTATTTCGTAAGTCTGAAGTAACTCTTAATTTGTAAATTCTGGATAGACACTGCAATCGGACTCAAGCAAAATAGGGTATTATAAATAGCACTACTGGCATAGTTTCTTTGATTTTCTCCTCATGCAGTATTGGTAAGGATATCTAGTTTGTTATAGAAACGTAAGTCAATTAAAACTTCAGCCTTATTTAAGAGTGTTACTTAAAGAAGATGAGACATTTAGCAAGATTATGACGTCTCTCCAATTAAGATGGTTAGATCACATGTTATACACGCCAAGCGGTGTTTTCTGAATTAGAACTAGGCTTCAGAAGAATTAAGGATGACTAGAACAAAATACGGTGCGTCGGTGGCACAACGGTAGAGTGCTCGCCGACCACGCAGGTGGTCCGGCGTTTGATCCCCGGCCACCGACGCACTCCTTTACCAGCCAGTAGTAAGACTGGTAAAGAGGGAAGGTTAGGCATAAAGCTAGCACCCCCATCCTGTAAAAATAAACACCGCCACAACAGAAACTTCAAGGCTGTAGCTTGAAGGTGGCCTATGTTCCACTGGGAACATAAAGGAATAAAGAAAAGAACAAAATACGATATCGATTCATGAAGTAGTTGAATGCGTCTAAGAGTAGCATAAGGAGGGTATAAGTCAATGGATTGTGGTTGTCAGGATGTTTGGAAATGTCTTTGGCAGGAGAAAGGCTAGTAACAAAGGCTAAGCTTGCCCCCAGGTGGAACCCGAGTGGGAAGCAATGACGTAGGCTTCCGAGGATGAAGAAGTTATATAAGGATAGAATGCAATCTTGTGGAAAGTCTTGCAGCCGGTTTAATGTGACAACAGAAAACCAAGTGCAACGGAGGTTCATACAAGAATTCCCTTTTATAAATTTGAGCAAAATTATTAACAATCACGTAGCTAGACAAGAGAAGATCAAAATTTTATGTGCAAGAGGTCAAATGAAGAGATAATGATGTAGCATGATGAGTAGAACTCATAAGGTCAGGAAAACTTATCTCCTATGCAAGTTTAACTAAAAGAAGGGAACGGTAGAAAGAGATAAGTTCATGAAATCAGAAAACAAAAAGTTACAAAGGGATGATTGAAATCCAATGACAGATTCCTTTTGGACACATAGCTCAGGTTTGAGCTTTTTTACTGTGATAGCCTCAGCAAACCGAAGAAGACTTGAGCTATTTTGTCTGTGAATTATTTCAAATGATGCCAGCGCGTCTACTTGGTGTCCTGTGTCTATCAAGTGTTTGATGACTGAAGAGCTTAAACTTCTTGGCCTCTTTAATTCCTTTCTCCTTTTTACACGTTCGAAAAGTCTAACTTACATCCTTCTTTCTGTTCTTTCAATGTAACTGCTCCCACAAATACACGTGAACTGGTATACACGGCTGTAGGTAACATATGACGGGTACTTGTCTGTCTTTGACTGAACCAATGAGGGGGTTGTTTGGAGCGGAGAGACTAGTTTTGCGGCAGGATACATCATGGAGAAGGCTGCGCTTAGTCTTTTTATTATTATTCTCATAATATCATGACCTTTGAAGCTGAGTCCGATGAAAACCGGCTTCTGGATGACCTCAACTGTATCAATTTTCTTGCATTCATTCTCGTCATATTTGTTAATGAAGCTTTGTGTGTGACAATTTTTCTTTCAAACATTTTTCAAGCAAAATTAGTTCACTACCTGATTAGTTAGCGTTCGTTTGTAACTGACTCGACAGAGGTTGTTGAAGTTTACATAAAGACCGCTGCATGTGTCTTCGCGATATGTTGATCTCTCGCGAGTCGCATCCATTTTTTTCTCCAATTGTTAATCCAGGAAGTGTATTGCTGGGGCCCTATTTTCCACTCAGAACTTTAGGAGTGAGTAATAATAATAATAGTGTAATATGAATCAGCACGTGAAAATTAACATTTATGTTTATAATTTGAACAGCTTGTAAATAACTGATGCCGTAAATTCATTTTATCTCGTTTTTTTATTGCATTGTATTGTATTGCATTGTATCTATAAAGCGTCAGCCTCAAGTATGGAATATGATATCACCAGAGGCAAGAGATTTAGTCACACGTTTACTTGAAACAGATCCAACACAACGGTTAACTATTGAAGAAGCATTACGTCATCCATGGATAAGTCAAAAAGCTCGTGCCTCGAAAACTCATCTACATGAAACAGTTGAAGAAATGAGACGATTTAATGCAAGACGTAAACTGAAGGTATGTAAATCATCAAAGCAGTTATTGAAGGAACTTGTAATTTTGATTTTAAAACTCTTTTATAAAGATTATGTGTGTATATAAATGCACTTGTTTTAAGTAGAAACAATGACTTCTTCTTCCATTCAGCTGCTCAATTCACATGGAGAATCTTGCTCACTGTGAAGCTGAGGAAAGGCGCATAAATGAATTGATGAAGTTACTAAGCTTCATTGGTTAAAGTAACTAAGACCTTTCCTCCCTTGACAAGCAATTCTAGCTGAAGTTGGATAAGATTGGGCTAAGAGTGGTTTCACCATATTATGGTGCTTCATGCTGTTCTGTTCTTTTGCAAGAGGCTAGGATTGTAACGGCAGAAGACAAGGGCCAAGCAACAAATCGTTTATTGAGAAAATCAACAGATATTTATAAATTTTCATGTACATTATTATTGGCGTTATTGTTAGCAGAGAAGCATCGTCTTCTGATTGGTTGTTCTATTGGTGAAAGTTATTCTGTCATTGCCTTGTGGCCATTTCTTAGAAAGTTAAGCCATATATCTGCGAGTCGTATTTACACACGTTGTCTGCTGTGATTGGTTTATGAGTTCCTCAAGGTTAAGCTTCGTTATTTTTTTTCTCATGACGCTGATTTGGGACTTAAACATTGACGTAAATTGTTGTCTACAATTTCGGCTTGCAGACAGCTTTCACCACAGTATGAGTGCGGTTTCAATTCTCCTGAAAACTAATGTATAACCATACCAGTGATTGGGTGCATCACTGTGTAAATGTATCTCCGCCAATGAGAGTGATTCCTAACTTTATCAACAACGGTCTTCAACTATTGGTTCTTACTATCTTCTGAGTAGCCTGATAAGGTAGTTTGTACTCCCTTCCCCCGCCTACTTGGCTTAAACTAACAGTAAGAATCTTCAAAGATCAATGCGATGTTTTGTTATAGCAACCTAAAACTCTTTTCTTACTGAAGCAAACGGAAGCTTGGTACGTGTAACACTTGTCCTAGCCATTGCCACATTGAAATAGCACTTTTCCGTCACCTAATACTCCACGCCTAACCTCGTTATTACTGAGAGATTAAATGCAGATACCTATGGTCAAAAATGGCTGACCCATTAGTGTCTTTCATTTTTCTAAGGCGATTTCCAACAGCCGTAAAAGGAGGACGGGGCAAACTGCACCGCAGTGTGTACGTGCTTTAATGGATAGCTAGATTTCATGGATACGCCAAAGATGACACAATTGTTACATATAAATCAGTTAAGATAGAAGAAAATGAAAAGAAAATCCACAGTCATTAATGTCTTGTTATTTTCCCTTCATTGATGAACTTCTGTCCAGGAAATCCTGCAGACCGAGTGACCTGAAATTGCAGTACCCATTTATTATACTTATTAATCAAGATTTTTGCTTGTTGCCAACGTCTTACCTATTAATGATCATCACGTTCTGAGTTACTTTGATTGTATACTAGATACTAACTAGTGTGATGTGTCGAGTCCTTTGTTAAATGCAGATGGAGTTCTTCCGTCAGTCAAGTTTGCAGCGTGGCCAGCATTCTACGTGGTTCACCGTCACACTGCACTATGAATTGTTGATGTTAGATGGATGGAAGCAAATTGGTCACAGGAAGGCTTGACTAGCCGAGGTTTATCCTTGTTAGCACTCAACAGTCAGTTAGCAAGGCATATCTACAACTACCTTGATTCTGTGATTCAAACCTGTGCCACCAAGTGAGTGCTGAAGTCAGAGATGTTAACACTGAGTTATTCGGACTCGTGATTGATTTCCTGTAGGATTGTCTGGCAGCTACACTTTGTTGACTGATGAGTGCCAAATAGCACGAGACCTAGGCCGAAAGTTTCCTGTGACCAATTGCCTCCAACCACCAAATAAACCCAATGTAACTAACTACTAGCTCCACAGAAGGAACAGTCAAACAGGTAGATACATATATTATTAGTATCGTTTTCTTTAGTTCCTAGAGGAACACAGGGATTCAGCTGCACATTTCCGTTGCGTTCGTTTCTCTGCCCACATGCTTTTGTCTCTTCACATTATCTCCTCCATATCACTCTCGGACGACCAATTCACCGCTTCCCATTTGGGTTCCACTCAAGAGCCTGTCATGTCATGTAACTTGATGGTTTGTGTTTTCAGAGTATGACCAATCCATCTCCATTGTTTCCTGCTAATTTGCTGCACAATTGGTTCCTGGTTGGTCCGCTACCAGAGATCTCTGTTGCTGAACTTTTCTAGCCATCTGATCTTGAGTAGTATTGAGTGAAGATAGCTGTTGATGAAGATCTGTGGTTTGTTCGAAGTGGCCTCCGTAACACTCTGGCCAAGTCTCTGATGCGTGTAGTACGTAGCACTGACTTCACATTGGAGCTGAAAATCCGGATCTTATTTTTCATGCTGAGTGTTAAGTGTTGATCTCCTCCGCACAGAGTTGAGAGTAATGAAAGCTTGCCTTGCTTTCCCGATCCTCGCTTTGATGATTTCCTCATCAATTCCGTTCGCCTGTAGTTGTAACGAATCTTCTCATGTAGGTAGGTAGGTGAAGGAGGTTGCTTCTTTTTGTCTCCTCCCATTTATGCTGGTTGTTGCCTTTTGTTGTTATTGTTGTTGTTGCTGTTGCTGTTGGCCAGGAATCTTCATCACCTCTGTTTTCCATATGTCCACCTGAAGTGAAGTCCTATCTTTGATGCTTCTTCTATCGCCCACTTGTTTCTTATCACTTACATATCTTCCAGTTTGTGGGAAATCAGACATTTATCATCGGCGAAATCCAGATCCTCCAAGTATTTTGTTTGGGTCCATTTTATGCCTGTTTCTTCGCTGCTCGCTGTCTGTCGCATTATCCAGTCTGCCACAATCAGGAAAATCATTGGAGATAGTAGACAGCCAACCAGCCTTGTCTTACTCCTGTCTTCACTTCGAAAGATTCCGTGAGATACACATAGTTAGAGGCGAAGTTAGGCAGTTTGTCCGTATTACTCGAACGTAAAATTGAAGTGGTATTGAAGAGACAGTGTATCTCTGCTAATGTATCGAACGATCTTTTTTGTCTACTGCATTCTTTGGGGGTGTTGTGTTATCATCGCACTGATGTTATCTATCCGTGGTAATCTGCAGTTTTTATAAATGAATGTATGTTAATGTAATCTGATAAGATCAGCTATTATTATGTCCCATATTATTAATGTTAATTGTTTGTTTTTGTAGGGTGCTATATTAGCCGCTGTATCAAGTACAAAATGGGCAAGTTTTTATACAGAACCAAATATTCAATCAGATGATGACATCTTAGATGAAGATGATGAAGTAACTTCAGCAGGTAAATTTTTTACGATTATTTCGTTGGTGTTGTTATTTAATTGGTAATTATCTGTTTATTGTTCGAAGCCTCAGTTATCCAAGACTAGACTATGCAGATGATACATTCACCGTACCTGGAAAACAAGACATAAATAGATATTTCGAACAAATCAATTCAAAGGTGGAGGAAATTCAATTCACTTATGAATTAGAAAGTCAGGAATGGGAGCTTCCGATGTTAGATTGTAGCGTAAAAAGGAAAGAAGATGGGAAGTTAAACACTAGTGTTTGCTTACAGGAAACCTACACATTCAAACCGATATTTGGATTTCGGATCATCCAAAGCTATGTCAGTAAAAATTAGATTGGTGAAATGTTTAATTGATAGGGCAGAAAAAAGTAATAGTATGCAGGAAAATCTAGGACAGGAAGTGAGACACATAAGAGGTTAAGCTTTAAAACTTAATTATTACTGTCAAATATCCAGATTACTGAGATCCTGGAGCTATCGCTTGTTTCAGAAGATTAAGCTTAATGCGTGGAAGACTATGCACTGTAATCGACATGGAACAATAGAAAACGGTTGGGCAACATGATTATTTATTCTTCAAGCGATTTTTTTTATCCTTCACGTTCCCTAGAGGAACATAGGGCTTCAAGCTACTGGCTTGAAGTTTCTGTAGCAGTGTTTATTTTTAAAGGATGGGGTCGCTAGCCTCATGCCCAACCTTTCCTCTTTACTAGCTCTTTATTTGTGGCTTAGCGAGGTAAAGGAGTGCGTCGGCCGGGGATCGAACTCCGGGCCATGTGCATGGTCGGTGAGTGTCCAAACCGCTATGCCACCGACGCACAAGCGATAATGAAACAGGTTTACAATGGTAAATAAATCAGGGAGCATATGGAAAAACGTAAAATTAAAATTAATAATAATAACAATGGTAGTGATAGTAATAATAATAATAATAATATTAATGACGACATTCATCGACATTGATGTCAAACATGCACAGAATAATGACGACACTAACAATTGGAAATTTAAATCATCAACAGTAATTCCATGCAAAGAAGGGGCATCGGAAACCTTACAGAGAATTCTTAACAAGGAGGGAATAAAAGTGTCTGGCATTCAAACCCACAAACTCAATTAGAAACAAGCTTTATCAGTTAAAGGGTCAATCCTGTGGAGCCAATTGAACAAAACAATTTAGTTTATCTAATACCCTGTCTCCAGTGACTCTCACATCAAATACATACTTCAAAGTAGTAGAACGAGGTGGGTTAGATTAACGGAGCACATAGACCTAGCAGATTCTAGATTAGTTGACTGTAATAGGATAGGAAATCTGGGGAATTAGTTCAGCTATGGCACACTCTACATGCAGTTACACACAAGCAGACAATATAGGATGGATGGGATAAGATGACACTTCTAAAGTCTAATATAATAGCAAGATGGAGGAAACAGGATTGATAATGGAAGCTTTATTTTGTCGAATCAACTGATAATACATGTAATATGAATGCTGTAACATCTCTCCACCAGAGCATCTGGAAAATCCTACTAACCCTGCGACCGCAAATAGGAAGGAATAAAGAAAACTATAAAATGAAAGTTTCGAAGTTGTGAAGTTACTATTCACTGATATGATTATAAACAGTAATGAATTGCGTTCGAAACAACGTGATCCAGTAAATAGTAATGCTGTTTGACTGACTGTGTGATATATCTAATAAACGAATTAATATGGAATTACATACTACTACGGTGTCCAATTTTTACACATACATATGACTATCTTTGATTGCACACTAGTCAGTAACTAGTGTAATGCGTCTAGTCCTATCTTCGGTGCAGACTGAATTCTATCAGTCATGTTTGCAATGTGGCCACCATGCTAGGTGGCTCGCCATTACGGTGCACTGTGAATTGTTGGTATTAGATGGTTGGAGGCAATCGACAGGAATCCTTGGACCTAGGTTTCGTGCTAGTTGGCACTCATCAGCAAGGCGTATCTGCAACCTTGAAGGAACTGATGTCCCTTCTGACTGATAGAATTCAGTCTGCACCGAAAATAGGACTAGACGCATTACACTAGTTACTGACTAGTGTGCAATCAAAATATCCAATACAGTCCTACAGGAGGTCAGTCGCGAGCCTGAATAGCTCAGTGGTAACGTCTCTGACTGCAGCACTGGGTGACGTGGGTTCGACTCTCAGAAGGGACATCAGTTCCTTCAAGGTTGCAGATACGCCTTGCTGATGAGTGCCAACTAGCACGAAACCTAGGTCCAAGGCTTCCTGTCGATTGCCTCCAACAATCTAATACCAACAATATGACTATCTGGCTAGCAGCCACACAATTATTGTCTGAGGACTGATGACCAGGATTGACGAGCTAACGCAGTCTCAACATAGAGCTTTCCACGTAGTTCAGTTGGATGGTGATTATTCACGAATAGAACGTCCCACGGAAAAACATAGTTTCATATCACCACACTCCATATTATCACCCAAGAGTAGAGAGAAAAAGAGAAATAATACGTTCAGGAGGAGTATGATGAGCAGAAATGTATCGGAGAAAGAACAGTGCCATAGAAAAACATGAAGGTTTAGAGGATCTGGCAGATTACAAAGAGTGAATCCATCTTTTTTCAGCTATTGGTTCTTAGAGTCTCGAGGATCCCAATTAGATAATCGACACCTCTTTATGTGACTGGCTCAACCCAACAGTCATAGACTTCATAGACTGATGCCAGGTTTTGGTTTGACTACACCTAAATCTTTTCCAGCCTAATTCTATATCAGAAGTTAATTGGTGGATGGTGACTAGCAGTGGAATCCAGGATGCTCATTTCGTCCTATTTGGGGCTCGTCATCTGGATGTACCTGCATTCCCCACTGAGTGGTGATGTTCCCACTGAGGCTCGAACCCAGTGCCCCAGAGACTTTGTAAAAATTATATTTATAAAATCTCAGAGGAATTGAAATGCATAATTCCACACTTGGTAAAGGATTGAAACTCCTCTCCAATTTCTTCTAAAGTTTAAGGTTTCCCTGACCAAATTTCTTGAAGAATCAGTAATCTAAACAATCAAGACGCCTGTAAACATCACTTAAAGAGATAACTGTATACATTTTTTTCATTCTTATGGCATTTCGAGTAGAATAAAAGGCTTGAAGGCGGCGGTGGCACAGCAGTAGAATGCTCGTGACCGCGCCTGTCGACTCACTCCTTTATCTCGCTAAGCTAGAAATAAAACCGCTAAAGAGGAAAGGTTGAGTATGAGGCTAACAACCCCATCCCGTAAAAATAAACACCACTGCTACTGAAATTTCAAGCCTCTAGCTTGAAGCCCTATGTTCCACTGGGAACGTAAAAGAATAAATAAAAGGCTTAGTCTTTTGCTTTGAAGTTTCGGTAGCCGTGGTGTTTTGTTCACGTGAGGAGGGGGAGGAGTGCCAGGCTTGCGCCTCTAACCTTCCCTATTTTCCAGATTCACTAAGTGAGGTTTAGGAAGTGAGTCGGTGAGGAATCTAACCTTGAACCATTTGTATGGTTGGGGAGCATTGTACCACTGAAACACCGATATAACATAATATTCAAAAGAGTATTCATTGTCTATAAAAGGAGCATCAGTTGTTGTCACTGCTTATATCCTCACATTTGCATTGATCCTTGTTTCTTATTTTTACAGCTGTCAGTGCAGTATTGGACAGTTTCGAGGAGATGCAATGCCTTACTGAATGTTTTGAAAAAGATACAGATCTGTTTCAACCAGTATTTGAAGATGAACACTTACATTGTTTATTAGAGGTGAGTTTTCACTTTGTTTTTCTATCGTATTCTCATCATTTATTACTCCATATGTATCTAATATTATTATTATTCCCTTGGGTTCTCAGTGGAACATAGTGCTTCAACAATATATCTCCACTTTGTTCTATTCTCTGCTGTCCTCTTCAACTGGCCACCTCTACGAATGACCATGATCTCTCATTTCCTCCAACTCGCACGATCCTATTTATGTCACCATCGCACCAACGACCCACTCGTCGCTTCCCATTCGGATTCCACTCGAGCGATTGCTTGCATTGCGCGCGATGTCATTCGATGGTATCCTACACATATGCCACATGCATCTCCATGTTTTCATACATATTTGTTCAGTGACCGGATCTTCGTTGGTTTGTTGCACTGCAGAATTTCTTGTTGCTAATTCTTTCTAACCGGCTGGCCATTTGATCTTCAATATGAAGCCAGAGAAGGTGGCAACTGTTGATAAAAGTATGTAACTTGTCGGAAATCCTTTTCATGATATGCACTCCAAGTTTCTGACCTGTATAGAAGAAGTGACTGGCTTCACATTTGTGTTGAAAAGAATCCGAATCGTGTTCTTGATGCTGGCTGAAGTGGAGTGCAAAAGATTTCCAGACTGGTTTCAAATTGATGAAGGCGTATCTTGCCCTTCCGATGCTAGCTGTCTGGCTGGCTGGCTTTGACATCTTCATCCGTTCTGGTGGCTGTGGTTGAAACCGTGCTTCCTAAATAGGTGAAGGAGCGACCTCAGTTAAATCACTCCGATGGATGGTGATTGGTGCTGGTTGTTGTTGCTGTTGGTTGGTTGGTTATTTTCATCAACTCCATCTTCTCTATGTTCACCTGAAATCTGTGCTGTCTCTGCAGCCTGCATTTTCAGCAAGTTGGTTAATTTTCGCCTGTAATTCTTCGAGTTTATGTGACACTAGACATACATCATCCATATGCAATACACTACTTATTTATGTAATTCAGTAGTACCTCTTTTTCTTACTAAGAAATTCAACAAGTTGGCAGAAGACATCTTCCATAGGCCGTTCGATTCCGTCCCAATGACTGAGTGTGTGCTCAATGGGATCACCTCTTGACCTCAAGGTTCAGGGTTCAATCCCCATTGAGGTCATGGGTATGCTTTGCTGAAGATTCCTAAACTGGGATGAAACAGCTATCCACTACTCCATTTTTTTTTCAGTAACTGTCTAACTGACGTCAATTCGTCATAAAACTCGAGACAAACGTTTTGCTAATACAAGTGTATGAAGACAAAGATGAATGAATCAGATGAGTTTTGTCAAAAAAATAATAGATGGATATAGGGGTAATGTTTACATACAGGACGAAAAGTTATGATGCTCAAATTATCCCTGGGAATTCTCAACATCTCAGGTCTAGCTGTTTACAATCTTGTACTAGAGACTTTATTAATCCATAGACTTCATAGAAAGCCAAGATGACATTGTTGGCTGGGCCTGTTTCTTTTGTATGCACAGCTCTGACATTTTGAGAGAATTGTTGTGACCCCTGTTATTTGGAGTATTCGTTATTTATAAGTCTTTGGGAATTTATCCCGCTTTTGATAGATACTGATAGAAAAGGCTTCTGTAATGCTGGCTTTATGGACTGTCTGTCTGCACCAGGTGTGATAATGTGGAATTGTTAATATCACACTGGTAGGTATTCCTTAGCCCAAGAAAATCACGTTCCTAGTGGTGCAATAGCCAAAATAACTGTCTGTAAAAGGAGCGGTTGAACTGATAGATATAGGAGGGGATGGCTCACCTACTTTATCTCTTAGTTTTTGAATTTTGGTTTTCTTGACCTGAAGTTTGACCATTTCTGTGTGAGATTTCCTTCTTATCGATTGATCAATTTTGTCTATGTCAGTGTGTCTATTGATTGATGATTCACTGGAATACCAGGCTTCTAAAAATTCTCCGGCATTTTGGTGTTTCATCTGTCTAATATTTGAACGTTCTCCCAGTCGAATTGATGCAGTGTGAGGGAATGGATGTCATGTGTTTTGACGGCTAGTTTATGTTCATTGCTACGAAGACGAAGGGGACGTCCACTTTGACCAATGTAGTAATTTTCGTAATCGTTGCAACTTATTTCGTAGATGATGTTGGTTTTATCTTATATCGTTGTTGAGTCTTTTAGTTGACACAGAGCCGTTAAAAGACATGAGATCCACTCCCTCATATCACTACATACACACAACCAAATACATCAAATCGACTGGGATAACGTTCAAATATTAGACAGAGGAAACACCAAAACGTCGGAGAATTTTTAGAAGCTTGGTATTTCAGTGAATCGTCAGTCAATAGACACATTGACATGGACAAAATTCACCAATCTGTACGAAGGAAATGTCACACACAAAGGGTCAAAGTTCAAGTCCAGGTAACAATCACCACCAATACTAATACAAGTAGCCTAGAGGGTGTGAAAACACACGAAAACAACCAATCGCGTTCATGGTCACCGACCAGGATAGATGACTAATAAACTCGTGGAGAAATCTAAAATCTCACTTCAATTCAAACTGAAGTATGCGCTGAAGATGTTGCCTAGTAGGACAATAATGAAAGCTTCACAAATAAACCATCCAGCTAGTTCAGAGAACACAACTGCATCAAATCTAGTACATTCAAAAATTTAATTATTACATGTGTACATAAATAAAGTGACCAAAATGAGTAAATTTCACCTTCTTAATTGTAGATTTCCGCCTCTTTTCTTATCAAGTTTATTTTTCCATTCTTTGCATCTGTTGTTATGTTATGTTATTAGTTTTGTTTAAATATGTGGCATACTCATCAACTTTATATACTATTTTTTGTGATTGAACATTGACCAAGCGTAAAGTAATTCAGAGCATGAAGAGAGGAAGAAGGGACATTTTTACAGGATAATACGAGCTCGTTTTATTTCGTGGATACTCATCAACTGCATACATCCTAAATAAAATTAAATTATAAGTTTCAAAAAAGTTTTGGAACATACTTTTTCATAATTACTTGGACTTATAGATAGAAGGTATAAAGAACATAATTCCAAAATTTTATGTAGGTAGACAGATTATTCGATGTCAAAAAAAAACAACTAATTATATATAGTGGAATTAGATAAGAGGGGTTAGAGTTCAGATTTCTATTGGAAAACACAGATTGGTCAGAGGCATATTACAGGGTCAGCGTCAGAGAGCAGAGTGAATTTACACATCTTGTGGTGGAAAGTTTAAGAGAGTGGGGGTGAATAGTGAAGTAACATTTATAACTTAAACACACAAACAATTAAGTAGATTTAGAAACTTGAAGGTCAAAATTGAATAGAATGTTACGTAACAAGGCAAACACACAGGCATACTGACAAAAAGGCAAAACAAAATAAAATAAAATAGAATTAGGTTTACCAGGGTAGTGAAAGATTAATCGCACTATCTTTCTGTATACAGAGGTCTGGTCGAAATCTCTTGATAGCAATGGCTTCTGTGAAGCGAAGCAGCCATGGGTTTCTTTGTGTATTGATTATTTTGAAGGCTTGGTTAATTTCTACTGTGTTTCCTGTGTCAATTAAATGTCTGGCGATTGCATTCGATAACACTTTTCTTCCTTTTGTACGGAGACTCTTAGGAATGTGCTCAGAAAATCTAGTAGATGCTGTCCTCTCAGTCCTTCCTACGTACTTGCTTCCGCAAGTGCAAGTGAATTGGTAAATGCAGTTGGAGTTGACGTGAGTAGGGTACTCATCTCCTTTTAACTGGGTTAATGAGCACACAGTGTTGTGAAATAGGATCAGTTTGGCGGCTGGAAACGTTCTTTTTAATGCACCTGTGATTCTTTTTTGTGTTCCTGTGGATAAGTCTTCCCATTTGTACGCTAGGCAGATGAAAACTGGTTTCTTTTCAAAGGTGTCAGATTTCGGTTTCTGTGCTTCTTCATTTCTATATTTTAATATGAACTTTCGGCGATATCCATTCTCGATAAGGTTCTTTTTGATGACCGCGAGTTCTTCTTCTTCAATCTTGTCTTCCGAACATATTTCTTTGGCTCTGCTGAAGAGCGTTTTTACTATACCTCGTTTGTAACTGGTTGGGCAAAAGCCGTGATAATTCAGAGCAATTTATTAGAGCTGATTTTGGCTTTATTCCTGGTTGTTTTTTAATTTTCTATAACGTTCACTCCTCTTATTCTTCTCCTTCCTTCACCTTAAATCTGTTTCCTTTCAGTTAGGTGTGTAATTAGACTGAAGTGTGTGTGTGTGTGAGTGTGACCTCGACAATATTGATTGCATTTCGTAAAGTCTGTCTAAATGATTACTGCTCTACAAATAGTATTGCTTATTAGGCTATAGTTTAAATAGAGTGTATAGTAAGTAATATTGTAACAGGAGAAGGCAAGACACGGAACCAAAGGTATATTTACCATTGATCATACCGCTATTTATATATCTACAGTTTATATTCTTTAACCAGTCACTGAGCGTGTGATTTTGGTTTACATTAAACGACGCTAAATGGAATATTCAAACACATATAATATTTTGTTATTAATGCAGTCAGTGTTGAACTGTAGGAAAATGTGAGAATAATATTCTGTTGGAAAACATTGTCTGTATCACACCACCACACTCGTCCCGCCGTCAGATACTTTTGACTGATGTCCATTCGGTCTCCTTAGTGCTGGCGTCTTTGTTTGCTTGTCTTGCTGTATCCAATTCCGGAGCTAGCTGAGTTCACCCGCTTCTCTTTGTTTGCATTTCTGATCGTATATACATGACCCCGTCTCACGGTGATCGTGTATGGTCCTTCCCACTTTGGGGGCAGTTTGCATGACCCTGGCGCGTATTCACCGGTGTTTTGCCTCCCACTATCATACGCTGCCGTGTTCTGACCTCTCAACAGCGTTCAAAGTAATAGCCTCATCGCTGACGGATCTTGAACGCCATCCAACTCCGCAATAGCCTTGAAGTCCTGCCATAAGATCCATACGTCTTCTTCTCCAAAATCTGTAGGGCATAGGCTTTCCATTTGTCAGCAGGAAGTGACACCAAGTGTAACCGCAGACGGCAAGACACAGAAACCAAGGGATATTTCCAAGTGATCCAACTGTAATATATATATATATATATACTCTAACCAATCACTGAGCGTGTTATTTTGGTTTACATTAAACGATGTAAAATAGAATATTCAAATACATAAAGTATTCTCTTGCTAATATATTATTGACATGTGAAAATATCTGAGAATAATATTCCGTTGTAACACATTGTCTGTATCACACCACCACAGTATTATTAGTTCAATGATGAAAACTCTATCGATTGAAATTCATCTAAATCCCAACACCAAAATATATTCCGAAATCTACAGGTGGCACGGTTGAGGATGTCAAAACCAGTTATTATTGGAAAGGTAAGACAGACTGCTATTACCGATAGAATAGCTGATACTAATTCATGGAGGCCTGTTTAAATTACTAGGCTACTTCAATTTCCTATCCATCTAAATGCATCGTGTTGACCTCACTTCATATTGTTTCAAAACTACATTTATGCCTAAGAATCACAGTGTTTACTCAAGGCATATTTTCAAATAGGTTTCAACCTATTGGTATGAAGTTTCAGAGGGGAATGCAGGAGAAACATTATCGATCATTGGATCATGCTTTGGACAAAATAATAATAAATAAACTCGTGGAGAAATCTAAAAGCTCACTTCATCGAATTGAAGTATGCGCTGAAGATATTGCCTAGAAGGGGGCAATGAAAGATTCGCAAATTAACTATCCAGCTCAGGGAACACAACCATATCAAAATAATAACACCGTTTACCGTCAAATAGATGGTGTAGCTATGGACAGTCCACTCAGCCTTGTTTTAGCAGACACACCTTCATGTCTAACCTTGAAAGAACGCAGTTAAAGCTTGCATTTGACGAAATAACGTTTTACTGTCGATGTGTAGATGACGCATTTGTAGTATGTAACAATGAAAGTCATGCCTCCTGCTTGCTCAGATTATTCAACGACGCACATAAAAATTTGGAACATGAAAATGATGGAAAGTTTCATTTCCTCAACATTTCCATGCAATGCCTGGAAGACAGTAGTCTTTAGAGGTTAATTTCCCGAAAGCTTGCATGGAGTGAACAATACTCACATTTTAATAATTTTTTCCAAATAGCTTTAAACCAGCACTAGTCAAGACTCTGTACTATAGAGCTAGGAGAATATGCTCAACAGGGGAATTAGCGGAAGAATTTAAGATTCTCGAAAAGATTTTGAAAAATAACGGTTACCCTCAGAAATCCAATAACAAGTACGGTAGATGTGAGGGCTAAAATGTCAAATCACAGTTGAAAAAAGTCCGTCTTCATTCAACTTGATTTCAGAGGTGAAAATATTGCAGCAGTGGTCAAAAGAAGACTGAGTACGTCACTAGTTAGAGCCTATCCTGCAATTAAGTTGGTTTCAGTGTATCGAACAACACGCCCTTTGGTGCACTCAAAAGTCGACAGATATCCTTCTCATGTTCACTCTAACTGTGTATACAAGTTTACATGTATCTACGGGAGCAGTAATATTGGAAGAGCAGAAAGAAGGGCATACCTCCGATTTTCTGAACATGTACCATAAAGCCTAAGTCTCAAGGAGACAAACGCTTTCAATAGTTCCACTGCCACGCATCTTCTTGATACGAGTCGTGAGGTGGACATCTTAAAATCCTTTAGATTTCCTGAAGGTTAAACCTTGAGATTATTTCCTGACCACAATGTAAACTAAATCCAGATTCGAGAAATAAACCGACTTAAAATATTGTTTTCAATTTTAGTTACTTCCTCACAATCTGCGAATACATATATTGCTGATAAATCTTGTCAGTAGTACGTGTCACACTCAGTTAATATTTTATTTGAAGATCTTAGACGACGACAAGAAAATATCATGGAATTAACTCTGCCGAAAATTCTGTACATTATATAAATTATTATTATTGTTTCCTTTAATTCCTAGAGGAACATAGGGACTCAGTCGCACGCCTCCACTTCGTTCGATTTTCTGCCAACGTTTTCACCTGGCTTTACGTCTGCACACATGCTTTCATATTCTCTTCACATGACCTCCTCCATGTTACCCTCTCACTGACGACTAATTCGCCGCTTCCCATTTGAGTTCCACTCGAGCGATCGTCTGTCGTGTGATGTCACTCACTTGATGGTTTGTTTTCTCAGAGTATGACCAGCCAATCCATCTCCATTTTTTCCTGAATATTTGTTGCACAATCGGTTCCTGCTGGGTTGGTTGGTTCAGAGACCCCTGTTGCTGGTGTTTTCTGGCCGGCCATCTGATCTTCAGAGAAGTATTGAGCGAAGACAGCTGTTGATGAAGGTCTGTAGTTTGTTCGAAGTGTACGCTCCGTGACGCTTTGGTCAAGTCTCTGATACGTATACTGAATGGCACTGACTTTACATTGAAGTTGAAAATCCGGATCTTATTTTTCATGCTGAGTGCTGCTGACCTCCACACAGACTTGGGAATAACGAAAGCTTGCCTTGCTTTCCTGATCCTCACTTTGATGATATCCTCATCAGCTCCGTCCGGCTGTAGTTGAAACGATGCTTCCAATGTAGGTAGGTAGGTAGGTGAAGGAGGTTGCTTCCTTCAGATTCCTCGCATTCATTCTGACTGTTGTTGTCTGTTGTGGTTGCTGTTGCTGTTGGCCAGGAATCTTCATCACCTCTCTTTTTTCTGTGTTCACCTGAATTCCTGCCTTCGCTAGATGCTTCTTCTGTCAATATGTTATATATATATATATGTATATGTATATTTAAAATATATATATTTACTATCCAGAATACAACAATTGTTGTCATTTTGTATTATTGTATCAGCACTCACATGATACATATAGCTTATTACTTGGGTACTCAAGCTGAAGCTGCGCTTTTGAAAGCAACATAAAGTTCTCACATTCACTGTTACACAGTAATTAAGTGGAATTTTATTTGTTAGCATTTTTAAGCAATACTTGTAAAAGGTACCTATTTGACGGTAGGTAGCAGCGAAGTTGAACAGGTACTTTTGACCCTGAGTTAACTGACTTAAAGTTTGGGATCAAGAAAGTGTAATGAAATCTGTTTGAGATCTATATAAACTAAAATAGAATCTGGTCAATTCAGTCCACTTCTGAAGTAACAACAGATATTCACGTGATTCAGTGGTTCAGGAGTAGGATGCTTTTCAACTACGCTGCACGTGGTCCACGGTGCGATTCCCGGCCCGCGCTCCTCCTAAAGCCGGTTGTAAGCCCGACAAAGAGGGAAGTTTGTCGGTGTGTGACGCTAGCGACCTCATCTCGTAAAAACAGAACACCATTGGTACGGAAACATCAGTATTCAAGCTTGAAGCCCTATGTTCCACCTGGAATGCATAGGAATAAAATATAAAAATAATATAAAAATCTGTAGTAAGTAATATTTTTTAAGTTTATGTAGAGATTTCGTATAATGCCTCGTTTTGTTTGAAAAGAAATCAAATATCATTTTGGTTAATTTTACATTTCTACAGTTGTACGATCATATAAATACTCAATCACCTGGTAGTGATTTCCGCGTTCCTGCCGATGCAACAGAAAAATGGGCTGAGGTATGTTGACATTGTTTAGTTTAACAATCTTAACATAATATTTATCATTATCTCCTTGGGTTCCGAATGGAACATGGGGGTGGCTTTATCAACACATCTCCACTTGGTTCTATTCCCTGCTGTCATCTTCAGCTAGCTAGTCCGGCGATTGACCATAATCTCTCATCTCCTCCAATTCTCACGATCTCCTCCATGTCAACCTTGTAAAGACGACCCTCTCGTCGATTCCCATTCGGATTCCGCTCGAATGATGGCCTGCATTGACCGCGATGTCATTCGATTTTCTCCTCAACGTACACCCGATCCATCTAAATTTTCGTCTACATTTTCATTGAGCGATGGGCTCTTGGTTGGTTTGTTGCCAGTCAGCCAGAGTTTCTTGTTGCTAATTCTTTCTGACCGTTAGGCTGGGCATTTGATCTTCATTATGGGGCCAGAGGAGGCAGCTGTTGATAAAGGTCTCTGCCCTTTTGGAAATCCTTTTCGTGACACGCAGTGCAAGTTTCCGACCCGTATAGAAGAAGGGACTGACTGACCTCACATTTGTGTTGAAAAGAATCCGAATCTTGTTCTTTATGCTGGCTGAGTTAGTGCAGAAGATTTCGAAACTGATTTTAGGTTGTTAAAGGCGCATCTTGCAGCGAAGACAGAACTTCAAGTGAACATCCAGATGATGGTGGTGATGAATATAACCAGTATTGAACAAAAAGAACAACACCAATAAGCACCGATCACTATCGACGGGAGAAAGCTGAAAAAGGCCACTTCCTTTATTTATCTAGTCAGAGTCATTTCAACTTCAGGTGACAGTACGGAAGTGGATGTCAAAATCAGAATTGTGGGAAGGTAAGCCATGCGAAATCAGTGCGGAAATCTTCTGCACTCAACATACACAACAAAATTAGGATTTTAAACATCATTATTGGGTTAGTCACTCCTTCTGTATGGGTCAGAAACTTGGCGCCCACGTCAAAGAAAGGCATTTGTAACAGGCTACTACAGCCCTTTATTCAACATCTGCCCCTTTTTCTGGCTCCAAACTGAAGATCAGATAGCCAGCTGGAATAAGTTAGCAAGAAGAAACTCTGAGAACGAACCGATCAAGAATACATTGTTCCTGAAGAAAGTGGATACAGATTGGACTCATGCCTTGGAGACCGTTGGGTTTCATCTCGCGCTAGGCATAACTGCGGGTGGAACCCGAGTGCAAAGCAACAAGTTGAACGTCCGAGGGTGACATCGCAGAGATCGTGTGAGGAGGGGGTGAAAGCTTATGCACAGTTGTTAAGCCAGCTGAAAAAGACTAGAGAGAAAAGGATAAAGTGGAGATGTACTGTTGAAATCCTACGTTCCACTAGAAATTCAAGCGAATAATAATAACAAATAGTCAGTCAATAGAGTCAGCGAAGATAGGAGTCCAGATGAACATAGAGAAAACAGAGGTGAGGAGTATACCTAACAACCAACAACAAGAACAAGCACTGAATCTGAAGGAATGGTAGCATTCCTTCAGCTACAAGGGAGTCACAGATGAAGATGTCAAAGCCACACAACATCGAGAACCTAAAGAATGGATAATTATAAATAAAATCGTGGGCAGTTAGTTGGAAAAAACCTGTTCCGAGTGGTTAGAATCTATCTAACAAGCTTAATTCATATTTCAATAGTATTTATTCATGTTTATGATCTGATTGCATAATCTGTTCCTAGTTGGCCAAACCTACTTTAGTGTGTAGGCTTTTTTAGTGACTTTTACAACGTTGTCATGATTTCTTACTTGAAACTACTTGTTCCAGGGTGGCGGTTAAATATGGTAATCCAGAAAGCGGGTTTCATTCTATCTGAGACTCATCATCTGGATTTACTGTGTCTTGTCCTCAATGAGCGATGATTGTCTCACAGAGACTTCATCGCAACATCTATCGGTTAAGTTTTGTTTCTTTTAAATGTCGGAGAATCCCACTGAGATATTGTGTAAACTTTGTCGTATAGTTTGCGAGTTTTTTTATTTATTCGTTATGGTAATATCAATTTCGCCAGGAATTGATATCAGTTAGAGACTCATTGAAGACAGGGGAGCACTGGGCATCTGTTTCGTTCTAGTGTGGGTTTCTTCAAGAGTTCAGAGTCTCGACCTCACCGAAAGGAGTCAAACCTGGTTCCTTCAGGTTGCAAGTTCAGTCTCGTTAACCATTCAGCCACTTGTACCGGAATTCAATGATCGGTCAACTCTACTTTCTGTCATTTCGTGATACAGTGGTACCCTCAACTAAATGCTTCCCATAGTTTTCACTGATTTCGAACTAATGTTAGTTTTATGACGAGATCAACATTGAAACTGATCCAAATGCCAACAAAATCACCCATAACATAAACGTTAAATTCAATAACAAGTTAAAAAGAGCTAAGCCATTCTTTGTAACAAAGAATGAATACAAAATACAAAAAGCGCCATCCACGCACGATAACTGCTACAAGCTTTATTGTCTAAATTTATTAGCAAGGACTAGACAAACCTAGGGATAAAACAACAGATTAAGTGAAGAAATATGGATTCAGGATTTTCATCATCAGCTGACATCAGTTAGAGAACCATTGGAAAACCTGGGAGTACTGGAGAGCTATTTCATCCTAGTTTTGAACTCTTCATCAGTACGCGCCCACAGGGATTCGACCCCAGGACCTTCTGGTTACAAAGTAAGCTCGTATGCCATCCAGCCACTGGGACCTGATCCAATGGCCCATGAATTCTAACTTCTGCCAATTCACGACATAGCGCGACCCCTAGCCAATGTCTTCGGCGAGTATTTGTCCTCACACCCGACCTTCTGCATCCTACTGGTCACGACTTCTCACTAGAACCCCAGGTAACTACCTACCTGAATAGGGCAAGTCGCTAGTGAGCACCTCATTGATATTCAAGTGTTGGTTTGTAGGGATTTGATTGATTGGTTACAGGATTTTCATCATGAGCTCGCCTTGTAACCAGAAGGTCCTGGGTTCGAATCCCGGTGGGTGCGTACTGCTGAAGAGTCCAAAACTAGGACGAAACAGCTGTCCAGTACTCATAGGTTTCCCAATGGTTCTCTAACTGATGTCAGCTCATAATGAAAGTCCCGTAACCAATCAAATCCCTACAAACCAATTCTTAAGTATGTATTCCTTTTCAGTAAGTTCCCCATCACCGACTCCACACTAATATGTAGTTTTTTACATCAAAATTTTTACCAGTCAAGTGGTTATTTTAGTTAGTCAGTCTTAAGCATAGGGGGGGCGCGAAATGAAGAGGTTAAAAGTCATCAAAATAATTAACTAATAGATGTTAGTAACAAGATATCTAAGTTACTATAGATAGCGGTGAAAATTAATTACGGAATTCAAGATAAGTTGATTCCTAGGCGTTGGCAACAAGCTATTACATAATCAAGAAATTTTTGAAATAATGATGACTCGGCAGAATAGGATTTTTTTTCCTTCACGTTCCCCAGTGGAACATAGGGTGGCTTCAAGCTAGTGACTTGAAGTTCCTGTAGCGGTGTTTATTTTACAGGATGGGGTTGCTAGCCTAATGCCCAACCTTTCTTCTTCACCAGCATTATTTCTGGCTCAGCGAGGTAAAGAAGTTCGTCGGCCGGGGATCGAACCCCGGACCATGTGCATGGTCAGTGAGCGTCTTAACCACTATAACACCGACGCACACAATAGGATGACTCAGAAGAATTACGTTAATACAAACAAGTTAATAGAATTAGCTAGAGATTGTAAAAATTAACAAAGTCAAAAGACAGTTACAAGGGGAGGGGAAATGGATCGTTTTTAAAAACTAAATACATATTATGTAGTTGGCTATGGCACAGAAAGGTACGGTACAAATTTCTTTTGAACACACAGATTTGGCTTGTTCAGATGAATTGCGATTACCTTTGCTGTATGTATAGGTGGTACTCGTAGACCATGCTGGAGTTTGGGTCATATACGACAAATCATTTTAAAAGCTTTGTTAGAGTTAACTCGATGTCCAGTATCAACGAAATGAGCTTGTATTGAGCTGCGTAGAGCTTTATTCAGACCTTTTCCAAACAAAGATGGGGGGGGGGGGTGTTCAGAAATTCGACGATGAACTTGGCTCATCGAACGTCCAATTCATAAGTTTTTGATGCGGTTATGTTCTCTGAGCTGGATAGTTAATTTTGCGAAGGTTTCATTGTCCTACTAGGCAATATCTTCAGTGCATACTTTAATTTGAAGTGAATTTAATTGCCTACACCTTCGAGTTGATGTTATCGAAGTATCTATTTATATGTTGTGTTCTAAGTGTGGTGAATGTGTCATCTAAATACCTCCACCATAATTTGGGGGGTGGGGTTAAACTTTTCAATCGCTAAGTTTACTCACCTATTCATGAATATACCTGCCATTATCGAAGCTACTGGCGAACCGATGATAACTCCCTCAGTTTGTTTGTATATTTTCCCTTGGAATTTAAATGCTGTAGGAGTCAGGTATAGCTGCAAAGCTAGAATTATGCCTTCTGGGGGAACTTTGTGTGTGTTCGAAACTTTGTCATCCAGTAAACCATACTGTGTCACTGTGTAATGCATCTAATAAACAAATTAATAGAGATATTTAGTCTTTTTAAGTAAGTCTTATGTTCATAGTGGAATACATAGGGCTTCAAGCTCGAGCTATAAGTTTCTGTAGCAGTAGGTTTTTTATTTGTCTATAGTTTGGTTTGTAAGGGTTAGTTTTGTTTTTACGAGTTGATCAAGGATTGATATCAGTTAGAAAACCATTGAAAACCAGTACTGGACTACTGGGCGGCTGTTTCATCCTAGTTTCGGGAATCATTCTCAGTACGCACCCACTGGGATTCGAACCCAGGATCTTCCGGCTACAAAGTAAGCTCGTATGCCATCCAGCCACTGGGACCCGATGCAAAGGCTCATGAATTCTAACTTCTGCCTTACTAACCAAACTATAGAAAATTAATCTGATGCTCGCTAGTGACTTGCAACAGAATGGAGTTTCCTGGAGTTCTAGTGAGAAGTCGTGACCAGTGAGGTCCATCCAGATGTCACGTGTGAGGATGGATGTCCCACTGACGACATTGGTTGGGGTCGCGCTAAATGCATAACGAATTGGTGGAAGTTAGAATTAATGGGTTAGCCATTGAATCGGGTCCCAGTGGCTGAATGGTATACGACCTTACCTTATAACCGTGAGGTCCTGAGTTCGAATCCCAGTGGGTGCGTACTGGCGATGATTCCCAAACTAGCATGAAACAGCCATCCGATACTCCCTGCTTTTTGTTTTTACCAGCTGGGATTTATAGCCTCACGCCTCACAGCCTCTCCTCTTTACCTGGCTTACTATCGGTTAACTGAGAGGTTTAAGAGTGTGTCAACCGGGGGTGGAACCCCGGACTGCATACGGCGTGGTTAGTGAGCGTTCTACCTCAGAACCACCACCACCCCTCACGAAGCATTATTTAGTAAGTGCTTCCATCAAACTTATGTGTCCCCACAAAATATTGTTGATCTAATTTTCTTTGTGTTACCCATTATTATTACCAAAACAATTTAGGTTTTATCAGAATTAAACATATTGAATAAAACAGAACTTGGATCAACAGCTGAAGAGTTAAGATTTTATATGAAACAACCTCATTTTCGAGTAAGTTAATTCCGCTTTTTTTCTGTAAAAAATTTGTGAATTATACATTTTTTTGTTTGTTTTCTGATACCAATTTTTATTACATTTGAACTGAATAGTATCAACAGTGTCAACAAAGCTAGGAAAAGATGATAGTGGCTGATGGACAAGAAAGTTACTTCTGCTTTATAGAAGTGTGTATGAACTGTTAATACCTCCTAAATGCCGACACTGCTGGATTCAGGAAAGGCAAATCATGATCTGACCGAATTGCAACTCTATGCATCATCATCGAACAAAGCATGGAATGACAATCAAACATCTACCTCAACTTTATAGACTTTGAGAAGGCCTTCAACAGCGTTGACCGCGAAGTAATTTGGAAACTACTCGAGTACTACGGCGTACCCCAAATATTCATCAACCTTATTCAACAGCTGTACAACAACGGCACATGTCAAGTGATCCACAACGGAAAACTCAGCGAGGCGTCTGGAGTAAACACAGGAGTCAGACAAGGGTGCTTATTATCACCAATGATATTCCTAATTGTGGTGGACTGGATTATGCGTCAGACAGTGGGAAACGAGAAGACAGGGATATCCTGGACCGACGTGAAGAACCTAGAAGACCTGGATTTCGCGCGTGGATGATTTATGTTTGATGTCACACAAAATCGAAGACTTACAAGCGAAAACCGACAAACTGGTCGAAGAAGCAGCAAAGACAGGACTCCAGGTGAACATAGACAAGACGGAGGTTATGAAAATAACCAACCAACAACAGCAGCAACATCCAGTGCCAATCACCATCAACGGAAGGGATTTGAAAGAGGTTACTTCATTCACTCACTTATCTAGGGAGCATTGTCTCAATTACAGGAGGAACGGACGAGGACGTCAAATCGAGAATCGGAAAGGCGAGAAACACATTCATCAACCTGAAACCAATCTGGAAATCTTCGTCACTCAGCAACACTCAACAAGAAAATTCGGATTTTCAATACAAACGTCAAGTCAGTCAGTTCTTCTATACGGATGGATCAGAAACTTGGCGGGTCACAAAGAATATTTCCAACAGCCTGTTGCAGACCTTTATTAGGAGCTGTCTTCGCTCTACGCTGAAGATCAGATGGCTGGAAAGAATCACCAACAAGAAACTATAGGAACGAACACAACAGGAACCAATCGCTCAACAAATACGGAGGAGAAAGTGGAGATGGATTGGACACTCGCTGAGGAGACCGCTGGGTAACATCGCACGTCAAGCCATAGCTCGAGTGGAACCCGAAAGGGAAGCTGGGAGTGGGACGTCGAAGGGTGACATGGAGGAGATCGTGTGAAGAGGAATTGAAAGAATATGGACTAACATGTATACAGGTGGAAAGTACAGCAGAAGACAGAAGCAGGTAGAGACGTGCAGTTGAAGCCCTATGTTCCACTAGGAACCCAAGGGAACAATAATAATAATGACAATAATTCAATCGATTTGTTGGTATCTGACATTTGAAGATCACTAGATTAGATGATGATTGATTGATTAGAACGTCAACGTAGAACATTGTACTGAAGTGCATCAATTCAGCTGTGGAGAACACCACTGTAGGGATACTACACTAATTTACTAAAGCACATTTACTCGCCCTACCGTGGCCAGATTAAAGTTCTTACTATAATTTCGCTTCTTTCTTTTAGTATTTAAGTTCACTGTTATTATTATTTTTATTAATACTTTTATTACCATTATTATTCCCATCATCCATATTTTATTACCACTCTATTACTGCTTATTAATAACATTGAATTCGTATACAGATTTTATATAAAAAAACACTTTATCGTCTTTCCACTAATTCCTGTCTATTCTACACAATCTCATTGATTAGTCATTATCTTACACTTATTACGTCATGCCAACTTCTGCCTCTTTTCTAACTCCCAATTAGTTACCCCGTCTAGGTTACACCTTACTTTACTTAACGCTTTTTTCAAGGACAAACTTTACCAGTATCTGATTGGTCTAAGGATTTCTTTGTACAGCAGTTTGTGAAAATGAATCATTGAAGAGAAAAGTTTCTCTGCTGTTTATTATTATTATTTCCTTTAATTCCTAGAGGAACATAGGGCTTCAGCTGCACGTCTCCATTGCGTTCTGTTCTCTGCTAAAGTTTTCACCTGGCTCCACGTCTGCCCATATGCTTTCATCTCCCCTTCACACGACCTCCTCCAAGACACCCTTGGACAACCAACTCGCCGCTTCCCTTTCGAGTTCCACTAGAGGGCTTGTTTAGTGATGTCACTTGATGGTTTCCTCAGAGTATGGCCAGCCAATCCATCTCCATTTCTTCCCGCCTGCCTATTTGTTTCACAATCGGTTCCTGCTGGGTTGGTTCGCTCCCAGAGATCTCTGTTGCTGACCTTTTCTGGCTGGTCATCTGATCTTGAGTACTGAGCAAAGACAGTTGTTAATGAAGGTCTGTAGTTTGTTTGAGATGCTCTTTATGACGCGCAGTGCAAGTCTGATCCGTATAGTGAGTAGCACTGACTTCACATTGGAGTTGAAAATCCGGATCTTTTTTTCATGCTGAGTGCTGTTCATCTCCACACGGACTTGTGAGAAATGAAAGCTTGCCTTGCTTTTCCGATTCTTGCTTTGATATCCTCGTCAGTTCCGCCTGTAGTTGAAATGATGCTTCCCAGGTAGGTAAAGGAGGTTGTTTCTTTCAGGTTCTTCTCATTTATGGTGATTGTCGTCTGTTTCTGTTGTTGCTGTTGGTGTTGTCCAGGAATCTTCATCGTCACCTCTGTTTTCTCTATGTTCACCTAAAGGAGGCCCTATCTTTGATGCTTCTTCTGCCAACTTGTTGCTTTTCGCTTGCATATCTTCCAGTTTGTGGGAAATCAGACATATATCATCGGTGAAATCCAGATCCACCAAGTTTCCTGTGTGCGTTCATTTTATGCCCGTTTCCTCGCTGCTCGCTGTCTGTCGCATTATCCAATCTACTGCAATCAGGAAAATCATTGGCTATAGTAGGTAGCCAGCTTGTCTTACTCCCGTCTTTACTTCGAAGGATTCCGTGAGTTTCCCGTTGTGGATTACTTCTTCGCTGTTTACGTCTTCGTTTTCTTATGACTCAATATGAGAATATTTCGTTCATATATGATGAGTCATAAAAAATAAGACGAAATATGCATCCTATACCCCATACCGTTAGCCACTATCCAACGGTTATCTCACTAATCCCTACACATCGTCAAAGCGTCCGTTGCCTAGGTAGCCAGCATATCAACACGGAGAACTAACATTCCATTCTAAAATAACCAATCGACGGGTACTACAAATCAACCTAAAAATAAGTTAAAATCCCAACTTCAAACCTTTTTGTTTTATATTTTATTTTTATGGTTTTGATTACAGCTTGATTCCACACAGTATTTTTGGTACAGGTATGGAATTTTCAGCATGTGATATTGGTAGGCCAAATTTTGCAGGCCGACCATTGATATCAGGTGTGCGTTGGCAGGGGACCATGTGCATGGTCTTCGAGAGTCGTAACCGCTTTGCCACCGACTCACAACGTCACAACATCACTGTATAAATCATATTAAAAACAATGGCCGTACCAAGTTTGGCTTTTTCTCTTTTCATTGTATTCTACAGGCATTACTTCAAACCTATGATGTAATAGCTCAAGAAGTTTATGGTCCTGAAGCTATCCGTGTTACCCCACCACCATTGTCATCCTTCTTAAATGGAGATGAAGATGATCATATGGAATCAGATACAGAACAACCACAAGTCACACGTGTCCGATTGGTACAATTTCAAAAGAATACAGATGAACCAATGGTAGGCATGCATGAATTATACATTTTGTTTTCATTTAATTGAAATGTTTTCAGAAAATGTTGGTTGGCTTGCAGGATTTCATTATGAGTTGACGTCGATTAGAGATCTATTGGAAAATTAACTAAGGAGTAATCGGCAACTGTTTCATCCTAGTTTGGGATTTTGAAGTGGTTATTATCTAAAAGTGATAACAACCAGTTGTGTCCATCAGGAATGCCCACTGTCCGTCATAGATATTGTAGTAATGGACTTAACCCTAATTGACTTTTTAATCATCATAATCATAATGTTTTGCTTTATTCCAGAAACAGTACTAGTGGTACAGTGTGGAATTTTCAGCACATATCTACAATATTTGCATCTAATTTTGTCAGACATTTAAAAGGAGTATTTAACAATAAATAAATAAATAAATAAATCTAAAGACACCAACAGGAAAAAACAAACAGGAAAAGCAGGATAAACACAAAACTAATTATAAATGCGAAAAAATACCAAGAAGTAGAAAGGAAAATAAACAGCACATAATAATATATCAGTACTGGGTAGTGGAAGCTATGATATGTTTATGCATGGTGACAGTAAAGCTATAGTCATACAAGAAGTTACGAAATGATATTTAAGAATGTTTATCGCCAAGATGGTCAGTTAATTTGGTTGAAACAACTCTAAACAATCTTAAAATAACATTTCAGGGTTGTTGTTTTGTTTTTTATTGTCAGGTCGAATGCAGTGTTTGTAGTAGTAGTGTGAGTAATCCTGCATAATACAAAATTTTAAGATGGGGATAATGGCGTTCACAACTAATGATTGTCAGTTAATATTGCCGAAAAAAAGAAAAAACAACCACAAAACTAATAATTATATGATGGTTAATGACAGGACAATTTTGTACTACTCATAGTGCTAATATAGTCGGAACCAGTAGATACACAAGAGAAGGAATATAGTAAAGTACAAAAAAGGAAGCCAATGTTAATAATTTAGGTAGCTAAGTATGTTTAAGAAGGAGTCCACTATAGAATACAAAATAAGAGAAATAAAAGAGCCTAAAATTATATTATTAACAACAAAGCAAGTCATAGGTTTCGCGCTTAACATAGTCTCTGTCGCTTAGATCACGGGCCAAGTATGGTATCGTTGAGTTCCTGTACTTGGTTGTACGAGCATAGATTCTTTTATACTGATTTCTGGTTATACTTAATGAGATACAAGGCGAGAGTTGGGAATATAGGGGGTGTTGGGGGTCGGAGAGTATGGTTTTAGACCATTTTTCGCATGTATTCAGATGCCTTTCAACTAATGTAGTGACGAGCTGACTGAGTTTTACACCACTAGTCCTACTAACTACCTTAAGCATCCTTCTCAGGATGGTATAGGGCTTTTTCAGTAGCCCAGGAAAGACTAACGGTGAGCAATAAAGTAGAATAGGTAAGATACAAGAGTTGACAAATTGTGAAAGTAGAGGTTGGGTGATTCCTTATTGTCTAAGTTTCTTAATGTAGTAGGTTAGACAGAACACTTTCTTATAAATCGTTAGGATATGAGATGACCAAGTAAGAGAATCAAGGATTGACTTGTTACCAGGAACTAATTTCGTTGACTTAAGATATGCAGATGATATAGAACTGCCTCCAAGGTGAAGATGCTGATATAAGGCAAAGTTTTCTGAACACCTTGAGGAGCAGCAATCTTCGAATGTTTGGCTTGCAATTCGCCACCTCTGTCCGATATAAGATGATGAGGATACAGGACCGGACTACATCGACTCACTACTAGCTTAAAGATAGGGAGGAGCGGAGTGGTAGAGCGTGTTGACCACTTCACTTATTTGGTAAGTTACACCAACCGACGCCAACGGGTTGATCACTTACGAAATTTCATCACGGATACAGAAGGTTCGTTTGGCATTTGCCAACTTATGCCATCTTTGGCTTAGTAGACGTGATATCCGGCTGGCTATGGAACAAAGGACGTGTGTACTGCTCAGCGGTTCGCTCCGTCCTCCTTTATGGCTGTGAGTGAAACTTGGCCATTGAAAGTTGAAGATATGAAAAGGCTTGCTAGTTGTCTTCGGTCATAGGTATCTACTGTGTGTCTGCCATGTTAGGTGGTAAAAAAGGATGAGTGATATTGAGGCAAGGCATCAATTGTTAGGTAAGGAGGGAAAATCTACCGACGAGGTTATGAAGCTACATCTATTGAGATGTCTAAGATATGTGTTACGCATGCCTAGCTATCCATCGCCTTCCTCGACAATGGGCAATGTTAGCTGACATAGGATCAATGAGGTTGGAAAAGAACTAATTGTGGTCAAATTAAAACACGGAGTCATCAGTTTATGAAATCCATGACAGTTATTTTATGCCAACCAGCCGTATAGCGAGGTGTAGACTGATAGTCCGGTTTGGGTCATCAGGATGGTAATGACCATTGAAGACTGGAGACAACTGGTGGTGAGTTGGCTCAAAATTGTCATTGTCAATGACACGGATGCATTAATTCTCCGACATTCATTTGTCATATCCAATAAAACTGTTCTTCTTTCATATTAATATTCTTTTTCCCTCACAGTTCTGTTTATTATCAGTCTTTTGGATCTCCCTTCTCTTGGTTTGTGTGTTATATGGAGGGAGTGTGGCAACTCGAACTGCTACAAATCTGTGAGGAGTTCTACTTTGAAACCAGTCTTTCATTCAATCAGTTTGGGCCCCACTACCAGGGTTTAAACCCAGGACCTTTTGGCCACAAGGCGAGCTCATAGACAGTTAAACTACTGGGGCCCGATCTAATGGTTCATGAATTTGAACTTCTGCCAATTCACGGTAATGAGTAACCACTAGCCAATGTCATTGGCGAGAAGTTGTGACAGTTGGGGGTACAGCAGGTCGAGTCTGAGAACAAATACTCGCTGCCAATGACTTTGGATGGTGGTCGCGCTACGTCGTGAACTGGTAGAAGTCGGAATTCATAGGCTGGTCATTGAATCGGATCCCAGTGGCCGAAAGGTCTACAAGCTCGCCTTATAACCGGAAGGTCCTGGGTTCGAGCCCAGGAGGTGAATGCGTACTGTTGAAGGGGCCAAAACTAGGCAGACGAAACAGCTGTCCAGTAATCTCTGGAGGTTTTCCATTGGTACTCTAACCGATATCACCTCATGTTGAAATGCTTCTATCGGTCTGGCGTGACTGACTGAGTGAGTGAGTGAGTTTCAACATGTAACTTTGTACAGAAGTGAGGCAATTAAAGTTGTCCCACTCCCTGAAACACACAAGGGAGTAGAATAAAGGAATCTAAAAAGCAAATATAATGAGCAGAAATGTAAGAGAGAAAGAACAGTAAAAGGGAAAACCACGAGGGCTTTTATTGCATATTGGAGACAACACAAAGATGGAGTAGATCCGTCCCATTGAGAACGATTTTCAGCCACATTACTAATAGTCGTAAGCTGTTGGCTCTTAAAATCTCGAGGTTCTCAACTAGGCAGCTTACATTTCCAAATGTGACTCAAATCAACTGTCGGTGACGTCACTCGCTGATGCCAGGTTTTTTGGTTCGACCATCTCTAACTGAGTTTCCAACCCAATCCTATGTAATTCCATAATAATTTGTTTATTAGATATATCACACAGTGAAACAGTACTATTATTTACTGGATGACGGAGTTTTGAACACAATTCATTATTGTTCATAATCATATCACTCAATTGCAGCTACACAACTTAGAAACAAAATTAAATTTATGTAATACCCTGCCTCCAATGATTCTCAGGTCAAATATTTGAGTCATAGTAGTAGAACGCAGCTAGTCAGACCAGAGGAGCACAAAATCCTATCAGATTCTGTATTAGTTGACCCAAATAAGATAATAAGTCTAGAGAATAGTTCACCTATAACAAAACACACTGCATGCAATCACACACAACCATACAATAGGATGGATGGGATAAGATGACAGTGTTAAAATCCAGTGTAACTGTATGCTGGAGGGAGCAGGATTGATAACGGAGGCTTTATTTTGTTGAATCAACTGCGAGCCAACACGTGTAATAGGAATGATTCAACACCTGCCCACTCGAACATCTGGAAAACCCTACTGTCCCTTCGACAACGAATAGGAAGGAATAAAGAAAACTATAAAACGAAAGTTTCGAAGTTGTGCAGTTACAATTTACTGATATGATTATGAACAAAATATGAATTGTGTTCGAAAATGCATGATCCAGTAGTTTTTGTGATATATCTAATAAACAAATTAATATGGAATTGCATACTACCACAGTGTCCAAGTTGTACACGTATCCCATTACTGTTTCATTTGACGCTGTTTGTCGAGGAAGGTGGGTGGATTTACATGGGTAACACATGTCCCGACCATCTCAATCTGTGTAGTTTCACAACCTCATCAGTTGACTATGAGCCACAAATTTATACTTTGTAAGGTTTGTTCAGTGGGAGAAACTGGAGTAGGTTGGTCGGGGTCAGAACTTGACAATCACTAGCTAGAATGAGAAGTATTAGGCTCATAAGCCACATTTCCAAACATTAAATATAATTTGTATGGAAATTATAATAACTATTTTTATCATTTTTTATTTAAAAGAATGGATACTGAACAAAGAGTACTCTTTTCGATAACTTCATTATCAGGCTCTACAGTTATATACCCATCCATAATAGTGAATGAATTAGTGTTATGAAAAACATTAATGTTGTTTAAATAAAATCGAATCAATAATATTGATAGATTACAGCTCAATAGCATCGGTGGCACAGTGGTTAGGACTCTCGACAACCATGTACATGGGGTTCGATCCCCTGCCGACGCACTCCCGATATCAATGGTTGGCCTGCAAAATTTGGGCTACCGATATCAAATGCTGTAAATTCCATACTTCTACCAAAAGTACTGTGTGAAATCAAGCTATAATCAAAAAAAAAAATAAGCGGAATGTCAGAAAAATTAGGAAAGATAATATTACAAATTCATGAATTTATAGTCTCTACTGAAGGCCGGCCACGGCAGTTGTAGTGGCTAGCTGGACTTGTTTCTTTTGAACACAGAGCACTGGTTGTTTGAGGCGAATTGCAGTAACCTCTGCTGTTTGGAGCATTAGGTGCTTCAATGATTTTGACAATTTATTTGGCACCCGATAGATTATAGGGAAGGATTCTTCAACAGTGGCTGGCTTTGTGGCCGGTTTGCACTGGATGGTCTAATATCGAACTGTTAATGGTTTTAACTACACCTTTACTTAGCCATACTTGGAGATGTTCTCGAGGAAGCACGAAAAATCAAGCTCCTAGAGCAACGGCCAATATAATTCGCTCCACAAGCACAGTTGAATTAGTAGATACAATTAGAAGTGGTTAGTCTAGGTACTTCATCTTTCAGTCGAGGTAGCACCATCGGTCGTGTAGAGAATAAGACGTGTAGTTCGCCAGCATTAAAAGTTCTTTGAACTGATTTTCTTTACTTTCTCGTAATTATCTAACTTGGTATATCGCCCTTGAATTGTAGTCGTATATAAAGTGGCTTCGTGTTTACAGATAGTGAGTAGTCCTCTTCCGCTTTCTTTGTCATGTAATTTTTTTATTTAACTGATTCCTCCTTATTTTTTCCGTTAAACATTTTTATCATCAAAGGGTATAACTTTGAAGCTGAATGAAGAAAATAAATGTATTGTGGCAAGAATTCTATACGGTGGAATGATACATAGACAGGGTAAATTCATAATGTGTTTTTTCTTTTAATGTATGATTCTTCACCATTTATGTTTGTGAGTACTACTTTTTTAATGAGGAAGGGGGAGGGAAACGTTTCACTATGTCACTAGTAATCATAGTCAATAGAAAGACTGAAGAAAATTTTACACAGAACTTCAAGTGAACTTCAAGAGAAAATAGAGGCAAAGATTCAGTCACTATCAACTGGAAAAATTTGAAGGAAATCACCTCTTTAGACTGCAGCAAAGACAGGACTGCAGGTGAACATAGACAAGACCAACCAACCAACAACAACAGCAGCAACATCCAGCGCCAATCGCCATCAACAGGAAGGACTTGAAAGAGGTTACTTCATTCACTTATCTAGGGAGCATTGTCTAAACTACAGGTAGGAGGAATGGACGAGGATGTCAAATCGAGAATCGGGAAGGCGAGAAACACATTCATCAACCTATAACCAATCTGGAAATCTTCGTCACTCAGCCAGCATCAACAACAAAATTCGGATTTTCAATACAAACGTCAAGACAGTCAGTCAGTTCTTTTATACGGATGGATCAGAAACTTGGCGGGTCACAAAGAATATTCCCAACAGCCTGTTGCAGACCTTTATCAACAACAACAACTGTCTTCGCTCTACACTGAAGATCAGATGGCCGGAAACAATCACCAACAAGAAGCTATGGGAACAAACAAAACAAGAACCAATCGCCCAACTAATATGTAGGAGAAAGTGGAGATGGATTAGACACTCGCTGAGGAGGCCGCTGGTTGACATCGCCCGTCACGCCATAGCTCGAGTGTAACCCGAAAGGGAAGCGGCTAGTGGGACTTCAGTGCAAGGGTGACATGGAGATCGTGTGAAGAAGAGTTTAAACATTATGGACTAACATGGATGCAGGTGAAAAGTACAGCAGAAGACAGAAGCAAGTGGAGACGTGTAGCTGAAGCCCTATGTTCCACTAGGAACCCAAGGGTACAATAAATAATAAACTCTTTAGACTAATCTTGGAAGCCATCATTTCAACTACAGGCGGTGGTACAGATGAGGATGTCAACACCAGCCTGTATGCGAAAAACAAGACAGACCTTCATTACTTTGAAATCACTGTGGAAGTCTCCTGCACTCAGCACTAAAGTGAATTCACTCGGTGCTTCATGTGGAAGCATTTCCAACAGACTGTGGACATTTTTTTTGACAGTTACCCTCCCTGCTTCATAGTGAAGGTCAGTTGGCCTACCGGGAAGCCTAAGCAAAGACAAAATAACCAAGAACTTATTGCTAAATGAAGACATCGAAGGAAATGAAGAAGGATCGGATGCACATTGAGGAAATCAGTGAGTGACATCATACTCCCGGCTGTAGAGTGGAATCTGAATGGAAAATAAAAACTTGAACGTTTTTCCAAGGGTGACATGGAGCAGCCCTTGTCGGGTGGAAATGCAAGCTTACGGGCAATGATGATGTCAGGTAAACAAAAGACGGCAGAGAACTGAGTGAAATGGTGATGTTCTGCTGAAGCCGTTGTCTTCACTAAAAGGTGCTCCTACAGCAGACTGATCACCTGAAAATATCTACCACACCGAGATAGATACAAACGTCAGTGTGAGAAAAATGACGAAAACCAAGAGCAACAACTGCAATGACTTTTATTAGACTGAATACAAGGCGTTCGAAGTGAACACAGAAGTATGACAAGGCTGACTGCCTATTATCACCGATGATATTCTTACTTGTAGTGGGCTGTATTATGCGTCAGACTGTGGGAAGCACGGAAAGGACCACCGATAAGAAGACTTTAGAAGATCTGGATTTCGCGTTTGGATGATTTGTGTTTAATGTTACACAAACTCGAAGAGTTGCAGGCGAAAATCAGCAAACTGGTTGGAGAAGTAGGCTGCAAAGACAGCACATATTTCAGGTGAACATAAAGAAGATGGAGGTGATGAAGATAACCAACCACCACAAAGCAACAACAACCGGCACCAGTCACCATCAATGGGAGTGATTTAACGGAAGTTGCTTCCTTCACTTCTCTAGGAAACAAGGTTTCCACTAAAGGTATACGCCATGGATGTGGATGTCAAAGCTGGCAAGCCAGAATCGGAAATGCAAGATACGTCCTCATTAACTTGAAACTAGTTTGGAAATTTTTTTCACTCAGCAACACAAAGAAGATGCGGATTTTCAACACAAATGTGAAGTCGGTCCTTCTATACAGGTCAGAAACTTGGCCTGCGTGTCACGAAAACGATCTGCAGCAAAGTATGGAGGACTTTTATCAACAGCTACCCCCTTCTTAGGCTCCGTACCGAAGCTCAAATGACCAGCCGATTAGAAAGAATTAGTAAAAAGAAACTATGGTAACAAACTGACAAGCAAGAGCCGATCGCTAAACAAACGTGTAGGAGAAAATAGAGATGGACAGCGCATACATTGAGGAGGCCGTCGAATGATATCACGCTCAATGCAGGCCATCACTCGAGTGGAGTCCGAGTGTGAAGCGATGAGTGTGTCGTCCTAGGGTGACATCGAGGAGATCGTGTAGCAAGGAGGAGATGAGACATTATGAGCAATCGTGTGCCCAGCTGAAGAGGACAGTATAAAGTAGAACGAAGTGGAGATGTGTTGTTAAAGCAACCCCTATGATCCACTCGGAACCCGAAGGAATAATAATAATTTTACTTTACAAATCTGTAAGTAAATAGACAGCTGTGGATGACTGTCTGTCCTCGGGAAGTTAAGCCATAAATAAACAAACCAAATCTGTCCAGTATGTTGATATCACGCCAGCACATGTATAAATGCTGACTTCAATTCTAACAACGAAGAAACTTGTTCATCTTAACACTTTTCCGATTGTTTTTTTACCCTTTGAATTCGTTTCTCACAGGTACTTTACACGTCGGAGATGAATTACGTGAAATTAACAATGAACCAGTAGCTGGTCGATCAGTTGAACACTTACAACGACTGTTGGTCAGTTTAAAAATATTTTATGGAGCATTATTTACTCGATGTTTGAGTATTTTAGTCATCTAGTTGTTTCTGTTTTTGTTCCAGTTATAGCTCATCAATAAAATATCCCAAATTGGTTAAAGTTAGAATTCATGGGCTAACCATTAAGTTGAATCTCAGCGGCTGATTGTCTACGAGCCTGCGTTGGAACCAGAAAGTCCTGGATTCGAATTCTGGCAACGGTTGTTGGGTACTACCGATGAATCCGAAAGTGGAACATAACAACTGTCCAGTACTCTATAGTTGGTTTTCAATGGTTCTTTAAATGATATTGGTTCGTGGACAAACTTCACATAAAGTATCAGTTTTGGGTATTCTAAACCCCATGCTCCGTATTCTCTACTTGGCTGCGTACGGAAGTCTTAAGAAAATCTAGCTGACGAGTTCCAAATAGGACGAGGTGCGTATCCTCGATTCCACTGCTACTCACCATCCACCAAAGAACTTCTAGAAAATTCAGCAGTCTTAAATGAGCTTAATAAAAGAAGAGTTACACTTTGTTGAAGGCCTCTTATTTTGTATGAATTCATGTGGATTTCCAAGGTACTTAAAATAGGTTTCATGATTCTGCTAAAATTGCCTCAGTTGTAGAAATATATGATCTTTGATTGGATACTTGACAGTAACTGGCGTTTTGTGTCTAGTCCTTTGTTTGATGGAGATGAAATTCTACTAACGGTCAAGTTCGCAGTGTAGCCACTGTGTTGGATGGCTCGCCATCACTGTTCATTGGCAGTTGTTGCTATAAGATGTTTGGAGGCCACCGGTAGGGAGCCTTGGACCTAGGTTTTATGCTTAGTGGTAGTTGTTAGCAAGGTGTTTCTGAAATCTTGAAGGAATGGATGTCCCCTATCACTCAGTGCTGCTGTCAAAGACGTTACCACTAAGCTGTTCCAGCTAGCTGTTGACCTCATGTAGGACTGTGTTGGATGCTTTGATTGGTGTCCTGGGGCCACCCCTTTGTCTGGCGTAGACTAAATTCTTCTACCAGTCAAATTTCAAATATTCTGTCTACAGAGGAATTATGTATACCTTAAACTAAAATCGTCATTTGCACAGATCTTCCGTGCTGTACATCTTCTGCTCTTTGTATTTTATTTATTTGTCTTCCTTTTTTTATCTCCCATGTTCTGCAGCAACACTGGTTCATTCACTGTCTTTGACATCAAATCTATCTCTCCATTATGTGATATTTTTGTGTCGATGAACGTCCCCTCATATACTACTGATGCATTTTATCAGTGGTATATGCCGTAATACCAGTGATATGAAACAAATGCAAAGAAACTTTAATAAATTGAAATGTGTCAGAGAAAGGACAGTTACATGTAGAACAATGAGGACTTAATGTATCGAGAAGTTCGCAGACAGTGAATACCTCCACCCCACTGACAACAATTTTTAAGCCATATGTCTAAAACTTTCTAGTCACTGTTATGTCTTGCAGTCTCGAGGACCTCAGTTAAGCAGGCTGTACGTCCCTGTGAGCACCAGAGCAATAGTAAACGTCCTCATGGATAAATTCCAGGATTTTATTTGACCACTGTAATCTTATTTCCATTGTGAAAGGGGTGATCGTTTGTCATGCATAAGACATATCCTAGCCATTTCAATCGATGTAATTTCATAACCCCATAGTTCGAGTTCCCTTCCATTATTACTGGACACATTTAATGCTACCTAACACACGAGAGGTAGAGTCAAAATATCTATGTTCAAAGTTGGCAAGCCCCATCGGTGTCTTCCACTTTCAACAATTATGTTTCACAGGCATAAAAGTGTCATCCACAAAGCTTTTTCATGAAGGTATTGATTTTTAAATAGTACAGAAGTGTTTTACCTCATAAGAAGGCGTCCTCCAAATTGATATTTTATCGTGGAAATATATGTATAACTTCATTTCCCCAAACATCAGTATGCAATCCCACACAAAATCTAATCTCAATCCAACTTTAATATATTTTTGCCATTATTCAATGAGCTACTCATAAGTAGCGTAATAAATAATTTCAACATTTCAATGTAGATAAAATTTTTTTAAATAAATTCCCACAATGTCAAACAGTAATATTTACTGATGACCACAAGCTTTGAGCACAATTTATTACTACTGCTCATAATCATATCAAGGCACTACTCACACAACTTTCTAACTTCGTTTATATAATTCCATCACCATTTTTCATCGCTTAACTTGATTGGTAGTAGTGGTATTTTCCATATTTCCGGTATGAGTGATGAGTCATTCCTATTGCAGGTGTGTTGGGTGTAGACTCGATGAACAAGGACTCAGTAATCAAACTCTCTCTTCTCTCCACCTACCTATATTACTTCTTAGAACTTGAGCCTTCTCCCACTCTAGTGTGTGGTTTTGGGTTAGTGCATTGGTGTTAAATAACTAACTATCCTATAAAATTCATTAGAAAGATCGGAAAACGTCAAAAGCAAAATAAAAATAATTGGGAAACTAGTAATGGTAACATAAATAAGAGAGAACATAAGGCATCTACAACTAGTTTTTCCATATAAAGATGGGACATCTGAGGCCCTACGTAGGATTCTCAATAAAGCAGGAATTACGGTGGCATTCACACCTACAAACTCAGTCAAGTAGGACAAACTCTGTAGGTTGAAGTACCCTGTCGGTTGATCCAATTAAACAAAATAATATAATTTACAAAACACCTTGCAATGACTGTGAGTGAGATTAACAACATAGGTCAAACTAGTAGATCCGAAGTGGTGAGATTATCAGAACATTATCAGAATTAAGGTAAGGTTAGAATGATTGATCCCACGAAGATAAGTAATTTAGAGACTCACTCAGCAATCACACTGCATGCACTAACACACAAGTAAACAATATGATGGTTGCAGAGGGTTCAAATCCTAAGAAGTAATATAGGTAGGTGGAGAGAAGAGAGAGGTTGATTACTGAATCCTTATTCATCGAGTCTACACCCAACACAGCTGCAATAGGAATGATTCATCACTCATACCAGAAATATGGAAAATACTACTCCCAGTCAAGTCAAGCGATGGAAAATAATGATGGAATTATATAAACGAAGTTAGAAAGTTGTGTGAGTAGTGCCTTGATATGATTATGAGTAGTAGTGATAAATTGTGCCCGAAACATGGTCATCAGTAAATATTGTTGTATACCATTGCGAGAATTTATCAAAATAAATTTTAACCACAATGGAATTACACTCTACCAGCACAGTTCAAAAGTTCTATTTTTATATCAACTTTTAAAATTTCACTTTTTTATGAATCTTACACTTCCTACGTTGTTAATCTTTTAATATTTCTCTAATTTAAAGCGTAATGCTCGTGGAAATGTTAGTTTAAAAATTATTCCAAGTTATCGAACACACCCATTGCAATGTGAAGTAAGTTCGAAATGTTGTTATTATTTTTTTCGTTAAACATTATTATTAATATTGATAGTATTATTGTTTCGAGTGGAACACAGGGCTTCACCAGCACATTTCCACTTTGTTCTGCTCTCTGTGGTCCAGTTTATCTGGCTGGCCTCATCATCCTCCATAGACTCTCATCTCTTCCTCACTTGATCTTCATTGTATCACTCTTGCCTACAGATCAAACTTGTCACTTCTCATTCGGGTTCCACTCGATATTATGCCCGGTGAGTGATGTTATCCAACGGATACCTCAGCGTGTGTTTGATCCACCACCACTTTCTTCGACATGATTGTTGAGCAATAGGTTCTTCGTTAGTTTGTTCCCATAGTTTCTAGTTGCTAATTCTTTCTGGGCATTCATTATAGAACCAGCTAAGGTAGCTGTCAGTAATGGTCTTCAACTTGTTAGACATGCTATTTGTGACGCTTCAAGACTTTAACCAAAATAGGAGAATTGAGTGATTTGAAATTGTTGCTGAGAATCCGAATTTTGTTTTGTATGTTGACTGGAGAAGATTTCCAAACGGATTTCAGAATGACGTCCGTCTGTGTTGCCTTTCAGATCCTAACCGGCTTTGACATCCTCATTGACGCCATCACCTGTAGTTGAAACGATGTTGTGTAAATAAGGGAAGGATGTGACCTCTTTCGAATTTATTCCGTTCGCAGTGATTTGTACTTGCTATTGGTTGACTGTCTTCACCACTTCCATCTTCTCTATCTTCACCTGAAGTCCTGTCATTCACGACTGCTTCTTCTGCCATTTTGCCTGTAAGTATTCGAGTCTATGTGGACATTATACATAAGCGGTCCACTAAACCCGGATCTTCTTTAGCCTTCCTATTGGTCCAACGTATTCCTGTATTCTTGTTCCCCACAGTCTGACGAATAAGTCATTCCATCAAAACAATGAATATCATCAGTGGCGGTAATCAGCCTTGTCTCACTTTTGTACTCACTTCAGAGGCTTCTCTGAGTTTTCCGTTGTGGATCCTCACATAGCTGTTGAATGAGGTCGATGAAGATTTAGGGCACGCCATAGTGTTGAAGTAGTTTGCGAATTACTTCTTGGTCAATGCTGTCGAAGCTTTTTTCGAAGTCGATCAAGTTAAGGTAGAGATTTGACTTCTGTTCTATGTTCTGTTCGATGATGATGCGTAGAGTTGCAATTTGGTCAGGACATGATTTGCCTTTCCTGAATCCATCTTGTTCCGGTGGGTGGCAGGGGTCTGCATCCGACGCATTTTTCATTCTCTCCACAATGATGCAACTTAATATTTTGCTTTGCGTGAATAAGACCATGATTCTACGCCAGTCCTTGCAGAGGCCTAAGTCGCCCTTCTTTGGCAGTTTGACAAGGTAATCTTACTTCCAGTTAGTAGTTACCATTCCTTCCTTCAATATAGAGCTAGCGACGTGCGTAGTTGTTGATAAAATTCTGCAACTGGCTGTTTGAAATGCTTCCCATAACGCGGGCGCCAAGTTTCTGACCCATATACAAAAACTGACTGACTTAACATTGATAGTGAAAATCCGAATTTTGTTGTGTATGCTGGGTGGAGAATATTTCCAAACTGATTTCACATTGATGAAGGTGCACCTTGCCTTTCCAACTGTGGTTTTTACATTCTCGTCCGTGCCACCGGTCTCTAGTTGAAACGATGTTTCCTAGATAAGTGAAAGGTGTGACCTCTTTGAAATTTATTCCATCTAAACATGCAGATTCTCAAATTCCTTTAGTCTGTGGGAATCTATACCTTCCACTTATACTAGTGAAAAGTGGGAAAATGTTTGGATACCACAATCAAGCTTGTTCGTTTATTTCAATTTTATCTAAGAATAAAAGATATAGCGGTATTGAAACATATTCAACCATTAGTCGTATAGTGGTATTACGCACACAAGGAACTTAAGTGGAATCTGAAAAGAGTAAACGACACAGATTTGGGCGTGGGTCCTGAGGTCCATATGGTGCAGATCATGTGAGAAGGAGGAGGAGAAGGACGAATTGAAAGTTTATCAGCAACCATGGTGGTGTCATGTTGTAACAACAGAAGTCAAGATACGGAAGCCAAAACATATTTTTCATTAATCAAACCACTGTTTATATATCTACAGTTTTATATTCGTCAACCAATCCCTCTTCTTGTGATAATCACACAGGAATTAGCTTGACTGATATAGTATCTAAAGTCCTAGGCTCAATAATCATGCGTAGACTAAGTGGTGCTCGGGAGGCACAAACACGAGAAAACCAGGCAGGTTTTAGGCCAGGAAGAGGGTGTATTGATCATATCTTCACCCTTCGACAGATTCTAGAACATAAGCACTCCTACCGGCGTCCGACAATCATTATATTTCTGGACCTAAAAAAGGCGGCATTCGATTCTGTCGACCGAGAGGTTCTCTGGCGATGCTTGGCTGTAAAGAGAATGCCGAGAAAATGCATTGCACTGATTAAGGCACTCTACTCGTGAGGGCTTATGGCGAGTTGTCATCTGAAGTGGTGACGACTAGTGGCGTCCGTCAAGGATGCCCACTATCCCCATTCCTATTCAACTTCATCATAGACGTACTAATGGACTTAACCCTAACACACTTCAGCGACTCAGGGATTGACTTGCTACCAGGGAATAATCTCGTCGACTTAGAATATGCGGACGATATAGTCCTTCTAGGCGAGGACGCTGACAAAATGCAGAATCTACTGAACACCTTGAGCAACAATCTTCGTATGTTTGGCATGCGATTCGCCCCTGTAAAATGTAAGATGATGTTGCAGGATTGGACTACACCGACTCCTAGATTACAAATAGGAAGTGAAGTGGTAGAGCACGTTGACTGCTTCACTTACTTGGGAAGCACCATCAGCCCCAACGGGTTGATCTCTGACGAAATCTCAGCACGAATACAGACGGCTAGTTTCGCATATGCCAGTTTACGCAGTCTCTGGCGTAGACGTGATATCCCACTGGCTATCGACCGAAGGGCATGTGTACTGCTCAACAGTCCGTTCCGTCCTCCTTTATAGCTGTGAGACCTGGCCATTGAGAGCAGAAGACATGAAAAGATTAGCTGTCTTTGATCATACGTGTCTGCGTTCTATCTCTCGCGTGAAGTGGTATAATGGGGTGAGCAATATTGAGGTTAGGCATCGGTCGAGTGCTAGGTAGGGCGGGGAAATCCATAGATGAGACTGTGAGATTACATCGACTGAGATGGTTAGGACATGTGCTACTTATGCCTAGTCATCGCCTTCCTCGACAATGGGCAATGTTAGCTGATATAAGGCCAGGCTGGAAAAGAGCTAGCGGCGGTCAAACCAAAACATGGCACCAGTCACTGAAATCCACAGCAGTTAGTCTAAGCCATTTAGGAAGTTGTAGACTTCCTGGTTGGGGTCCTCGGGACGGTAAAAACCAATGGTTGGAAACAATTGGTGATATGGCTCAAAATCGTTCTCAATGACTGGTGTAGATGCGTCCATTCCTTGTGACTTATGATTTCCAATGAAACTGTTTTGTTCTCCGTTATTACTATTCCTTTTTCTCACACCTCTGTTTACTGTCTCTGATATGCATTTCTTCTACTTTCTTCTCTTGCTTTGCGTGCTACATGGAGTGTGGCGACTTGAACTGCCGCACATATGTGCAAAGTTCTATATTGAAAACCAACAACGAATTCATTATCAAGCTGTACAATCGTATACATATGGTTTTTTTAAGAAGTTATATCCGGCAAGGGAAGTGAATCATAGATGTGAATACACTAAATAGTAATAATAGTATGGAATACAATTAAAATGTTTGTGATTATAATCATAGTTTTGTGTGAAGTAGCGAAACAGTTAATGCCATCTATAGAACAATTCATGGGATGTATAGAACTTGGAAGGGGTGTGCAATTATAAGATTAGTAGGCACATAGAATGGAAGTAAAAACGCTAGGTAACATTGTGTTAAATTTGATAACATAGATTTGACGTTGTAACACAGAATTGATTTTGAATGACAAGTGGAACGAGTGAAATAATACCGGGGACAGTTCAAAGTGAGAATAGTAATAGTAACAACTGACGCAATAAAGGAAGAGTATACAAATTGAATAAACAAAACGGAAAAATTCGTAGAGCCACAATATGATTGGGGATTGCCATACTTTAGCATAGAGGGATTAAGACCATGAGAGTTGGAGTGGTTGCACGAACTTTTTCTGTAAACAGAGATCTGGCTTTTCTGTTTCGATAGCCAAGGCTTTAGCAATACAGATGACTCGGGTATGCAGTGATTTGGCCAAATTACTTTTCGCCTTATAGATGACTTTAAAGGCGGAGGCTGTATAGATTCTATTGTAACGACAGAAGACAAAGGTCAGGCAACAGATCGTTTATTGAGAAAATCAACAGATATTCATAGATTTTTATGCAAATTATTATTTGTTATTTTAGCAGAGAAGCAACGTCTCCTGACTGGTTTTCCTTGCTGAAGGTTATTCTATGCTGCTTGTGACCGTTGCTTACAAAGTTATCCATATATCTGCGAATCATATTTGTACACGCTAAGTCTCCTGTGATTGGTTGTTGAGCTCCTCAAGGGTAGGGCTTGTTATTGTTTTTTCTCAATACCGTGATTCGGGACGTGAACATTGACACCAATTGTTGTCTACAGTTTTGTCTTACAGACAGCTCTCACAACACTAGGTTATCAAATTTCACACAACATTACGTAACGTTTCTTATTTTGTTTCATTTGCCTACTAATCCTACAATTGCACACCACCTTCCAAATTCTATACATCCAATGAAGTGTCCTATATATGACATTAATTGTTTTGCCACTTCACACTGAACTATGATTATAATCACAAACATTTTAATTTCCTTTCAGACTATTATTATTATTTCATACATTCACACCTATGATTCAATTCCCTCACCTGCTTTAATTTCTTAAAAAACAATGTGTATATACGATTGTACAGTTTGATAATAAATTCCTTGTTGAAAAGAGTCTCTTCGCTGGATCACTTGTTTTGATTTTCCATATGTTACAATGGAAATTTTCCAGGTATAATAATTCTTCGCAATTAAATTGTATGTTGTTTATCTTTATTGTGCTTCATCTCTTCTATTTACTTACTTTTTCCCCTCAGATATATGTTCGTGCAATGTTTGACTATAGTCCTGAAAATGATGACTTAATACCATGTACCCAAGCTGGTATACACTTTCATGTTGGTGATATTTTACAAATTATTAGTAAAGATGATCATAATTGGTGGCAAGTAAGTGAAATTTTTTGAGCTCATTTATGCGCATATTATTCTCCTTCTTCTGCATTTTATATGATTAACTGACTTTTATATAAGCTTCAGCATACAGCGAGAAATATTAGCTAACAGCAATGCGCACCCACCCAGAGGGGTTCGAATGCAGGACCTTCCGGTTACAAGGTGAGTTAGCTCATAGACCAATAAGCCATTGTAACCCGATCCAATAGCCCATGAGTTGTAGTGAGAAGTCGTGACTGGTGGGGTACAGGAAGCAGGGTATGACAACAGTCACTCGCCGACAGTGACATTGGCTAGTCCTTATCGTGCTAAATGCATCACGAATCCGTAGAAGTAGGAATTCATTGGACATTGTGTAGGGTCACATTGACTGAATGATCTGAGAACTTGACTTGTCACCGGAAGGTCCTGAATTCGAATCCTGGCAGTGGATGTGTACTAATAAAGAGTCCAAAACTAGGTATCAAGGAACTTAACCTTATGTTCCTATTATTTGCGAAGACGCTCCGAATCGATAATTACTAGGAACGATTATCGACCTTAACTCCAAAACACCAGAACTTGCAATAAGAAATTATATTCTTCGGCAGTTAAATTCGATATCATTACAAAGTCTATAAACAAATGTTTTACAAGGAATGTACTATACTTTTATTCGTATTCTTTCGTTTTCTTCCAACTTGTACACAACTGAACCATTCGTGCCTTCGAGTTGCCCGCCAATGGCGACTAAGGCCAATGAACTAACGTTCAATGTTCACGTTCATTTACATTAGGACTAAGCAGCTGTTTAGTAATCCCTGATGGTTTCCAACGGTTCTCTAACCTATGTCAGCTCATGGTGAAATCCTGTAGTCCATGAACTCTTTGACTTGTAGCTTGATCTAACCATGTGGAGAGGTGTAAACCTCCCTAGTTAGATCCCTAAAACACTAAGAACTAATGGCTGTAGACTGTTGGTGTTATGGCTCTAATTCATTCTCATTGGTGAGTATGCAAACCCTCTAGATAGTTTTTCAGACCCATTAAATTCACATCATTCTTCGTGTAATTTTTGTATCCTCAGAACATTTCTGAGTAATATATATTGCAAGTTTCACCATGAATTGATACCAGTTAGAGAGCGATTCAAAACTACAGAGTACTGAGCGGCTATTCTATCCCTATTTATGACTCTTCTGCTGTACTTATCCATGACCCCACCTGGTATCAAACCCAGGAGCTTCAGGTTGTCAGTTGAGTTCGTCGGTCATTCGGCCATTGGCATGGAATCCTATTTCTAGTCCATTAGTTCTAAGTTTTGCCAATTCGCCATCTGTAGTGCCACCTCACACACCTTACATGGTGGACCCCACTGCCCTGATCACGACTTCCTACTGGAACTTCAAACAACTTCGTCCTGTTGTCATTCACTTGTGAGCAACTAAATTAATCCCTACAAACAAACGCTTGAAAATCATTACGCACTCACTGAATTTCTATCTAATTCCTACCTTTTGTGTATGATTTAATTAGGCATTATGGATTATGTATTACATATTTATTGTTCTCTTGGGTTCCGATTGGAATATAGGTCTTCTGCAGCACGTTTCTACTTTGTTTCATCTTCTGCGATCCCATTTAGCTGGCCCCACGAATGTGCATAATCTCGCATCTCCTCCTTACACGATCTCGTTCACGTCACTCTCGGACGCCCAACTCGTTGTTTCCCATTCGGGTTCCACTCGAGCGATGGCTTGGCGCGTGATGTCATCCAGCGGTCTCCTCAGCGTGTGTTCGATCCATCTCCATTTCATCCTACATATTTGTTGAGAAATAGGCTTTTGGTTGGTCTATTCCCATAGTTTCTTGCTGCTAATTCTTCCTGGTCGGCCATTTAGTCCTCAGTATGGAGCCAGTGAAGTTGGCAGCTGATGATGAAAGTCTGTCGTAGCCTATTGGAAATGTTCTTCGTAACGCGGACGCCAAGTTTCTGACCCAAAGTGCAGTACTGACTGATCTAACACTGGTGTTTAAAATCCGAATTTTATTGTGTATCCTGAGTGGAGAAGACTTCCAAGACGATTACTGAGCGATGAATGTTTTTCTCGCCTTTCCGAATCTGGTTCTAAAATCCTGTAACTGTGAGAAATGCCTGTATTTGAAACGATGCTTCCTAGATGAGTGAATGAAGTTCCATATTAGTTTGTTTATTAGATGTATCACATAGTGACAGAGTATTATTTACTGGATTTATTGGAGTGAAGGAAGTAATTTCTTTCCAGTTTACCCCACTGATAGGGATTGGTACTGATTATTGTAACTATCTGTTGGTTATCTTGATCACCTGCGTCTTCTCTATGTACACCTGAAGAGTCCTGTCTTCTCTGGTCGCTTCTTCTGCCAAATTGTTAGTTTTAACCTGTAAGTCTTCGAGTGTTATGATGCTAGATCCTTTGTCACGCAGTCACTGCTTAACTACTGACCTGTGCCCACCTAACTGGTAAAGCAGAACACGAAGAGAATCAACGGTAAAACCAGGTTCATTTATTATGACAAAAGTGACTATTTATACAGAAAATAAGATGGACTGGAAATCAACCAATCAGGTTGAGAGTTGAAATTGTGCAAGCGTCCAATCAGAAGCAGGAAAAATTGCATGTCAAGGACTTGTTAATAACGCGATAATAACTTAATAATTGCATGTGTTTTGCCTTTTCCTAACATCGAGTATGTGTGACATTAGACATAAATCATCCACACGCAAGATCTAGATCTTCTGGAGTCTTCTTATCAGTCCAACGTATTCCTGTCTTCTCGCTCACTATGCAGAGTCTGACGCATAATCTAGTCCTCAGACTGTGTAGAGCAAGGAAACAAGAATGCGCTGGAGTACCGATAAGAAGACTTTATAAGATCTGGATTCGGCGTATGAATGATATATGTCTAATGTCACACAAACTCGAAAACTTACTTACAGGAGAAAACCAACAAACTAGCTGGAGAGGCAGCTAGGGAAGACAGGACTCTTTAGGTATATATAGAGAAGTGAGGAGGTGATGAATATAGCCAACCGATAGTAACAATTATCATTATTGTTCCCTTGGGTTCCTAGTGGAACATAGGGCTTCAACTGCACGTCTCCACTTGCTTCTGTCTTCTGCCAGACTTTTAACTTGCATCCATCTTAGTCCATACTGTTCCAACTTTTCCTCACACGATCTCCTCCACGTCACCCATGCACTGACGTCCCATTTGCCGCTTCCCTTTCGGGTTCCATTCGAGCATTGGCGTGACGCGCGATATCACCCAACGGCCTCCTCAGCCAGTGAGTGTCCAATCCATCTCCACTTTCTCCTGCATATTTGTTGAGCGATTGGTTCCCGATTTGTTTGTTCCCATAGCTTTTTGTTTGTGATTCTTTCCGGCCATCTAATCTTCAGTATAGAACGAAGACAGTTAGTTGTCGATAAAGGTCTGCAACAGGCTGTTGGAAATATTCATTGTGACCCGCCAAGTTTCTGATCCGTATAGAAGAACTGACTTGACGTTTGTATTGAAAATCGGAATTTTGTTGTTGATGCTGAGTTGAGTGACGAAGATTTCCAGATTGGTTTCAGGTTGATGAATGTGTTTCTCGCCTTCACGATTCTCGATTTGACATCCTTGTCCGTTCCACCTGCCTGTAGTTGAGACAATGCTCCCTAGATAAGTGAATGAAGTAACCTCTTTCAAATCCCTCCCGTTGATAATGATTGGTGCCGGATGTTGGTGCTGTTGTCATTGTTGGTTGGTTATTTTCATAACCTCCATCTTGTTTATGTTCACCTGGAGTCAGTCCTATCTTTGCTGCTTCTTCGACCAGTTTGTTGGTTTTCGCTTGTAAGTCTTCGATTTTGTGTGACATCAAACATAAATCACCTGCGAAATCCAGGTCTTCTAGGTTCTTCACGTCGGTCCAGGATATCCCTGTCTTCTCGTTTCCCACTGTCTGATGCATAATCAAGTCCACCACAATTAGGAATATCATTGATGACTATAAGCACCTTTGTCTGACTCCTGTGTTTACTCCAAACGCCTCGCTGAGTTTTCCGTTGTGGATCACTTGACGTGTGCCGTTGTCGTACAGCTGTTGAATAAGGTTGATGAATATTTGGGGTACGCCGTAGTACTCGAGGAGTTTCCAAATTACTTCGCGGTCAACGCTGTCGAAGGCCTTCCCAAAGTCTATAAAGTTGAGGTAGAGGTTTGATTGCCATTCCATGCTTTGTTCGATGATGATGCGTAGAGTTGCAATTTGGTCAGATCATGATTTGCCTTTCCTGAATCTAGCTTGTTCTGGTCGGAGTTCTGTATCCAGTGCGTCCTTGATTCTCTCCAGGATGATGCGACTCAGGATTTTACTTGGCGTCGACAGGAGCATGATTCCTCTCCAGTTCTTGCAGAGTCCTAAGTCGCCTTTCTTTGGTAGTTTCACCAGGTAACCTTTCCTCCAGTCACTAGGCACCTTTCCCTCCTTCCAGACCTTTTGCAATAATGGAGTCAGCATATCTGCTGTCGTCTCTGGGTCCGCTTTCAGTGCTCCCGGGGGTATTCCATCTGGTCCAGCTGCTTTTCCAGCTTTCAGAAGCTTGATTGCATTCAAGACTTCAGCTTTCGTTGGAGGATTGGTGTCAACTTGCAGTTGTGTACTTGCTGTTGTTGGTATTTCTGGACGGGTTGCAGGTGGTGGTCGCTTCAAGAGTCCTTTGAAGTGACCCGCCCATTGTTTAATCTGTCTTTCTTCCTTGGTAATTGGGTTCCCTTGTCTGTCTTTTATAGGTTTCACTTGTGTTGATCTTTTCCCGGATAGAGCTTTGGTTATCTGATATAGTGTCCTCAGGTTCCTTTCGCCTGGTAGGTTTGTCAGTCAGTTAGTCAATATGAGCTCCATTTGCGGTAATTACTAACCGGCTTATTTGTCACTAGCTTAATTTGACAATAAAGCTGAGGAGTGATATAACACTCTGCTTCATTCGTTATATCAATACATTTTATATACAGTTGTTAATCTTGATTTTATCATTTTCCTGCTTCTTCTCTTTTATTTTACTGAATATTTCAGGCTCGTTTATGGGGTTCTGATTTCCAAGCACCAGCTGGTCTAATACCTAGTCCAGAATTACAAGAATGGCGTATGGCTAATAAAGCTGCTGAATTATCACGTGAAATGGGTATAACACATTGTGGTGCTTGGTTAAAGCGTAGAAAACGTCAATTCAAAGATAAATATGCTAAAGGCAAACATGCAACAACTATCTATGATCAACTGGATTTAGTCACTTACGAAGAAGTCGTTCGATTACCACAGTTTCGTCGTAGAACACTTGTATTACTTGGTGCACATGGTGTAGGACGACGTCATATAAAGAACTGTTTAATTCAATCAGCCCCGGATAAATTTGCTTATCCTATACCTCGTAAGTTAAAAAAACAAACTATCATTACTCGGGTTCGATTCCTTGGCCGATATACGCACTCTTAGATCTCCCTTAGCATACATTTATGCCAATAAAGAGGGAAGGTTAAGTATGAGAATAGTAACCACTACTACAGAAACTTTAAAGCTCTACCTTGGAGCCCTTTTTATTCCAATGAAAAAATGGTCTATGACTGATGTCATCTACCTAGTCCTCAGTATTCATCCTAACCCTAATTCTACCAGCTAAATTAGCTGTGTCCTTAGCGAGCCAGGGATACACTTTGAACTGATTTTAGGAGGTTGAAGGCAATCGCCATGAATCCCTGATTAACTTAGGCTCCGTACTTCCTCGCACTGTTCAGAGGGATGAGCATGCAATCTCAAAGGAACTAATTCTCCCGCAGAATCTAAATCCCACGTTACTCAATGTTGCAGTCAGGATCGTTACCATTGAGTCATATGCGCTACGATCTATCTCCAGCAGCTGTGTAGTTTATTTATTTATTATTATTTGTCACCTTTAGTTCCTAGAGGAGCATAGGGCTTCAGCCGTACATCTCTATTGCGTACGGTTCTCTGTCAACCTTTTCACCTGGCTATAAGTCTGCCCACATGCCTTCATCTCCTCTTCATATGACCTCCTCCATGTCACTCCCAAACTGACGACCAACTCGCCGCTTCCCATTCGAGTTCCACTCGAGCAATGGCCTAGCGTGTGGTGTCAGTTGATGGTTTGTTTTCTGAGAGTATGGCCAGCCAATCCACCTCCACTTCTTCCTGCATATTTGTTACACAATTGGTTCCTGCTGGGTTGTTTCGCTCTCAGAGACCCCTCACTATTGCTGGTGTTTTCTGGTCGGCCATTTGATCTTGAGCGAGGTACTGAGAGGAGACAGCTGTTGATGAAGGTGTGTAGTTTGCTCGAAGTGCCCTTTGTGACGCACTGGCCAAGTCTCTGATCCGTATGGCGTCTGTGTAGTGCACTCACTAGTTGATCACTAGGGCGCAATCATTGTGTCATATATCCGGCCATTAGTATTAGTGTTGTATGAATTCTACCAATAAAGTTTGTAGTGTGGTCTCCAAGCTAAGTAACTCGCCATCTCAACGCACTTTAGATTTACGTTATGTAGAGGCGAAGAGACAGGTAGATAAAATCTGAATCGACATGAATTGGTAACATTAAAACGTTTGGTAAACTTCTGATTCTTATTTCAGGCATTTTTAGGGATTCTAATTAATTTCACTGTAGATTTCGTTGGTTTAGAAGTCACTAGAAATCAGTAAGTACTAAACAGTTGTTCCTTCCTAGTTTGGAACTGTTCATCACTGTGCGCTCCCACGACCCCACTAGGGATCAAACCCAAGGCCTTCAGGTTAGGGGGTTGACTCTTTGCTCATTCAGCTATCGGAGTGGAGTCAAATGACTCGTTGTGACCTATGAAGTGGATGCGCATAGACAGTATAGATTAGCGGTGGCACTATTCCACAAATTGACAGAAGTTAGAATTCACGAGTTATTGGACCCTTCAACCCAGCGATTGAGGAAGTGACTCACTGGCAGTAGGTGTTGGACTCGAATGGTGTTCCACCTAATTTGGTCTGGGTACTATCAGCCCTCTGTCTTCGTGACTTCGGTTTATACGACACCACAAAATATCAAAGGATAAAGACTTGCTTGTGACTGTACAGACAACTTCAATGAATATATATGTATATATACGTGCTCACAGACGTAAGATTACGGAATGGTATCAGTCAGAGTACCGTTGAAAACCAGGGAGTGATTGACGGCTGTTTTGCCCTAATTTGAGACTCATCAGTGGTGCTCACCCGTTGGGTTTCGAATCCTTAAAAACGAAGTCTTGAAAACTAATCTCATTTCAGCCATTGACTGTCTGGCTACAGGACGAAGTCGCCTGTAATATTCTATTGAGAAGTCGTGGTGAGTGGGGTCCACCTAATCGGGAGTGAGGACAAATACTCGCCACCGATGAAACTGGCTGTCGGTCGCGCTAAATGCATCAAGAATTTCTAGAAATTAGATTTCATGGGCTAGCCAATGAGCAGGATCGCAGTGTCTGGATGGTCCACGAGCTCGCCTTGTAACCGGAATGGCTTGGGTTCAAACCCTGGTGGTGGGTGGGCACTACCGATGAATCCAAAAATAGTGGGACGAAACAGCTGACTATCAAGTACCCCCTAGTTGGTTTTCATTGGACAGTTCTCTAAGTGATATCAAATCCGTAATCAAACTTGAAAAAGTCAATCTGAACGAAGAATATTCTTTTCAATAATTTCTCTTTAGGTTCTTACAATTATAAAATATAATATTTGTTGCCATTACAATAAAGGCCAGTTATGCGGCAGATACATTTTTAACGTAGAATAACAGATTAGTAGTAATGGGGTGTCAAAATCAATAGTCGTATTTGTGTGACAAAAGTGGTAGGCTGAATTCCATTACAAAATATTGTAAAACGGGAGACAATGGTGATTAATCATAATAGATTTGTAGAGTGTGGGGTAGGAAAATTGACAAGTCAGTTCAAGGTTATAAAAGGTGTCAGGTGAGTGGTTAGTACAATATTTTGTAATGGAATTCAGCCTACCACTTTTGTCATACAAATACGACTATTTATTTTGACACCCCATAACTAATCTGTTATTCTACGTTAAAAATGTATCTGCCGCATAACTGGCCTTTATTGTAACGACAACAAATATTATATTTTATAATTGTAAAAACCTAAAAAGAAATTATTGAAAAGAATATTCTTCTTTCAGATTGACTTTTAATTCATAATATGGGAATTTTCCACACTATCAAAACTTGAAAAACAAATATATGTTTCAAATCGCTCTAATCACGTAATACAGAAATTTAAAAGTGTAACTGACCACCTCAGTTCTGCCGGCTCAACTACATACTGAGAAACGAAAGGGCAGCAAGTTTGTTCTGCCATAACTTATAGCCTCGCTCCATAATGGATAAAAATAATGATGAAACTAATAAAGATAACATAATTAAGGCATCTACAGTTTTACCATATAAGGAGGGGACATTTGAGACCCTACGTAGGATTTTTAATAAAGCAGAAATTAGGGTGGCATTCAAACCTAAAAACTCACTCAGAGACAAGCTCTGTAGGCTTAAGGACCTAGTGGTCCCACTTAGACAAAATATTGTAATTAACATAATACCTTGCAATGACTTTGATTGAGGTCAACTACATAGGTCAAACTAGTAGATCCGAAGTAGTGAGATTATCAGAACATTATCAGAATTAAGGTAAGGTTAGAATGATTGATCCCACGAAGATAAGTAATTTAGAGACACACTCAGCAATCACACTGCATGCACTAACACACAAGTACACAATATGATGGCAGGAGAGGGTTAAAATTCTAGAAAGTAATATAGGTAGGTAGAGAGCGAGAAAGATTGATTTCTGAATCTTTGTTCATCGAGTAATCTACACCCAACACATGCAGTAGAAGTGACTCAATGCAAATACCAGAAATAAGGAAGATATTATTACCACCAGTCCAATCAGAGGATAATAAATAATATTAAAATGTATTTCAGTTCACATACGTTACAACATTCTAACAAGTTATTTGTTTTTGATTGGACACTGATCAGTAACTAGTGTAATGTGTCTAGTCCTATCTTCGGTGCAGACTGAATTCTATCAGTCAACCTGGCAATGTGGCCACGATGCTAGGGGGCTCGCTATCATAGTGCACTGTGAATTATTGTCAGTAGATGGTTGGAGGCAATCGGCAGGAAGCCCTACCTGACCTAGATTTCGTGCTAGTTGGCACTCACCAGTCAGCAAGGCGTATCTGCAACCACCTTGAAGGAACTCATGTCCCTTTTAACTGCAGCGCTGGGTGGCGCTGGTTCGAATCTCAGAAGGGACATGAGTTCCTTCAAGGTGGTTGCACATACGCCTTGCTGATTTGTGAGTGCCAACTAGCACGAAAGCTATGTCGGGTAGGGCTCTCTGCCGATTGTGTCTAACCATCTAATACCAAGTTACTTATTTATTTATGTATTTTACTATAAAAGCATCTCATTTCCCATCCTGTTGAGTATCAATACTCATCTTAATTCTCATCATATTATATATTTATTGATAACACTAATATTCGCTCCCAGTGTACTTTATCTTCCATTTCTGTTTCACTATTTTGTGTGTATATATCTACGCAGATACAACTCGTTCACCGCGTAAAGATGAAGTCAATGGTAAAAATTATTATTTCATATCACATGATGAAATGATGCGTGATATAGCAAGTAACGAGTATTTAGAGTATGGTGCACATGAAGGTGCAATGTATGGCACTAAATTAGATACTATAAGACAAATACATGCAGCAAGTTTAATTGCTATATTGGATGTTGAACCACAAGCGCTGAAAATACTACGTACAGCAGAATTTGCACCATGTGTGGTATTCATTGCAGCACCAGCGTTAACTGATATGACAAATGGACAGCATACCGGTAATAATACCGCAAGTAGTAATAAGAATACAAGTGTAAGTTGTATTTATTTAAAAGTGTATTCCGTTTTCCTTTTTGAGGTTAAAGATTATTATTATTATTGTTCCATTGGGTTCCTAGTGGAACATAGGGCTTCAACTGCACGTCTCCACTTGCTTCTCTCTTCTGCTGTACTTTTCACTTGCATCCATGTTAGTCCATACTGTTTCAACTCTTCTTCACACGATCTCCTCCATGTCACCCTTGCACTGACGTCCCACTCGACGCTTCCCTTTCGGGTTCCACTCGAGCATTGGCCTGACACGCGATGTCATCCAGCGGCCTCCTCAGCGAGTGTCCAATCCATCTCCACTTTCTCCTGCATATTTGTTGGGCGATTGGTTCTTGTTTTGTTTGTTCCCATAGTTTCTTGTTGGTGATTCTTTCCGGCCATCTGATCTTCAGTATAGAGCGAACACAGTTAGTTGTTGATAAAGGTCTGCAACAGGCTGTTGGAAATATTCTTTGAGACCCGCCAAGTTTCTGATCCATCCGTATAGAAGAACTAACTGACTTGACATTTGTATTGAAAATCCGAATTTTGTTGTTGATGCTGGGTTGAGTGACGAAGATTTCCAGATTGGTTTCAGGTTGATGAATGTGTTTCTCGCCTTCCCGATTCTCGATTTGACATCCTCGTCCGTTCCTCCTGAGGTTGAGACAATGCTCACTAGATAAGTGAAGTGAATGAAGTAACCTCATTCAAATCCCTTCCGTTGATGGTGATTGTCGCTGGATCTTGCTGCTGTTACTGTTGTTGGTTGGTTATTTTCATAACTTCCGTCTTGTCAATGTTCACCTGGAGTCCTGTCTTCTCTGGCTGCTTCTTCGACCAGTTTGTCGGTTTTCGCTTGTAAGTCTTCGATCTTGTGTGACATCAAACATAAGTCACCCAAGCGCGAAATCCAGGTCTTCTAGGTTCTTCACGTCGGTCCAGGATATCCCTGTCTTCTCGTTTCCCACTGTCTAACCTTTTTGAGGTTAAAGATTATTATTATTGTTATTATTATTATTGTTCATAGAGCCTCAACAGCTTGTCTCCGCTTTTTCCTATTTTCTGTGGTCCTCTTTAGCTAACCCCATGGTTCCCCGTAGTCGGTCATCCCCTCTTCACATGATCTTCTCTATGTCATCCTTGGAACAATGCCCAACTTGTCCCCTACCATTTGTGTTCCACTCGGGAGATGGCTTGGGGCATGATGTCACCTGGCGGTTTCCTCAATGACGTGTGTCCAATCTATCTACACTTTATTCAGGATATTTATCGAGTAATACGGTATTGATTGATTCGTCCCCTGCGTTTCCTGTTGCTAATCGTTTTCAGTCTTTAGTATGGAGCTAGAGAAGGCAGTTGTTGATAAAAAACGTTAGCAGTCTGTTGGAATTGATTTTCGTGACTCTCTTGTCGAGTTTATCACCCAGGATGTAGAAGAAGTGAACTAACCTTAGTATTGAAAATCCCAATATTGATTTTTATGATGAGTGCAGAAGATTTCCCAACTGATTGCAGAGTGATGATTGTCTGTGTTACCTTTCCGATGTTGCTTTTGATATCCTTACCCCTGAGAACTGCCTGTAGTTGTAACGATGCTTCCTAGATAAGTGAAGGAAGTGACCTCTATTAAATGCCTTCTGTTGATAATGATTAGTGCTGATTATTGTCGGTGTCGGTTGGTTATCTTCATCGCCTCCATCTTTTCTATATTCACCTGAAGATTCCTGTCTTCACTGGTTGCTTCTCCTACCAGTTTGCTGGTTTTCACCTGTGAGTCTTCGAGTATGTATGACATTAGACATAAATCATCTGCGAAATGCAGACTGTTTATGCATTGTGTATATGATACCTGGATTGAAAATAGCTATTCAGACAAATTCATCAAAAAACATTTGACTGAGGAAGCTGAAAAGGACTATTCACCATCCGTAAACAAGTAGCCTTTATACATACAACTGAAATTCAAGGGTGATATACCTAGTGAAATAATTACTAACAAGTTAAGAAAATCAATTCAAAGAACCTGTAATGCTGGCAAAATGCAAGTCTTATTTTTTACACGACCGATGGTGATTCCCCAAATCAAAGATGAAATACCTAGACTAGTTAGTCACTTCTAATTGTATCTACCTATTCAACTGAGCTGGCGGAGCGAGTTGTATTGGCCTTTGCTCTAGAAACTTGATTTTTCATGCTCACTCGGGAACATACATACAAGTGTGGTTAAATAAAGGTGTTTTGAGAAGTACCAATAGCTGGATATTAGAACACCTGGCTACAAAGCTAATATTGAAGAGTCCTTCTCAATCATTCATCGGGTACCGAACAATTTGCCAAAAACGTCGATGGGTGAAATGTTTAAATGACAGAGCACAAAAACTAAGTAGTACCAAGGAAAATCTAAGACAGGAACTGATACATATAAAAGAAGCCTTGAAACTTAATAATTACCCGGATAAATTAGTCAGGAAATATGTAAGGAAATGTAAAAATAAAGTAAACAATTATAGTAGCGATAGTGATAATAACAATAATAATGATAATAATAATAGTGATAATAATAATATTAATGACGACACCAACAATGAGGAATCTAAATCATCAGTAGTAATTCCATACAATGAAGGAACCTCGGAAGCCTTATGCAGAATTCTTAACAAGGCAGGAATAAAAGTGGCATTCAAACCCACAAACTCAATTAGAAACAAGCTTTGTCGGTTAAAGCATACTATGGGACCGTTCAAACGAAACAGTTTAGTTTATCTAATACCCTGCCTCAATGATTGTCAGGTTGGCAGTCAGACTAGCCGAGCATGAAAACCCAGCATCAAAATGTAGATTAGTTGACGCGAATAAGATAAGAAATCCAGAGAATAGTTCAGCCATAGCCCTCACTACATGCAATTACACACAACTATACAATACGATGATAGGATAAGATGACAGTTTTAAAATTTAATGTATCAGCAGAGTGGAGGGAGAGATTGGTAAGGGAAGCTTTGTTCATCGAATCAACTGCAAATACATGTAATAGGAATGATTCAACACCTGTCCACGTGGAAATCTGGAAAATTCTACTACCCCAACGATGACAAATAGAAAACAAAGAAAACTATAAAAGTCAAGTTTCAAAGTCGTGTGATTACAACTGATATGATTATGAACAATAAATTTTGTTCGAAACATCATCCAGTAAATAATACTGTTTCACTGTGTGATACATTTAATAAACACGCTAAAATGGAATTACTTACTACCACAGTGCCCAAGTGTTACACATATATTTGATCTGTGTTGGTTGATTTCTATAAACTTGAGTTTCGAAATGTCCTTTGGTTGTTCGGTTGACTAAGATGTCCGAAAATGATAGTTTGTCCTTGGATTCACTTCTCTTGTGAATTTGATATCGTTGAAAACGCTGTTTAATAATTTGCGAGTTTTGTCCAACTCGTTCCTTTTGATTAATACGAATGTGTTATCCACGTCACCTATTCAAATTTTGGGTCTGATTTTCGGTAGGATTATGTTTCCACGTCTTTGCATCACAGCTTCTACAGTCAAACCTGATATGGGCAATCCTATGCGTGGCCATTTAATTTATTCATATATTTGTTCGTTAAATTGAAAATATGTCGTTAGACATACATTTTTACGTTCCATCCAACTTGTGTTCTGCATTTGTGAGTGTTGTAGAAGCTGTTTGAGGTTTCTGAGTAACTGCTCCGTGGTCTCTTTTGCTAGTTTCCGTCCAATCGGAGTATATATTACTGTGACACTAAAGGATACCATATATATATATATATATATATATTTCTCTAAGATGTCAATAAAATGCTACTCATATCCTCTTTGTTTTCCTTTTGAATAAAGCAAGAATAACAGCAGTGGTTTGTACAAAATAATAATGATGGTACCATCGTTTATTTCCTTGGCTTCTCAACACTTGCATGCAGCCTAAAGAAATTATTATTGATTCTATGTACAGAACGGTTTTAACATACTTGGAAATGTTACATTATGTCAGTTGACAGGAGACTCAAAACCTAATTAACACTGGTGGGGGGGGGGGGGAATTACACTCAAATAGTTTATACTCAAAAAGTTCAGGTTTAAACAAGAACAAAGTATGCATACACTGGTAAAGGAGCTACGTAATAAAAACGAGAGATGTGTAAGACGATGAGTGACTAATAAATTAGGTAACAGCTTAGGGAATTCAACTCAAATCATATAAACAATAGACAAGCAGAACTACACTACATCAAATCAGGAGTGGAGATAAGGCCAAAGATAATGTGATCCAATGAAAGAGAGTAAAGGCACCTAGTTGCCAGAGGAATGAAAAGCTGATAACTTCTTTTTTCTGAACACATAAATCAGGTTTTAAGCGTTTGATAGCTTCAGCAAACTTGAGCAGAATTGAATAATTTTGTCTGTTCTTAATTGAATACCACACGAGCCAGAGACTATCCCGCAGCTAAGTTGGTTCCTGTCGATCAGATATTTTTTTGATGCAGTTGAAAGTCGGAAACATCTGCTTTTGTGCGTCGGTGGCGCAGTGGTTAGGACTCTCGCCGACCATGCACATGGTCCGGAGTTCGATCCCTTTCCGACGCACGCCCGATATCTATGGTCGGCCTGCGAAATTTGAGCTACCGATATCCATGCTGAAAATTCCATACTTGTACTGAAAATACGGTGTGGCATCAAGCTGTAATCAAAAAAAAAAAAAAAAAATAGATACTCTTCTCATGTTAATTCTAATTTATATGTATCTGCGCTAGTAGTTATATTGAGAGAACAGAACGGAGTGTTCCGAAACGCTTATGCCTCGGGAGAACAAATGTTTACAATGGTGCCATTGGCAGACATTTTATTAATGCGGATCATGAGGTGTTTTTTTTGTATTCCTTTACGTTCCCAGTGGAACCTAGAGCTTCAAGCCTCTGGTTTAAAGCTTCTGTAGCAGTGGTGATTACTTTTACAGGATGGGGTTGCTAGCCTCATACCCAACCTTCCATCTTTACCAGTCTTATTACTGGGTTTGCGAGGTAAAGGAGTGCGTTTGTGGCCGGGGATCGAACCCCGGATCGAAACACATTCGCATTCGGCGAGCATTCTACTGCTGTGCCACCGAAGCAGAAGTCATGAAGTCTGGATTTCACGAAATCCTCTAAAATTATCAATAGACAAAATAGTTCACTTTTTCGAAAGTTCGCCGAAGTAATTGCTATCAAGCGGTTGAAACCAAATTCATATATATACAGAAAGAAGCAGCCATCGGCCTTTTATTGCCCGTTTGGCAACTGGATGTCTTTATTCTCTCTCTTTCATGTGATGTAGTATAACTTTATTTGTCTTTTGTTTTGTATGATTTGACTTGAACTTATCACATTGTTACTCAAGTTATTAGTAACTCATCGTCTTATTCACCTCTCATCCTTTTGTTATTGTATTAAAACATTTAATTTTTTTTGCATAAACTTGAGCTCCTTCTGAGTATAAACTATATGAGTGTAATTTTCTGAGCACTGTTCATTAAGTTTGGAACCTCTTATCATCAACTGACAACATATAATATTTGCAAGCTTGCTCAAACTCTTCAGTCTGTACTCAGGTATTGACTAGCCAACGAAGTAAACGATGGTACCATCATCTTATTTTGCACAAACCACTGTTATTATTCATAAAAGCGGGGCGGGGGGGGGGGTTGGAATAAGTGTATACGGTATTATTATTGTAGTGAGAGCTGGCTGCTAGCCAAATTGGTAGACAGTAATTGACGTCAATGTTTACGTCCCCAATATTAGTCGTGAGAAAAATAAGAACAAAGACTGATTCAATAAACAATCACAGCAGACTTTGCGTGGGTGGATACAATTAGCAGATAGATGATCTGACATTCAAGAAACAGCCACAAAGAGATAAAACATTAACTTTCAATAAGAAACAACCAATCAGAAGACTGTGTTTTTCTGCTAATAATAATCTATGATAATGTACATAAAAACCTATAAATATGTGTTGATTTTCTTAATAAACGATCTGGTGCCTGGACCTTGTCTTCTGTCGTTACATTATTACTCTATTTTCATCTTCTTTTATTTTAACATTGTAGGATAATAGTTTAGAACGCCTGGCACGTGAAAGTGCTCTCCTCGAACAACATTATAGTCATTTCTTCGATTTGAAAATTGTTAACAATGATATTGAAGAGACAATTGTTCAGTTGAAACATGCTATCGATGAATTTCAGACCAGTCCACAATGGATACCAGTTACATGGGTCTACTAGAAGTAATTCTGGGATATAATAATAATGATAACTATCACTACAATTAGTGCAATACATGAAAATTAATTAATAGACATTGTTTATAGTCATTCATCGGTTTATTCTTCGCTAATATTCTATCTTAGTAATTGTCTTTTTTACTATTTATTTCCATACTACTTAAATATTATTTCAGTATTATCTTTGTGTATGTGTGTGTTTTTTTACGTGATTATCACACTAAAATACACAATTTACTTTCCATTACCATGTCAGAAATGTGGACTTGTTATCTCCTTTTTATTATCTATTCTATTCGAACTTTGTAACCTCCAAATTCAATTGTTCAATGCTAGCGAAATATTATCTCTGCTTTATTTGAATTTTAGGAATTCTGTGTGTATGTATAATCTGAATTGCTAAGAATATGTTTTTCAAGTTTTGTATATATAAATTTGTGAATTAGTTGATAGTGAACTAAATTTCTCTTTTAGGAATGAACTCGGTATACCGTTTGTTTCGTTTTTTTGTTTGAGTGAATCAGCTATAACTCGTTTCTTTATTGAACTATTGATCATTGAACAAGAGGGGATTTTATATTGGTGGTTGTTGTTTTTTATTTCTTTAAAAAAGAAATCTTACTTTATATCGAAATTTATGAATTTGTTTTCATGCATTTATTATTCCTAAATGATTTTGATGATTTGAATTTTACTGCATTTATTGAATATTGAAAAGAAAATCAATATTCATGAATATAAATAAAATATGACTTCATTGAATTCTAGATTTTCCCGTCGATTGATTGGACCGAAGTGCTCGGTCTCAGGTTAACATGTCAGCTTCTTGTGCAGATGCTTCGACGATGTAATTACAAGTTAATTTGTGGATGGTGACTAGCAGAGGAATCCAGGACGCGCGTTTCGTCATATTTGGGATTCGTCAGCTGGATATGCCTGCACTCACCAGTAAGTGATGATGTTCCCACCGAAGCTCGAACCCAGTGCCCATATTCAATGAACTCAATGAAATAATTAAGATGACCCGTTGCACGAGAGGTGGCTCTCGTGGCCCAAGTGGTCTATTGGCATTTGAAACTATGGGTACTGAGTTCGAGCCTCGGTGGGAACATCATCACTTACTGGGGAATCATGCACATCCAGATGACGAGTCCCTAATAGGAAGAGATGAGCGTCCTGGATCCCACTACTAGTCACCATCCACCAATCAAAATATGACTTCATTTTTTGAAATTTTATTTAACATGACAAACACAATGTGGTTGATGTGAAATTGATTGTTTCAAATACTTATACCAACATCAGTAGTATATATACATTATGCAGTTGACAGACCATAATGAGTTGTGTAATTTTGAACTGATGGATTCTATTCTTTGCTACAAGGCGGCTGTGTCGATGGAGATGAGAAAATGTATTAATGATAAGGTTTGTGATTGAGTCAGTAAATCATGTTATAGTTTCTTTTATTTCTGAAGTTGTCAATAATTACGATACCTAAGTTAATGGAAATCCTCCTGAGATTATATAATTCCAAATCGTATGAATTTACCCCAAATATTCATCAACCTTATTCAAGAGATGTACGACAACGGCACATATCAAGTGATCCACAACGGAAAACTCAGCGAGGCGTTTGGAGTAAAAACAGGAATCAGGCAAGGGTGCTTATTATCACCAATGATATTCCTAATTGTGGTGGACTGGATTATGCGTCAGACAATGGGAAACGAGAAGACAGGGATATCCTGAACCGATGTGAAGAACCTAGAAGACATGGATTTCGAGCTTGGATGATTTATGTTTGATGTCACACAAAATCGAAGACTTACAAGCGAAAACCAACAAATTGGTCGAAGAAGCAGCAAAGACAGGACTCCAGGTAAACATAAACAAGACGGAAGTTATGAAAATAACCAACCAACAACAGCAGCATCAACATCCAGCGCCAATCACCATCAACGGGAGGGATTTGAATGAGGTTGCTTCATTCACTCACTTATCTAGGGAGCATTGTCTCAACTACAGGAGGAACGGACGAGGATATCAAATCGAGAATCGGGAAGGCGAGAAACACATTCATCAACCTGAAACCAATCTGGAAATCTTCGTCACTCAACCCAGCATCAACAACAAAATTCGGATTTTCAATACAAACGTCAAGTCAGTCAGTTCTTCTATACGGATGGATCAGAAACTTGGCGGGTCACAAAGAATATTTCCAACAGCCCGTTGCAGACCTTTATCAACAACTGTCTTCGCGCTATACTCAAGACCAGATGGCCGGAAAGAATCAGCAACAAGAAACTATGGGAACAAACAAAACAAGAACCAATCGCTCAACAAATATGCAGGAGAAAGTGGAGATGGATTGAACACCCGCTGAGCTGAGGAGGCCGCTGGGTGACATCGCACGTCAGGCTAATGCTCGAGTGGAACCTGAAAGGGAAGCGGCGAGTGGGACATCCAAGGTTGACATGGAATAGATCGTCTGAAGAAGAGTTGAAACAGTATGGACTAAAGTGGATGCAGGTGAAAAGTAGAGCAGAAGACAGAAACAAGTGGAGACGTGCAGTTGAAGCCGTATTTTCCACTAGGAACCCAAGGGAACAATAATAATATTATAATAATGAATTTATAATACGGCTGTGGTTGTAAAGACCAAATATATTCGGTCATGAAAACTTGGTCACTGTGGTACAGTATAATTCTCACAGTGTTACACAGCAATATTTACTGATGACCACGTTCTGAGCACAATTTATTACTTCTGATCATAATCATATCAAGACACTCACGTAACTTTCTTACTTCGTGGTTTAAATACAGGAATAAAAATTGATTGGACATTTGAATGAAATCAATATTAGAATTGTGTGAAACAGAATGGAAGATAAAGTACATTCTGAACGGATATTAATGCTATCAGAAACATAATATGATGGGTTATAAGACGAGTGTTTTTAGTCAATAAGATAGGAAATAAGATGTTTTTATAGTAAAAATAAGTAACTTGTTAGAATGTGAATTGAATTGAAGTACATTGTAACATTAGTTATTATCCTTTGATTTGACTGGCGGTAATAATATCTTCAATATCTCTAGTATTTTTGTAGAGTCACTTATGTTGCATGTGTTCATTAGGAACATCAAAAAATATCAAAAGTAAAATAAAAATAATGGTGAAACTAATAATGACAACATAAATAAGAAAGAATATACGACATCTACAGTTTTACCCTATAAGGAAGGGACATCTGAAACCCGACTTAAGATTATCAATAAAGTAGGAGTTAGGGTGGCATTCAAACCTGCATACTCACTCAGGTAGGACGAGCTCTGTAGGCTACAAGACCCTGCCGGTGGATTTATTAAGACAAAATAATATGCTTCAAAAAATACCTTGCAGTGACTGCGAGTTAGAACCCCAGGTAACTGCCTGAATAGGGCCAGTAGCTAATGAGCACCAGGTCAATTTTCAGGTATTCATTTGTAGGGATTTTGTTTGATTGGTCGGGAAATTTCACCATTTCTGGTTGGAAGCCATGACTAGTAGGGTACAGAAGGTGAAAGATGAGGACAGTTACTTATCAAAGAAAACATTGCTAAGTGGTCGCACTATGTCGTGAATTGGCAGAAGTAATAATTCATGTGTTGGCTATTTGATCGGCTCCCAGTAGCTTAATGGTCTATGAGCTAGCTTGCCCTGTAACCCGAGGGTCCTGGGCTCGAGTCCAGGTGGGTGCGTACTGAGGAAGAGTTCCAAAACTAGGACAGCTGTCCAGTACTCTCAGTTGGTTTTCTAATGTTACTCTAACCAATTTCAACTCATGATGAAATCCTTCAACCAATCAAATATGAAAGTATTGAATAAACACTTTCCAACATTGAATACTGTTGGCGGTTGCTATAAATCAAATAAATAGCGCTTCCATTTCGTGTTAAAGAATAATTTTAAACTTTATTCAAAAAAGTCTACTAAAGTGGGAAAAATTATTTTGTACATTGAGGTTTTGATGAGAATTGAAAGCGACTAAGATAATTAATCTTGTAGGGAGATAGTAGCTTAATTTAAAGGAAGTTCTTTGATGTGATGATGACAGAACACAATTGACAAAACGCTTTAAGTTACACAACTGTAGTGTTTTGACTTTCAACAAAAATGCATACCCTGAGTTTTGATTAAAAACCTGTTCTTTCCAAAGTTTGAATGAGCATCCATCGTAAAATCACACTGTCTCATAGTTTTTATGTTTTGATGTTAAGTAACAGCAGTGATCACTAACAAACCTAGAGTTTGAGCTAAATAGCTACTCAAACCAATTATAGATGAGCTGCCCCCTACAATAATAGCAGCATAACCATTCATAGTTTGTACAGAACCGGCCATCATTATTACTTATTAAAGTCATATTAAACTCAAGAACTCAGAGGGATGCTATTCTGAGCAATACTGAAATTCTCAAACAGTCAGGAATCTATTTCGTTTCATATGGTTGGAGGCAATCGGCAGGAAGCTCTGCTTGACCTTCAACAGTCAGCAAGGCATATCTGCAACCCAGTGCTGGAGAGACATTAGAGACGTTACCACTGAGCTATTCGGGTTCGCGATTGACTTCCTGTAGGACTGCATTGGACACTTCGATTGGACATTGGTCATTAACTAGTGTAATCCGTCTAATCCTTTGTTTGCTGCAGACTGAATTCCATCAGTCACGTTTGCATTGTGGCCACCAACTGCTATCACAATGCATTTTGAATTGCCTTCAGTCATCTCATATCAACGACTGAAAGTTCACTGTGATGGCGAACCACCTAGAATGGTGATCACATTCCACACGTAACTGATAGAATTTAGTCTGCACCAAACAAAGGTTTAGAAGCATTACGCCAATCACTAATTGGAGTCCAATCATCTACATCCGTACAGACTTATGTTTAGCAAACCGGAACGAACGACACTTTGAGACACTGGAGTTTAGCGTCCAACACTGCAACGGC